TACAATCCAAGTGACAGAATGCAAGTGACGCAGTCAACCGTGCTAATCGTGATAATCGCACCTCCGATGTGCTGCGGCACTTGCCGAGTGTTATTGTAACTCGCGGAACCTCTCGGACTGGACATCTGTGAGTAAAGAGCTTCACAGCTCATCGGATTCCTCCTCCAGTCTAAATAAAGTTGCCGAGTCTAAATGCAACCGCATCTCTAGCCGCTTCACAAGGAGGAAAAAAAATTAAATGTGTCTCTGTACACGTGAACATAAATGGGGTCTTACAGTCTCCACTTGTGCAAAGCCAGCAGAGTCTCAACCGCACAGAGTTCAAGAGGGAAGAGAATTCCAGGCAAAAGGAGCAGACGCTAAGAAGGTGCCAACCTCCTTCCATGGAACGAAGATTGAGGACCATGGGTGACCTTTGTGAGAAGGAGGAGGCCTTTGCTGCTGGAGCGGACAGAACGTGGCCAGAGACTACTAAACTAAACTTTTTATTTTACCAGGCAAGGCCCACTGAGCTATATAGTTCTTTTTTCAGAAGCGGCCTGGCCACAAATGATAGCTCAATGAAGTGGCTTTTCACGTGGAAATGTACATCAGCCAAATAGTCTAAACGCACGTTGAAAAATATGGAGGGAAACCCTGGAGGACCCAGAGAAAAATCCACGCGACCACGGGGAGAGAGCCGTGCAAGCTCCAAATATACAGCAGGCGTCAGGGTCAGGATCGAACGCACGAATCTCCTGCATACCAGGCGAGGGAGTTAACATCTCGCCACGGCGGAGTGGAGTGAGACGAGAGAGGGAGAGGTGGGAATCAGGGACAAGACGAGTTTTAAACACAATCTCAGGCAGGGCTGGCTGGGTTCGTGGTCCGAGCGCGAAGCCACCTGGCACTTCCACAGCAGCGATGTTCACTGTTAAGGAGGGCCGTGACTTGCTTGGTGAAACCATCCAAGCTCTAAATAATTTGCACATTAACGTGCGTCTCAGCATTTTCCAAAACTGTCGCGAAGGTAATTTCTTCCTCGCGCCACTGCTGGCGGAAGAAGCCGTCACTGGAGGCCGCTCTAGAGAGAGAGTCACACTCTCGTGTGGGATATGGCCTCCTCTTCCACACTGACCAGATGTCTTGGAAGAGGTGTAAGTACCCACCACTTACGTATCCCACCAAACGTAACCTGCCAATCGACTGGTTGTGTTTGTACCCATTTATAACCTCCGATTAGCGCGGTTTGCTGTGTACGGTGCGAAAGAAGTTCAGCATACACACGTACATACCACTGGGGGGACAGAGGCAGGGGTACTGCATTTGAAACAACAACAGCAAAAATGCTTGCACCTTTGTTTTAACTGTCGCACGGGGCGATCGACTGGAATCAAACCCGGCGACCTGCTACTATCCATTACAACCACAGCAACATCCGCGACACTGCGCTGAGCTTTCAAAGGCCGGAACTCGACGTGCAGGCACATGGGTATTCGTGAGCATGGTGGTGAATGCACGTGGACACCTACTATTTCTAAGAGCATGCAGACTGCAGGCACTGTCTTGAGAAAGCCTTCGTCCGTTTTCAGCCAGAACTTGGGTTGCTCGAGTCGACTCATGTTCGCGCACGTCCAAAGTGGCAGCAAGCCTCCAGCAACAAGAACACTATCTTCCCAGAGCCTCTCTCAACTCCACAGTGGAAAACCACACACACACACACGCGCGCGCTTGCCTATGAGCTGTAACGTGTGTAAGTAGACTGTGCTACACTCCTATCGGTTAACGTGAACGCGAAATTCAACTGTCACACACACACACAAAAGGGCTATTGCAGTTCCCAGTGCGAGCGAAGGCGTTGGAGTCTGCCTGTCTGTGACTGAGTGAAAGAGAGAGAAAGATGAAAAGCAAGCGAATGGTTGCACGTCAGTAAACAGGTCGGGTGGGTTTGTGGGCGTTGGCTGGCTATTCTGTGGGGGAGAATCGCGTTAGTGGACGGGGTGTGTTTGTGTGTCTGTGTCTGGGCCAGCATGCGTGTTGTGAGAGATGCCTCGGGGGGACCCAGGTGGGAGCCGCCCTCCAATGACTGATTTCATGATTCGCAGGATCAAACAACTTCTTGGTAAAGGCGCGTCCCTGAAATTTCTTGACCGGGCCATTGCTGGTGGAAAGGCCTCCACTGTTGATCCAAATACGCCCCAGGCCGAACTCTCCCAAGCTGCGCAGACTATTTAAAACTTTTAATATATTTATTTTTACCAGGTAATGCCCATTGAGCTGTACAGCGTATTTTCAGAAGCGACCTGGCCATAAATGATAGCTCAACGAAGTAGCTTATTACGTGGACATTTATAGCAGCTAAATACTCTTAAAGGCGTGGTGATGTTGATTCTAAATGTGGAGGAGAAAAAAAACTAATGGACCCGGAGAAAAATCCACGCGACCACGTGGAGAGAGACACACAAACTTCAAATATACAGCAGGCGTCAGCGTCGGGGTCGAACCCACAACCTCCTTTGGGGTCGTCCATAAATTACGTCACGCACCTAGGGGGGGGGGGGTGTCAGACATTTGTGACGATGTGTGACGAGGGGGGGGGGGGTTGAGAAATGTTACGTCACATCAAAATGCGCAACTTTAAATAAATATGGACAACACGTTCTACTTAATTAAATAGACTTTTTAATAAATGTTTTCTCCTACAACATCAGAGTGCAGCGGTACATTAAATACGCACTACAATGACAATAGTTTAAAGATATTTGAAGCATGTTTTATTTTTTGGGGGGGGGGCAGAGCTTTGTGACGTCATATTTGAGGGGGGGTCTGACTTTTTGTGACGCCGTGTGACGAAGGAGGGGGGGGGGTCAAAAATCGTCCAAAATCGCGTGACGTCATTTATGGACGGCCCCTAATGGGATGATAACGCGCTGGACTCTCCATCTCCCAGGGCGCCGGAAGGTCATTAAACATTGGCACAACTTGCATGAAGCCCAACACCGCCCCTGTCCACTCTGCAGTCCAATGAATGGGTTAAACCCCCAGCTAGTCGACTGGCTGGTGGTGAGTGGCGGGGTAAAGTGTGGGTACTCCCATCTTCGACAAGACGGTGGGGGTATCGACACTTGGCGGGGTGTTGAATATCTCCCCTGGTATAAAGGGGCCGTCCATAAATGACGTCACGCAATTTTTGACGATTTTTGACCCCCCCCCCCCCCTTCGTCACACGGCGTTACAAAAAGTCAGACCCCCCCTCAGATATGACGTCACAAAGCTCTGCCCCCCCCCCCCAAAATAAAACATGCTTCAAATCGCTTTAAACTATTGTCATTGTAGTGCGTATTTAATGTGGCGTTGCACTCTGATGTTGTAGGAGAAAACATTTATGAAAAAGTCTATTTAATTAAGTAGAACGTGTTGTCTATATTCTTGGTTCTTTCGGTAAAGTCACGTAGAAGGGAAATAATAAAATAATAAAAATATACCGAAAGAACCAAGGATATGAATCCCTGCAGTCACGAAAGCTTTAAATCAAACGTGTTGTCTATATTTATTTAAAGTTGCACATTTTGATGTGACGTCACATTTCTCACCCCCCCCCCCCCCATCGTCACAAATGTATGACCCCCCCCCCCTCCTAGGTGCGTGACGTCATTTATGGACGGCCCCTAAGTTGGCGAAATGACACTCGCCGCTGCAGCTTGCACAGCAATGCCAGTTGGGTGGCGGGTCAGTCGCCACCAGTGGCGGCTGACTCGCCCCTACTTGATATGCGAAGAGCTTCATAGCTCATCAGATTCCTCCACTTTAAATTAAGATTCTGATCTGTGAAGATGACATTCAGTACTTTCCACCCACAATGTCTGGGTCTGTCCTGTGACTTCCCATCCATCATGATGCATTATCATCTTCACTTTCAGATACACAATACTGTATTACATTTATACAACTAATTAAGTACAGTAGTATTACATTTTTTCTTCTAACCTTTAGCCCTGTCAATCAACTGTCAAATGGAAGGCCTACCAACGCTATATCGGTCATGGGGGTTGTATTGACCATACTTCACCATACTGGTTTCATAAACATAGTTTAATAAACTACATATAGACAGTACATATAAACACAGAAAGACAAAGACACCCCGTGTAGCAACAGTACTTTAAATGTGTTGTGTGGGACAGTGCTGTTAGCGAGCACCTATTAAGGTCGCCACAGCGCACGACGGAGTGCTTGTGGTAGTACCACGCCTGGCCGCCTTTGTCTCCCCAGTTCTGATGTTTACACACTATATCAGCTGCTCATTCAAGGCTAAGTTGACCTCGGGGAGGCCCTGAACTTGTTTAGAGATCACGAAGCCACCGATGATACCCGTGGTCGGGAATCAATCAAAGTCCCGTCCTCCGGGTCTTTGTTAGCGCAGCGTTGCCATTGAGTCACCGCTCCTCCGACGGGACCGATTGTGATACTATAAATGTTTCACGCAAAACAACTTCTGTGATTTACAGGGCATTGAGACTCAGTGGGGCTTTCTCGGATATTCAAAATCAACCAAATTATTTGTAGTCCAGCATTAGAAATGAAATGAGCTTCACCACACCTGAGTCATACACCACACCCAGACACACCCAGGAATGCTAGAAGCTGTGAGTCTGACGCCCTACAACAATCATTCATCCCCACTGGGGGTACGCTGGCCCCTCGCTACACGAATGTGGAATTTCCAACACTGCCCCACCGATGCAGTCCATACTGTAATGCCCCACGCTTTAAGCAGGAATTACTTTGACCTTTTAACAAAAAGGTAAAGATACAGGCAGTCCTCGACTTAAGAATTTGCGAGTCGCGAACGGGACTCGGGAATCGGAACCCATTCGTAAGTCGAGGACTGCCCTATTCAAGTTTGCCACTATCGATCTGGGAGGGCCTCTTCATTTCGAACACGCGAGCATGTTTATATTGTTGTGACTTCAAAACGAACCTAAAAGTTAAAACAATAAAAAATGACTTCGAAAAACGTCAACATTCCAGTAGCCTGACATTTATTTTTCAGTAAGCAAAGACACAATTAAATAACCACGCATATTTGCTGGGTCAGAACAAGGCACCTGGGTTCTCAGGCACTCAGAGGTTGAAATTACTAAACAGTGACACTTAAAGAACGTGTCACTATTACGATCATCTCAATGCTTTCCCCATACAAAACATTAAACAATGTATGCAAGTTCAACTGAACACATTTTTAAAAATAAATGCTTTGAAAAATCAGTGCATATAACTTTGTTGTAACTGAAATGTAACATTGTGCAAACATTACTGCATTTAGAGCTGCCGCGGTGTAATGGTGAGCCCTCCACACCTGACATGAAGAGTTTGGAGGTTCGATTCCATCTCCTGGTGCGCCAGTTGAAACGATCGATGCGATTTTAAATTTGTTTAATTTTAAATATTTTTAGTAGTATATATGTTTTGATTTAAAGCTTTCGTGACTGCAGGGATTCATATTCTTGGTTCTTTCGGTAAAATCACGTAGAAGGGAAAACAATAAAATAATAAAAATATAAAACAATCAAATTCTTACGACGTTTCGACTGCAACAGAAGCAATCATCATCAGGTGTGAAAAACACAGCAAGACATTTTTTTTGCTGTGTTTTTCACACCTGATGATGATTGCTTGTGTTGCAGTCAAAACGTCGTGAGAATTGTATTGTTTTAGATTTGTATTATTTTATTGTTTTCCCTTCTACGTGACTTTACCGAAAGAACCAAGAATATAGTATATAAGTTGTTTGTCTCTTAACTGTGATTCTTGAATATGTTGTTAGTTCTAATGTTAGGTTAGAAACACTTAGTTCGTGCTGCTCTCCCGTTGTCTGGGTGAAAGTGGTGGGCTAAGTTCTGCCCCATCATGGCCAGCTGGCTCAACAAACTTATCAAAGCAACTTAAGAGTGGGGGAAGGTTTCCTAATTCCCCTGCCACATCTCACCAAGGAGGACACACGGGCAGGCCACAGTCGCCCGGCAGGGCGTGTTTTAAGCGGTAAAGTGTGGGTGCTCTCACCTCCTCCCAACATGTCTGGTCAACGTGGAAGAGTAGACCAAATACCCTTGAAGATTTCACTCCAGTGGAAGGCCCTCATCCGAGCAGTGGCATGAGCAATTACTGTACTTCTGTAGCGATGAATGTTGAGGTCAAGAGGTTATCAAGACGAATGATGCTGAGGCTACCTCGCCATCGCTTCCTACCTTTTACCAGCTCCCGTAACTGGGAGGAGGGCGTTCTAGACGACGAAGGCAGCAGAGGAGCATGAGAAACGGTGACGTGACAGTGGGGTTGGTGGATTGCATGCATATAATGTGCGTTCATTTAAAGGGGCGGTGGAGCAATTAGACGGCATGATGGGCGTTATCACCTCGTGTGTATAGGCTTCTCCCGACACTCTCGTTTCCTCGTGCATGCGAAAAAAAAACTCAAAATGGAAACTGGTCAAGAGTCACCTCTCCAGGAGCCCCTCCCCCCCGAGACTCTGTGAGGATTTCCGAGAGGAGAATTTGTCAGATACGTTTCAGTGATGTTTTACTCAAGTTAGCATTGAAGCAGCAGTGTTCAACTCCCATTTGCAGCCCTAAGCCAGTGGCGACAATTCCAACTCCACATTCCTGTGACGGGGAGCGAGTAACCGCGTTTGGATCCCCCACAAAGTGGTACTAATTTTATCTGCTCTGGAGGGATGATGGGCTGAGTCAACCCCCCAGCCAGGATTTGAACTCACAACCTTTCCGATCGCTCTATATTGATGGCGATTAAATAAAACAAAACAAAAATACAACTCTAATGTATTTCAAAAAAATAATTAACTATTGCACAAATCTGCAGGGCTTTTGAAAACTGTGATTTGTTTACATGCACGATACAGGCCTCACAGACAACTAAAACACTCGACAGCTTCTCATCATAGCAGCTTGTCAATGCTATGCAAATGCCAAACAATAAACTCTTAAGTGCTACTTAACACGCAGTGGGATTTCACCACCGATATGATTGATTATTCAGTTTTACGTACAGCCACGTCATGATCTGGCCGTATTTCTGTTTTAAGATCCTCCACGTTCAAACTTCCCTGATTTTATGATTGGAAATTAAGCTGTGCACATTACTGCCCCACCCCTGTCCCCATTGATGAGCTCTGTAACTAACTTGGCCCTGCAGGGAGAGTCGGGAAATATCAAACGGTCGATGACTACGATCCCCTCACTGCGGTTTAACGTCTCTCTTGTTACATAAAAGGGTGGCGGCGCATCCCAATGTGTTGTCCTAACTGTAAGTCGAGATTAAGTTTACCAACATGTTGCTACAGGTGTCATGTCATCAATGAATCAATGCAATTATTTGGACCGTGCCATATTCATGAAAGAGTTGAGATGGAAGCAGGGATGGCTAAGTATCGATTTATAACTCTCGCAAAGGTCTCCCGTGGAGCCGGATATTACAAAGGTACCTCTGAGAACACTTCAAGAGACCTCTGGTTCACAGCGGCTCCATCACTGCGAGTTACGCTTGTTGCATGACAGCCAAACCGAAATTTATAATTACTTGAGCTGGAAGTTTGCCGAATATATGTGCAGAAAACATTTTTAGCGAGATGGGGTTTCATGTGCTGTGATGTTATCGTCAAGGAGCCCATTCCATGAAGGGATGACACTGAGGCCCTGCTGACTGTAGGCATTCTGGAAGGAAAATCTTCCACTACCCTAATAACAGCAGAACTGGGCTAAAAACTAAATTATTTTAACTTCACGGTTTTCGCTCTTCACCTCGATAAAAACCTGCAACTGCACAAACACACACCTACAGCCTCCAACACCACCTACACTTATACGCAAAGCTACCAATGGCATCCTGGGGCGGCCGAGAGAGCCCCCATTTCACAAAGTTTGTCATGCTGGTCCCCCCCCCGAAGCATGTGCAAAAAATTGGGATTTCATTCCCGGTCTAACATTCTATAGCCTCAAAATCGACTCATGATAAGAGGGAAAAATAGTGGGGCTACCTGAGCAGTGGGCATGGTTGGCAGAGGAGTGGGCGAGGGCTACGTGCAATAGGCGGGGCTAGTGAATGACAGAGGGAGGGGCCCCACCAGGTCAACATTTGCATTGGTTGAGTCTCCCAGAAGTTCGGTAGCTTTGCTCATAAGACATCACCTCGCCACTGTTCCAAAACCGATCGCCTCCACCCCTACAAGGTGGGGCCGATGGGACACAGCACTGCCTCATTAGCTGATGATGCATGGGTCGTCAGACACAGGCTTGATTGCTCCGAACAGGAGCATTTTGACCACGGCTCGTGCAAGGTAGACCGCCGTTCCACACTTCCCCACCGGTGGCGTTTGGTAGAACGCTGTTAAGGCATCCTACACACACACACACATACAGACAACACACACAGATCCTGAACAGACTGTTGGGGAAAGTGCCGTGAGCGAGCACCTAGAAAAAAAACATACGTACGCTGTATATACAGTACCATACAACCGCCGTTCGCCACTAAGTGGTGGTGACGTGACCACGGCGCTTGTGCCAGGTTAGGTGCACCATGAAGCCACGTGAAGATTAAACATAGACCCTTACATGTACACATAAACACATGTTCAACAACAGCTGCCATTCGCCAATAAGCGATGGCGTCACAGTGCCAGGCTATGTTGCGTTGTGCGGTTCAGCGTCTCAGACACCCGGGGAACTCGGCCGTGTCACAGCTCAAGGTGTCGCCCGAAGGAGTTTCCCCAACGACGATTCTTCACCCCAAGACACGGCTCTGATCGCAACACGGCTGGGACTCAATTTGCTAATATTGTCACTGCCCGGCCCAACGGTAGTGTGTTCGCAGCCGCGCTGGCTAGGAGATGTAAACTACCTCGCCTGGTATGCAAGAGGTCGTGGGTTCGATCCCGACCCTGACGCCTGTGTAATTGGAGTTTGCATGTTCTCCACGTGGTCACGTGGATTTTTCTCCGCGTCCTCCAGTTTTTTTTCTCTCCATACTTTAAAACATGCGTTTAGAGTATTTGGTGGTTATAAATTCCCACGTAATGAGCCACTTTGTTGAGTTATCATTTGTTGCCAGGTCACTTCTGAAAAAGAGCTGTATAGCTCAGCGGGCCTTACCTGGTTAATAAAAAAATGTATCAGTATAGTTTTACTTGTTTCCAAGGTTCGCGGTTCGATTCCGGTAAGATGTCCTGGTTATTACTGTGGATATATCAGCAGTAAAATACTACTCGCCGTCTAGTTCACAGTGAACAATAAAGATGCCATTATGTAATTCGAAAAAGTAATTTATGTTTCGGCATCACGGATCCAAATTTGACTTTTTTTTTATGTAGCTGCAAATTACTCAATTGGGATTACACATTGCAACATCGCCCCCCCTGTCCATGGTGGTTACTCTGTGGTTACTCTGTAACCACCGTGGACTCTGTGAAGCACGGCGTCTTCATGATAGCCTCGCTCGCGCTCTGAGAACGACGCGAATACTGAACGCGCGAATGACGACGACGACGCGGACAATCGACGCGGGCGGGCAGGCGGTCGACGTGGACGGGCGGTCCGCGCGGACGATCGACGCGGAAGCGCGTTTTAACCAAACACACAAACAGAATGAAGGAGGCCGAGCCATCACCTCGTGCACGTGTCCCACTTTCGTGCGCTCGTGCTCGAAGTCGTTCACTGCCTTCTTCAGCAGCAAATCCAGGTCCACCTTCTCCTGAAACTCCACCTCCGGGTTTCTTTCCAGCACTATAGACACCACCATCAACAGCTGGACACAAGGACGGGAGGACGGGCAGAGGGCATATCGTCATCACCATCATGGTCGTTATCATCGTCATCATCACCTGTGAGATTGCTGACAAATGATTTAGTGAAACTGTGTTTGGCAGTGGTTTGCAAGCACAAACAACTCAACATGTTTGTAATAACACCGTTGCCTTAAAAGGAAAAATATGAGGCGACATTTTGGGCAATGGCCTTTCTTTACAGCACATGAAGAGGCCATAGCCTCTCCTTGATAAAAGCATTGAATTTGTGTTGTAGTTGTTTATATTCAGGGAACGTCTCACAGCTGTGCGGCAGCTTTGGCATCGAGGCCCCACGCAGGGATCACAGTAAAGTCGACACACTCATCACGAAAATCTTTCACAACGTATCATGGAAAGGTCTTCATCTTATGACGTGACACCGAATATCATGAATGGAATATCATTTGGGAAAAAAAACCCATACTTAAATAAATTAAAATGTTATGTTATCTAAATGCCAATGTATATTAACTATTTTCCCTTTTCTCGACGTATGCAAGTCGCAGGGTGTGTCCCGTTCACTGCTGAATCTCGGAACGCGCAATCAGTTAGCGTACATTTTATTTAGAGAGGCATTGCCCCGCCATTTTTTAAGACATTATACTCACCGCAAAGAACTGTAGCGACACTACCGCACTCGATGATGGCAGGCGCCAAACTGTGCGACACGCCCTCCCGCATAGCCTTACGGGAGCCTTGGTACCGATAAAGTTAATTTATTTTAGTGTTTCAACTGATGATGTACGTCATTGGAACGGGAAAGGGTTATAATCCAGTACAATAATCCAGTACAGAACAAGTGGGATTCTTTATTTCACAGAGCAGAGGAGGCATAGAGAAAGGTCTCTCTGCTCATCTCTGTCGGTGTAGAAATTTCACATTCACATGGCGTTGGTCGGACTCAACGTGGGACAAATGCTGTAGGTTTCCCAAAAAGTGGTACCAAATGTATTGACCCAAGAGGGATGATGGGCTTAGCTGATTCCCAACCAGGATTTGATCCCACAGCCACGGCATCACATCAAGCACCCAGACAAATGATGTTGGGATGCAGTTGGTCATGAAATGCAGGGGTGTTCTGTGGCTGTCTGGAACGCTCTCTTCCTTCTGATATTAGGAAGCCACTGGAGCTATGCACTTTTAAATCTAGATTGAAAAATCATTTCTTTAGAACTGCTTTTTGTGTTTCGTTTGTTGTCCTTTCTGCACCTTTGATTAGCATGGTTGGGTACGTACGGTGTGAAAGAAGTTCAACATATATACATACTTGAGTGTGCAGAAGGAAAGTAGCTGGGTGTACGGGAGCAGTAGTAATGTCGTGGTTAGTGCACTGCACTATGAACTCGGAGGGCTGAATTCAATTCCAACTCATGGCCATCTAACAGTGGAGAATATCTGAACCGGTTCTGGGACTCTGCGAGGTCGACTCAACCTTAAAATTAGTATCTGGTGTGGTGTGTACAACATCAGCACTGGGATGACAAAGGTAGCCAGGTGTGGTGCTGGCCACCCACCTCCCTCGTGTGCCGTGCCAGCCGTCATAAGTGCTCACTAACAGCAATTGCTGCAATAGTCTGTTAAAGTCTATACGGGGGATCTTTGCCTTTTTTGGGGGGTATGCGGGGGTGCGGTGAGCACTGACCTCCACCACCAGCTGCCGATAGGCGGGGTGGTCAATTCCCTGCAGAATTTCCTCCACGAGCAGAGAGAAGTTCATCTCGTACATGGTCATGTCCGAGAGGGTGGGTTGCTGTGGAGCGAGAGCGGCGTCGTCATGGTGAGCATTATCGTTGCTGTTGACAACGTGCATTGTCCAATCAACTTGTTCTCTTGCATCATCGTCGTCATCGTCATTGCCATCGTTGTCATGACTGTCATCGTCACGATCGTTTTCCGCTGGCACACGTATCGAAATAGTCATTCAACTCTCGTCACCATCACTGTTTCTCTACATACACAACCACAACACCACCGCCAGCCTCCACCATCACCACTGTAATATATCGTTTAGTTTGTTGTCCTTCCCCCGCACCTCCGATTAGCACGGTTGGCTACGTACGGTGCGAAATAAGTTCAACATACATAACCTCTAACTTTAACACCCACCCCACCACCACCATACTTACACCACCACCATCTGCACTATTACTGCAACTTTACCATCGCCACCACAACTATCACCGCCAACATCACAGCACTTTGGAGGCAAGAAAGATTGCTGACGAGACGCTGTGTATCGAAACCGGTCCAGAGTTATGGTTGTCTTGAATCAATGTTGCACTCCCAGGGAGGCCTTGTGGTTGACGAGACACATGGACATCGACCGTCTGCTTCTTTATTCTTGCACACCCTCTGGGCTGCGAGGCAGCAAGGATATGGCAGGATAGAAAGTGAATTCGTGAATCCATCTGTGCAGGCCATCGAATGCGATCTTCTCACAGCGTGCACAGTGGGTTTTCTACGTGGACATAATCACGTCACAAGCAGGACCGTCGCGAGAGAGAGCCGGGAGACTCAGCAAGGTTTCCGTGGGTAAACTATCTAAAGATTTCGTCCTACCAAAATTATAATTTAAGCAGTGGTGTAAATCACATTTATAAAACAATTATATTTATAAAACAAACACTGTTAACTTCCTCACAAAGTGGTACTTGTTTTATCCACCCCAGAGGGATGATGGGATGAGTCAACCCCCAACCAGGATTTGAACTCGCAAACTTTCGATTGGGAGCTGCTCGCTCGAACCCGAGCCACCTGCACCAACAGAGGGCATCGCTATTGCTGTTATCAGACGGCAGGGTGGCAGAGTGGCAACACTTGTGCCTCACAGCAAACAAGCGCCTGGGTTTGATTCCTGATCCGGGAACTTTTCAGTCTGGAGTTTGTATGTTTTCCCTCTGTTTTGCATGCATTTTCTAAGGGTTCTCTGGTTTCCTCTCATAGATAATAAAAAAAAAAGACAGACCTTACAACGTAACTGGTATTGGCCGAAAAATATCCTAATGGTTAAAAAATTACCTGCAATTTAGTTCATTGGGATTACACGTAGCAACATCATCCTCTGCTGTGAAAAAACTGGGCAGGACCCTCCTGAAAATGAGACTTGAGACTCGGTGAGACGTTCTGGGGTAAAGACGCACAATCAAACATTAATAAAGGCCCTTTCCAAAAATCCTTAAGCATTCACATTTATCTGAACCCAACCTCTGCACAATTCTCTTTGGCTGGCTTGCTCGATGGCTAACTACCAAATATGCGCTAGCAGATGAGATCATCTGAACCACAAAACACATGCATTTATATTTTCAACTATTTTCTAATGCATTTCCGTCATTATTAGTGGCCGGGCTGCGACAAAAACTTGGCAGTACCCTCCTGCAGAAAAATCTTGAGGCTCAGCGAGGCATCATTATCAGAGGCGTAACAACGACGACCGTGATGGTAATTGGCGGTGCTGCCTGTGGGTCACGTGCCCCCCCCCCCCACACCTGCGGGAGGAGCGTTCCGGCCACCACAATCCCGTGCGGCGTCCGCTCCAGGATCTGCCACACGCGGTCGTAGAACCCCGGCGGTGTGCGGTTGAGGGAGCCGTCGAGGTAGCGGCGGTGCAGCCACCCAGAGCTGCATCCGCGGCCGTCACGAGCGTGGGTAACAGCGTCACGACGACAAAATAAATACACTCCTTTATCTCTTTCCTCGGATTCATCTCAATTATGCCACCGGGGTCACGTGATTCGTATTTCTCACAGAGCTATGCTCCCCGTGTTAGAGAATGGCCCGTGGAAGAGGATATCACAGAACTAGTTTAGAGATCCCCCCCGTGCACCCTCTAAACCACACGCCCTGCCACAGAGGCATACATTTAATTCTAACAGCTGGAGTTTAGGCAATTTCCAAACCAAATGTAATACGATGAGTTTTTTTTTTGGTAGATACCGGTGACCAGGCTGAGACCATCAACTTGTTACATTTGAGAACCCAGGTTAGTCACGGGCGGCTGCTGGCATTCTAAACCAGGATTCCGTGAGGCGGCCAGCTTAGTAACCTCTGAGCTGCCTGGCTAGCCACCTGAACTTAGTATTAATCTCATATTGAGGTGGCAGGGTGGCTGCTTTGAGGTCAGAGCATTGAGCTGTGGAGCTGCCACCGCTTAGGCCGTGGGTTCGAATCCAGGTCTAAGCCACTCATGATTAAACCGGACTGTCAAATTGTAGTGAAGTTGATAGTCCTGAACTCTGCATAAAAAGAGTGAAATGTGGTTTGTCAATTTGGATAAATTACAACAGCGGTTATATTGAAAGTCTTATGATGTCACTGTCTTTCGAGGCATTGCTAAGATTGGCCAAAAATGCAGATCTTAAGTTTTCAATACAATCTTAACCACAAAAAAATTAATAATTTTTTTGAATAATTAATTTTTTGTTTGTTTATAAACTCATCAAAATCAAAATACAGTTAATTACTCCGTTGTTATTTTGGTTACCTCACGGAGTGTAAGGTGGCAGAAGCCTTCATGCGGCTCACTCTAAGTCAAGTGAGAAGTCATGATTGATGTCAGTTTAACACGTAGGCTTTAGCGACCAACATTATGACCGAAACAGGAGGATTTCTCCACAATTCTGGTTGTCACCTGATGAGGCAGGTTGTAATTATCGGCGAAACGTCTTACTCGAATTGTAAATGTTGTGGGTTTAGTCTCCAACACACTGGTGCCCTGAACTAATAACTAATTGGCACGTTTTGTTTAGGCGACAAACCTTACTAATTGGTTGTGTCGGTTGGTGGCAGGTTTAATGACACATTTATATTCACGCGATCTAATAAAAAAAAACTCGATTATGGATGATTGATGCCATCATCAATCCCGCGCCCGAACATCGATCAACGATCTCCCGGTCTTTCTGGCCAGGGTCAAACAACACGGCAGATATTATCACACTCGATTTTTTTTTTAAGTGGGAATTTTCACAATGATGTCTTTTTGACCCCCAAATAGTTGATAAAAGTTTATGTTTTTATCAAAAAAATTCCAAAAACGTATGAGTAAATTTTTTTAATTTTTATTTTATCGAAAAAATTACTTCCTCTGACATTTATGGTATGGTGCACTATTAGCTGATAGAGTTTTGAATGGAAATTGTATTCGTCTAATCCCATCATGTCAGAAACACAACTCGAATGCAATTTGAGGGGAAAAAAAAAGTCAGAACAATATATTATATGAACACATGGATTATAAAACATATGCAGGTTAATGACATTATCCAAACTCGAAAGAAGTCAATTGGGCTTGGGCAGGACGTGTCGCTAGAAGCGACGATTTTCCAGACTAACTCCAGAATATTGACGGAGTGGCAGCCAAGGAATTGAATGTATCTGAGAGGGTGTCCAACCAAGAGATGGAGCAATGAAATCAGTTTGTGTGCAGGTGCTTGGTGCATTATTACATCGCAGGATCATGAGAGGTGGCGGCGGTTTGGGGAAGCCCTCATCCAGCAGTGGATTGACCATGGCTGAGGATGGTATCATAATTGGTGGCATCGTGTTACTCCACCGCACTACAAACCCAGAGACCCGAGTTAGATTATCGGCCAGGGCTCACATCAGTGGCGATCGATAGCTCAGCGGGCCGTGAGCCTCCCCTAGTGGGGTTGTGGGGTGAGTGCGGGGTGAGTGCGGGGTGAGTGTGGGGTGAGTGTGGGGTGAGTGTGGGGTGAGTGCGGTGCAGCAGGGATGGCGTGGCAGGTCCCCACCTGCCTTGATGCTTGAGCTGCAGCAGCTGCAGCAGCAGCGACTTCACGTCGCTCGGGGAGAGGTCGCTGAGCACGTAGGGTTCGTGGTCGCCGTGACCCCCATGACCCCCGTGACCCCCGTGGCCTCCAGGCACCATGAGCCCCCCGTGCCCCCCGTGATCCATGGTGGGTACCATGAGCCCCCTGCCATGCTGCTCCTTGTGGCGCCCCCCGTGGAGTGCCTCGGCTCCTACGTTCACCCCGATGTCCACGCTCTTGTCGCCCTTGGCCTGCAGCTCCAGCAGGTAGTTCATGGCATGGATCATCCACCTTCCGGTGGAGTGGGGGTGGGGTGGGGGTGGGGTGGGGGTGGGGTGGGGGTGGGGTGGGGGTGGGGAGTAGTGGCGAGATGTTAACTACCTCGCCTGGTATACAGGAGGTTGTGGGTTCGATTCCGATCTTGACACCTGCTGTATATTTGGAGTTTGTGTCTCTCTCCCCCTGGTCGTTTGAGTTTTTCTCCAGGTCCTCTGGTTTTTCATTCCACTACTTGAAACGTGCATTTAGAGCATTTGGCTGCTGTAAATTTCCACATAAGCCACTTCGTTGAGCTATCATTTGTGGCCATGTTGCTGCTGAAAAAGAGCTATATAGCTCAGTGGGCCTTACCCGGTCAAATAAAAAATTGTTTAGTTTTGTGGTGGCGACGCTGCGGTCAGCAACCCGAGTTCGATTCGCCATTACGGGAAACAGGGGCGGTTTCTTCATTAGGGCGATTGGGCGACGCACCACCAATGTCATTCAACCACAGAGTCACGCTAGCCGTCACTGTGCCTCTGGATATAGTCCAATCAGCGTCATGTCACGTTCTGTGGAGTACCGCCTCTTTTTGGGCGATTTCACTCCGGCTGAGAATCGCCCCGAGTGGCCCCATAGACTTACATTCAAAGATGTTTTTTTTCGACCGGGGGGCGCTGCAATGCATTCTCTATGGCTTCCGGGAGGGCTCGCCCTAACGTGCTTACGTCATCATACGTAAGCACGTTTCATCCAACAATATAATTTGTCGCCACCTAGTGGAATCTTTAATAAAAGAAACTGAGTGGATTGTAATAATAGTGAGTATAGAAACAAACAAGATGTATTGTAAGAGTCACTTTATTTTTCATTAATATTAAAGAAGTGAAGTTGCCTTTACATGCTTAAGCTGTTAATTTATCCATTGCATGGGTGGACCTTATCCTTATCAATCATCCAGACATTTGCCCCCCCTGAGAGATTTTGCAGGAGCCGCCACTGACGGGAAATGTGAGTGGCGAGGCGATATCTGAACAGGTCCTGGGCAATCCCATTCGTCAACCTTAAGTCCTTGACATCCCACGTGTCATTCACTGATGGAATTGGCCAAACATCCCCAGTGAGGATACTGATGGAATTAGAGTTATGAGACTCGGTGCCTGTTTCCTGGATAAACTACTAATTGATCACGTAGTAGGTTGTTGCAGCAAATATTAATATTCATAATTGACATTTTTGGGTTTGGCCACAATAATGATCTGGCCAAAATTGCCACTAATAATTTGCCAAGATAATTACATGGCCTAGAATTTATTAGTACATTCTAAATTATAAATATTAATCATTACTATTATTCGGAAACAAAATAAAACATATTACTGTTAGTGTCAAGTGGAGCCTTGATCAGTTACATACTTTATGTATTTGCATCTGTGTGCCTGTCGAATCAGTTATGTATAATTTTCATATTAACATTACAATGTTCAACATATCCAAACGTGCTGTGAGTGCAAATACACAAATATTGCATTTTTCAGCACGTGTAATTATTTAAAAGGGGGCAAAACTTCAAGTCAAACAGCTGTCGCTTTGTAGATGCACACCTCGAAACCGCGAGTGCCTGGCTGTCCTCTAACAGTTAGAATCTCCATTCGCAGCAAAATGTTTTGCGACTGGAGCCACGCAACCTCCGAGCGCACCACCGCAGTGCCACCTACTGCCGTCTCGGGGTTACAACCGGCTCCGTCTATTGCACAGTACGATGTGACTTTCAGTGACGTGGCGAGGTGTCGGAGCAAGCTCAACACTGACACACAGTCTCAACACTGACACACAGTCTCAACACTGACACACAGTCTCAACACTGACACACAGTCTCAACACTGACCCACAGCATCAACACTGACACACAGCATCAACACTGACAGTCTCAACACTGACCCACAGCATCAACACTGACACACAGTCTCACACAGTCTCAACACTGACACACAGCCTCAACACTGACACACAGTCTCAACACTGACACACAGACACTGACACACAGTCTCAACACTGATACACAGCCTCAACACTGACACACAGTCTCAACACTGACACAGTCTCAACACTGACACACAGTCTCAACACTGACACAGTCTCAACACTGACACACAGCCTCAATACTGACACACAGCCTCAACACTGACACACAGTCTCAACACTGACACACAGTCTCAACACTGACACACAGCCTCAATACTGACACACAGCCTCAACACTGACACACAGTCTCAACACTGACACACAGTCTCAACACTGACACACAGCCTCAATACTGACACACAGCCTCAACACTGACACAGTCTCAACACTGACACACAGCCTCTACAATGACTGAGTTTTTTTGACAATTAGGGGGGGGGGGGGGTTGGGGGGTGGTCAGGGTTGAGGAGGGGCCCTACCCGATGCGCAGGCGCAGCATCCCCCCGAAGAGTTCGGGGGAGTTGGCCATCGCCCACCCCACGTGGATGACGAGCTCCTGCTGCAGGGCCGAGGCGCGGGGGTCACGTGCCGCACACGTGCCGTACACCAGTTGCTTGGCGGCCGCCGGCGACACCGGGTTCGAGATGGCCACCTCCTCGTGGCCGAACACGCCGAGTGTGAGCTGCGGCATGAGTGGAGAGGACATGAGCACGTGTGCGTACGTGCGAGAGGTGTGGACGTTAGTTTGGAGCGGCAGGGAGCAGTGGCGCGCAGCGGTCAGCCGCGGTTCACTTCGAACCCGGCGATCCGAGTTTGATTCCCGCTCACAACCAACTCCGGTGGGGAATATCTGAACCGGTCCTGGGCCTCCCCCTAGGTCGTAGATACGTGTGGGAGGAAACTGGAGCACACGGAGACAACACACATGTGCGAGGGGGAAACACTCTGTCCCCATACAGAAGGGACAGCTGACATGAGCCACACTTTTATGTGCCGCCATCTCCTGGAGAGCCAGGGTACGGACCTTCCTGGACGCCCAAAGGAGAGACATTGATTTTATGTATTCCAAAATGTTGGGCTCTACTTAAAAAAAGTGAAATTTCTTGATCAACCCCCCCCCCTCCCCCCTCTTTAGGTAGTTTCTGAATCCACCTCTGCTGGTATAGTGCTGGTGGAATTGATGGTGGCGGTGGTGGTGATGGTGGCAAAAATTGTCATGTTGCCACAACTGCCCACGCATGCAGACGCGAGCCTGGGAGTCAAACGGTCAATTTGGATAAATTACAAAACCCGAACCTAAAGCCAGACATTTAATCGCTCACTGCATTTTCTTTTGCAATTTTAACAATAGGAGAACGGGATCTGGACCCTCCGAGGCGGTTTTAATGAAGTGGTGGCACTGTGACTGGTTCAGTCGCTTTTGGGTTACAACCCACACTGATTCCCTTGCAGTGAGCATTTGGGTGGGTAGATGTTAACTCCCTCAACTAATATGCAGGAATTCGTTTGTTCAATCCCGACCCTGACGCCTATATAATTGGAGTTTGCATGTTCTGCCCATGGTCGTTTGAATATTTCTCCATTCCCTCCGGTTTTCCCTTCACATTTAGCAACATGCGTTTAGAAAATTTGGCTGTAATAAAATGTCCACGTGATAAGCCACTTCGTTTATTAATCATTTGTAGCAAGGTCCTTTCAGATAGAGAGCAAATAGCTGCGGGCTTTTTACCTGGTAAATAATTAATGTTTTAAACATTGTCACAACCACCATTCATGCGTACGTTAATTTAGCAATTAGGTAAGGCATGAATAAAGAAGTCAATGAAAAATGTTGTTGATGAATCACTTAATGAGCGAATGAAGGAATGATCGAGTTAGTCAATATGTGAAGGAATTAGTTCATAAATGAATAAAGATGTGAATGAAGGAATTATTTAATGATAGAATATATTAAATTAGTAATTAGTTAATGCATTTGTGAAGGAATCAATGAATATGTGAATTAAGGAACACGTTAATAATTTAATACGTGATTGAAGGAATCAGGAAATGAAAATGTGAATGAAAGAATTGGTTCATGAATGAAGATGTAAATGAAGGAGTCACTTAATAAATGGATACCTGAAGGAATCAGCTGATGAATGAAGACGTGAATGAAGGAATCAGTAATGAATGAATGCACCGTCTGGGTGGTGGCGGCACCTGTTTGCCTCCGACGACGATGTTTGTGATGGACGGGGCGAGGCTGTCAACGACTTTTCCTAACAAGCTTGCTGCGTAGCGCACTATGGACCTGCAAAGACAAAGATCCCCGTATAGCCTTCACAGACTGTTGGGGCAAGTGCTGTTCGTGAGCAGCTACGAAAACCGGCACGGCACACGAGGGGGTTGGGTGGCCAACACCAAGCCCAACCGCCTTTGATGTTTACATACTACATCAGGTACTTATTTGAGGCTGAGTCGATCTAGGAGGAGGCCCAGGAAAGGTTCAGATAATCGTCACTGGTGCGGGAATGGAACTCAGGTCGCCGTGTTTGTAGCACAGGGCACTAACCGCTACACTACCGCTACCCAACATGCATACACACAACGACAACCAAACATGGACACACATACTGTGTATACATGTGCACCAACAACAACAACCCAAATTATACACTAAGTGATGAGGACATCACCACTTTGAGGTCAACTGAAGTGTCAAATGCTCGCTGGCATGAGGCCACGTGACAGGTCCAGGTATTATGCAGTAACCGATATCACTGCGCAAGATGCACCACCTGTGCTCCCCGCCGCCCCAACTTGCTGCGTTGTTACTCTAGCCCAGGGGTCGGCAACCAAAATAACAAGTAGAGCCATTTCTTTCCGATTCGGTACAAAATTCAGTATTTCAAGAGCCGCAATTCATCTGAGTACATACTGTACATATCGTCAAGAAGCAGCCCGTAAAGAGCCGCATGCGGCTCCGGAGCCGTAGGTTGCCGACCCCTGCTCTAGTGCGTCCTCCTGCACGAGCCTCCCTCCACGGAAGCCGATCTTGACACCGCTGGCACCATTCATCGGCAAGTCCCATTCGTTCCACATCCCCACGTACCACTGCACACTCCAGTACCACTCGTAATGAAAGCTATATCACCCTTTGTATAAGTCCATCCGACTCCCCCCACGTTGTCCACTCCTGAGTCCACCTCTTACATCACTAGACTACTCCGCTACATCCTCCACCTCCTGTACCTCCTCCACTTCCTCTACCTCCTCCATCGATGACTTCCCCGCTCCTCCCCCCACTCTGTTACCAGCGCTTGTTGGTGCCGGCCACACTGTGCACACGCTCCAGCTGATCCGTGACGGTGCCTGCTCGCTCACACGGGGACACAGAGACACAGTGACCACACATACACACACGCAGTGACCCCACACACAGTGACCGCACACACAGTGACCACACACACTGTCACCACACACACACACACAGTGACCACACATACACACACGCAGTGACCCCACACATAGTGACCACACACACAGTGACCACACACACACAGTGACCACACATACACACACGCAGTGACCCCACACACAGTGACCACACACACAGTGACCACACATACACACAGTGACCACACATACACACACGCAGTGACCCCACACACAGTGACCACACACACAGTGACCACACACACAGTGACCACACACAGTGACCACACACAGTGACCACACATACAGTGACCACACACACAGTGACCACACACACAGTGACCCCACACACAGTGACCACACATACACACATGCAGTGACCCCACACACAGTGACCCCACATACACACAGTGACCACACATACACACACACAGTGACCACACACACAGTGACCACACACACAGTGACCACACATACACACACGCAGTGACCCCACACACAGTGACCACACACACAGTGACCACACACAGTGACCACACACACAGTGACCACACACACAGTGACCCCACACACAGTGACCACACATACAGTGACCCCACACACAGTGACCACACATACAGTGACCACACATACACACACGCAGTGACACCACACACGCAGTGACCCCACACACAGTGACCACACACACAGTGACCACACACAGTGACCACACACACAGTGACCCCACATACACACAGTGACCACACACACAGTGACCACACATACACACACGCAGTGACCCCACACACAGTGACCACACACACAGTCACCACACACACTGTCACCACACACACACACACAGTGACCACACATACACACACACAGTCACCACATATATAGTATAAATTGATTTTCTTTCATTTAATTTTATTTTTATTTTCTTGTTTTATTTAATTTAAATTTATGAATGATGCCCTGACTGGTGAGCATTTTAAATTTCGTTGTACTGGTGACAATGACAATAAACGATCTATATCATATATCACACACAGTGACCACAGACACACAGTGACCACACACACAGTGACCACACCCAGTGACCCCACACAGTGACCACACACACAGTGACCACACACAGAGTGACCACACACACAGTGACCACACACACAGTGACCACACACAGAGTGACCACACACACAGTGACCACACACACAGTGACCACACATACACACACGCAGTGACCCCACACACAGTGACCACACACACAGTGACCACACACAGTGACCACACACACAGTGACCACACACACAGTGACCCCACACACAGTGACCACACATAGTGACCCCACACACAGTGACCACACATACAGTGACCACACATACACACACGCAGTAACACCACACACGCAGTGACCCCACACACAGTGACCACACACACAGTGACCACACACAGTGACCACACACACAGTGACCCCACATACACACAGTGACCACACACACAGTGACCACACATACACACACGCAGTGACCCCACACACAGTGACCACACACACACACACAGTGACCACACACACAGTGACCACACCCAGTGACCCCACACAGTGACCACACACACAGTGACCACACACACAGTGACCACACACACAGTGACCACACACACAGTCACCACACACACTGTCACGACACACACTGTCACCACACACACACAGTGACCACACATACACACACACAGTCACCACACACAGTGACCACACACACACACAGTGACCACACACACAGTGACCACACACACAGTGACCACACACAGAGAGACCACACATACACACACACAGTCACCACACACACACACAGTGACCACACACACACACAGTGACCACACACACAGTGACCCCACCCAGTGACCCCACACAGTGACCTCACACACAGTGACCACACACACAGTGACCCCAAACACAGTGACCACACACACAGTGACCACACACGCTGTCACCACACACACACACAGTGACCACACACAGTGACCCCACACACAGTGACCTCACATACACACAGTGACCACACACACACACAGTGACCTCACATACACACAGTGACCACACATACACACACACAGTCACCACAAACACAGTGACCCCACACACAGTGACCCCACACACTGTCACCACACACACACACAGTCACCACACACAGTCACCACACACACACAGTCACCACACACACAGGACGCTCCTCGCCTTAACCAACCCGAGCTGACCAGTGTGGTGAAGTATGGTCAATTAACGTCGATGAAACGCCGTTGCCTGGGGCGTCTCCTATGATTAATGTTTTTTCCTCTTAATGCCACAGTGTTCTTGACACGAGAAATGGTTATTAAAGTGCATAAAGCCACCACCAGATGGCAGAAAGACATCATGTCGAGTGAACTCGGGGGACCACTCCTGCAATTTCCGCACGGATAGATTGCAGGATCCACTGTTGCACCACCATCTCCAGCGGCCTGGCAGCCCCAAGAAAACACACGTGGCGTTCCCAGGCAGTCTCCCATCCAAGTATGAATCGGGCTCCGTCTCTCTCTATCCCACTGAGCTTCTGAGATTTGACGCATTTCACGACGTTAAAAGGTCGTAGGCGAGCGGTGTGCTTCGTGTCAGCTGTGTGATACATTTGTGATGTTTATCACTCGGGGTTGTGCTGGCCTTGAGCAGCTTAAACGAGATTTTACACGGAAGGATTTGGCTTTACCGAGTCATGAGCACCATTTGCTACGTACGGTGGGAAAGATGTTCAACATACACAGATACAGCAGGCTGGCATCATCATCAACTCCCTGCACAATCAAATCACAATTGGCTAAAAGCAGATTCATACCCAGATCTCTGTGGTGCCAGCTCAGCACTCTGACCTCCGAGCCACTCCTCAGCCTCTACTCCCGTTGTTGTGTTGAGGTGGCCGAGTGGTTCAGCGGTCGCACTGCACTCATGGAATGGCAGCCAATGAATTAAAGGCGTCCCAGCGGACTACCGCCGTGGAGATGGAGCGGTGAAATCGGCTGTGACGTGCAGGCGCCGGTTGGATTGTTACATCGCAGGATCACGAAAGGAGGCATGGGGAGGCCTTCATCCAGCAGTGGAGTGACCATGGCTCAGGATTATGTTGGCCAATTGGTTAGGTGTCTATGGTTGGGCTCAGCAGAAGGGTTTCAGACTCACAATCAAATCGATGAATGACCCATCGTTGTTATTATTCTGTTGCCCATCGTAACAGAATAACAGCGCAGGCCGGAAAACACCACACGTTTAAAACATCACATGCAGAAGTGCGGAAAATGCACACAGCCTGTGTGCATTATGCACACACCATCAGCATTGTGCTCCCCTTGCTTTCACGTTTTTTCAAATCTATGCTGATATCTACCGGAAAAAAAGGACCACAAAGCACTTATTCACGAAATGCTGATTGTTTTTGCAAAATGCACAGAGGCTGTGCGCCTTTTACAACGTGCTCTCCGTGTCCTACAGCTGGTTTGACCAGTTGGTCTCCCTGAGCAGCTTTCGTAGATTTCTCATACGGCTGCTGCTGACGTACACACCTGCGTTTGTGATGAAGTGACCGCCTTCCCGCTTCAGCAGAATTCCCAGCAGCACCGTTTGGTTGTGGAGTGCGTGGCATTCCTGAAAGCAGACGGCCAACCTTCAGTAAAACCCCTCCGTCAAGGTCTCTCAAACTCCGCTCCTCGTCGTGTTTACCGAGTCGTTACACGCTGCACTTGCCTGATGCTTGCTACATAACAGCTAAACATATGCGTCGTCGTCATCATCATCGTCATCACGATCCACGGGGCAGATAGCCACTGCACATTTCGTCATGTTTCCACTTTCCTCTGTCTTGTGCCAATAAGCTCAAGTAGTGCACACATCGTTCTGGCAACAATCTCTAAAGTCATGGCACGTGATGTTCTGCACTTGACGGAGCTCCCTGGACGTCGTGTGGGACACAAAGACAAAGATCTCCCATGTTACCTTTAACAGGATTTTGGGACAAGGGCTGTGAGCGAACACCAAAGAAGGCCGGCACGGCGCACGAGGGGGTGGGTGACAAACACCACGCCCCGCCACCCTTGTCTCCCCTATACCGATGTTTACACATTGCACAAGGTACTCATTTGAGGCTGAGTCGACCTAGTGGAGGCCCAGAACTGGTCACTGGTGCTGGCCGTGAATCGGGAATCAAACTCGGGTCGGCAGTTTCGTAACGCAGCAGGACATACACACGCACACACACACACGCACACACACACACGCACACACATACGTGCACACGCATGCACTCAAGATCTCCACCTTAATTGGAATTGGCGCTCTCTAAAGTAGCGCAGGACAAATTTCGCAATCATCAGGCATGTGCAGCGCCCGTGTTTCTACACTCTTTCCTGGCCACCCCATTATCATCATAATCAACATTTTTTTTTATATTAACCAATTTTTTATTTTATCAGGTAAGGCCCACTGAGCTATTTCGCTCTTTTTCAGAAGCGACCTGGCCACAAATGATAGCCCAACGAAGTGGCTTATCACGTGGACATTTATAGCAGCCAGATACTCTAAACGCATGTTTCGAAAAGTGGAGGGGAAAAAAACAGAGGACCCGGAGAAAAATCCATGCGACCACGGGGAGAGAGACACCACAAACTCCAAATATACAGCAGGCGTCAGGGTCGAAATCGAACCCACGACCTCCTGTATACGAGGCGAGGTAATAAACATCTCGCCAGTGCGAGATGCTGACTCGATGATCGAAGTAGGCATACGCTGAGACGGTGAAGCACGTCGGCGCTGGACCGGTGCCCCCACTCCTCCTCCACCACCTCGCCCTCCAGGTTGGAGTCGTCCAGGCACGGCGCGCTCAGCCGCCGTCGCAGACCCGCCGACTCCTTCACCGGCATCTCCTCCAGGAAGCTGAACGTCGGCAGCCTGCAGCGAGCGGCAGGGCAGCGGCGCGGCCAACTCAGCGAGACAGCTCTCCCATGCACTGCTACGCTCCACGCCGTTCAGAAACCTCGCTCCACGTACCGGGAGCTTCTTAGAGCGAAATCTCGCTGCTGAACGACGGGCGGTAACGAGCCGAACGTGCATCGATAAGCCACGTGGCACGGCCACGAAAAAAAACTTAGATATTTTGATAGGAGACGATGGGACTTTGTCAAAGATACGATTGACAAATCTAGACACTCTCTGGGACAAGGATTCAGTAGCGATTCACGATGCTGTATCGCTTTCATATGAAGACACAGATCGGCGTTCTACTTATACGTGTGTTACCCATACTGCTCCACAACAACGCATAATTAGCACGGTTGGCTACGAACGGTGCGAAAGAAGTTTAAAATTTTTATTGAGATTTCATGATGACAATCATTCAAGCGAGTGTTGTGACTGGCAGAGCGGATGTCATTAACCCACCACCACCCGACACAGCCCATTAGTAAGGTTTGTCACGGAAACAAAACATGCCAATTAGTTGCTACTTCAGCACAATGTTTCGCCGGTGATTACAACCAGCTTCATGAAGTGATTTGCTAGACTTAGAGTGGGTGAGCATTGCGATTGACAGCGTGGGTGACCGTTGTGGGCTCAAACACTCGGGGGCATTTCAACCCTGAGCCAAAGCGCCACGCCACGCTGGACTCATCTCGAGTCGTGAAGGTGAAGACATTGCAGGAGTCTCAGACCAAAACTTACTCCTCTCCATCGCTGACTCTCAGGAAATCCAACTGCTGAACCAGCGTTCCAGAAATCAGCGCCTGGAGACAAGACGAGGCATGGTGGGCTTTTGACGAGGCCAGCATTTCCTACATTAAAACCAAACAACAAACTAACAACTTTTTTTTATTTTATTTTACCCACTAAGCTACACAGCTCTTTTTGAGAAGCGACCTGGCCACTCTAAACGCTCCCTTCATCCACATCAACGCCATCATCCACGGCCGGTGCCCCCCAGTGCCGGCGCATTCTACAAGCTCCTCCAACACACAAGGCATTCTGAGTATCAGGATTCCCAGTCCTGTTACTGCAGTGTGTAGGGTGTTCATGCTTCAGTATTTAGGGAGTCCATGGTGCATTGTGCAGGGTAGTCATGGTGCATCATGTAGGGTGTTCATGGTGCATCATGTAGGGTGTACATTGTGCAGCGTGTTCATGTGAAGCTTGTGGGGTGTTCATGGTGCAGCGTATATGGTGTTCACATTGCAGCATGCAGGGTGTTCATGGTGCAGTGTGTAGGGTGTTCATGGTGCAGTGTGTAGGGTGTTCACGGTGCAGTGTGTAGGGTGTTCATGGTGCAGTGTGTAGGGTGTTCATGGTGCAGTGTGTAGGGTGTTCACGGTGCAGTGTGTAGGGTGTTCATGGTGCAGTGTGTAGGGTGTTCATGGTGCAGTGTGTTCATGGTGCAGTGTGCTAGTTGACGCTGTGTTTAAGTGGAGTGCACCATGAACACCATCCAACGAGGATGGTGTAGTCGTGTTGAAAATCAGGCTAAGCGTGTATTTTATAATCTCTCTTACATATTTCAAACTTTATGTACTTGTCACTAATGTGTGTAGTGTTACGTTCACGCGTGGAGCGCTCTGTGACGATTTCATTGCGAAGGGCACTTTAATGAATAGTAACGTTTGGCCAAATGACGGAACATAACTGGCAGGGAGGCGACCGCCGCCTACGCAACGTCACCAAACAGTCAGAGGACTAAATGCGTTCGCCGCGATATCATTTTTCAAGCTCGCGGCGTCAAGATTTTAATTCGTAATCGATTTTTTTTGCTGGGGTCGGGTGGCCCGCATCGTGACCCGGCACCCAGCGATTCTCACAAATGTATCGCTACGTTTGGAAGCGAGGAACTGTTCTCCGACTTTTGCCAGTGTGCAGTTTAATTTGTTTGGGTGCGTGATAGCCGACGTGGTAAAAATCATATTTGACGACGTGAAAAACGTTGCGAAATCGTTCTGACACACAATAAATATCACGTAAAAGTTCTTCAAGCACGGTTCACTCGACACAAGCCTCGAATAAATCTTGCAACTTCACATCTCCAATGTTTACAAACGCTTACAACGCACGCACAGTCACAGAACAATGACGTCGTATAATCAGCGTGCCGTCAAATTTATCTGAAAATCGTTAATACAAAGCTATTTACTTTTAAGTTTAGTCATCATTGTGAACTAAAATTATTGACTCATAGCTATATATATTTGGGAGATTTAATATTTTTAAATAGGCAAGAGTAAGCCACGAGAATCATGATAGGACGTTCTGCGAAACAGATGATACGATGACCGTGGATATTACATCGTACCATGTATTGCCATCTCTCGACAACCCTAAGACTTCGTGATGATGCAAAGCTGTGCAAAATGTTCAAGAACCCTACACGTTACAGACAAGACACTACAAATCATACCAAGGGAAAATGCATTGCATGAATTAAATCCCGACACTAGAATCGCGACGATTGAATCTAATCGCCAGGTGGGTTTCGTGACTCCGTCGTAATGTGCACCAACGCCTACTTTATTGAGAGCAATATTGGCGAAATAAAATGAAGATCGGTCGAATGATCGATCAGGTGACTCGCGGAGTCCCCTACCCCAGACCACCTTGTCAGTACCTGAATTCTGTCGACGCGAACTTTGACCCCTCCGACACTACCCCGCTTGAAATCCGCCAGCATGTCCATCATCGGCTCAAAGCGGCTGCCCCTGTTGGGAGGCGAGTGAGCGAGAGAGTGACATTCCACACCGCGACCTTCATTGACCCAGAGAACGCGCCGCTCGTCTGTGGGCGCACAGTGCAAAGGTGCAGTGCTATATAACCGGCTGCTGCATCAATGCATTTCCACGATAATCAACGCACAGTCTCATAATAATAATAATTTAGTGCATTTGATATTCGTGCCATTTTTGCAGCACAGGGCTACCAGTAAGAACGGTGCAATGTTCCACGCAGTCTGCAATAGTTTTCGCAGCAAGGAGCGTTGTTGCTGCGTGCAATTCAAACCGAGTAATTTGCTAGCTGACTTTCAAGACATTTGGACCACGACGCCAAAGGCCTTCTCTCCCAAATGACGTCCGGGGATTTTCAACGTCTCCTGCGAAGCGGACGGGCGTGCGGCATTTGTACAGTCAATACACCTGCAGAGATGATGCTTCCTGACGAGCAATCGATATACTTCGCTGTGGTCACTCATCCAAATTGCTTGCCAAGCCCAAACTCTGCTTAGCTTCTGAAATGGGGCAGAGTGCAGAAACGGCAGAGCTGTGGGGCTGGCAGGGGAGCGCGCGCCGACAGGAACTTACTTGAGGTTGTCCTCGCGGATTAGGAGGAGGCACAGTGGCCGTTTGCTCATCTTCCAGCACTGAGACACAAACTGGAGACAGTTCTGTAAAGGAATGGCAGCGATTGGCAATTGTTTGTAAGAATAATAGTTATCATCGTCCTCGTCATCATCATCATCATCAGTCACGATAAATCCCCTGCTGAATGAAGACCTCCCCAGGCTGCCGCCATCTCTCGCTGCCCTGCGAGATAACAACCCGCCAGCCACGTGCACAAGAGCCGATTTCATCGCTCCATCTCTGCCACTCTGTCGTTCGTCTCGGCCACTGGCTGTCATCTCCGCTAGCGACGCATCCGGCACAAGCCCAATTACTCTTCACAGTAAATGTGATGCCTGTGACCTGTGTATGTTTTCAGGGTGGCAGGGTGGTATAGTGGCACAGTGGTCACACTCGCGCCTCAGAGCAAAAAGTGTCTGGGTTCGATTCCCGACTCGGGCGCCTGCGTGGGTTCCCTCCGGGTTCTCCGGTTTCCTTCCAAAGCAAAAACAACCCCCACAGAATGTAACTGACATTAGGAGGACCCTCCTTAAAAACACAGTCTTGGAACTCGATGAGGCTTTCCCGGGTAAACAAGCACAGTCAGAAATATTAATAGATTCGACAATATCAATAGAAAACTGACGGCCTATATTTGAAAGGCCGTAGTGAGGACCCCTGTTCTCGAGCCATCGCAACGCAAAAGCTCCCTTGGGGGGGCCACTTTCTCTGCCATAAAACTCTGCGTTTGTGGGGGGAGGGGGGGAGGAAAAGAAAAAAATCGAAATACATGAAATGAAAATTAGCTCCGAGCAGTGGGAAGTCGCGTTGTATTTCATCGTCAGAGCGGCACGTTAAACCGCGGTAATGGGAACACCCCGTGTAACGAGCTACCTCGCGTCGCCGTTACGATCCATCTCCCTCTCACCGCCTCGCCAGGCGTGAACACTCTGCATGGTTGCCTCTCGCGAGCACCTTCACCACTTGAATCGCCTCGAAGGTAATGGGTCGTGACTTTTCCTCCTCCTCCTCCACCTCTGGTGGTAGTGTAGGTGGCACCGCGGGGGTGGGTGCAAAGGAGGGGGTGGTGGGGACGCTATCACCCCACACCCATTCGCTCATTCTTTATTGTATGTATGTTGAACTTCTTTCGCACCATACGTAGCCAACCGAGCACAAAGTGAGCTTAAAAAGGTGTGGGAGAAAATGTATTGGAGGAATAGAGAGGTCCTAAGATTCTGACAGCAGCGACGATGCTAGTGAGACAGAAGGAGGAGACAGGGAGTGAATTCCAGACGAGGGGAGCTGCGACGGAGAAGCGACATTACAGTTCGTCTGGTTTGAGAGGTGACGAGCTCGATAATGAGGAGGTCGCTTGAGGCCAATCGGAGGTTTCGAGATGGAACGTACGATGAGACGGCGGAAGCTGAATCGGCCGCTTGACTCAGAACGCATGCGTGGGGGCCTCACGGAGTTGATTAACCCTTTACAAATTCCGATGACCTACGTGTAAAATCATCGACATGAAACCAGATGAAAAACTAAAATAACTTTATTGGCACCGATGCTTCCACAAGGCCATGTGTGTGGCAGTTTGTCAGCAGCTATCATAGAGTGCAGCCGTGTCGCTACGGTTCTCTGCGTTGAGTACAATGTCTTTAAAAACAATGACGCTACTGCTCTCTAAATAGATTCACGCTGAGCCTATTGTGCGTGCCGAGATTCAGCGATGAATGGGAACCCACCCTACAACTTGCAGACGTCTCGGAACGGGAAAGGGTTAAGAAGCTCTCAGGGACGGGTGGAATTGGTTGCGTGTCGTGCCGAGCAAACCGCCCCAACTCACCGGGGCACGGAGACAACCAGTTAGAAAACAAGTCCCAGGAGTAACGATTCGGTCCCCGAGCGAAGGCACGGCACGGATGCTCATCACAGCTGGGGCTGCACGGCGCTCTTTCACCTAAGCCATTTCTAGCTGGCGGTGTGTGTTATTGGTGTTTCCAACCACGGGCAAATCAGCCTGAAATGTTACCGTTGAATTCCTTGCCCCCCTGTCCAGGGCCAGACTCAAGACCTTCTATTCTTTTCAGCTGACTCGGCACTCCGATGGGCCCCATAAAGCAGACGCGGGGCGCACTGGGCGGAAGACAACTCGGTGCCTTAATCTCACCCACAGATCCAATCACACCCACAATTAATTCTCCAGCTCATGCGAGAGGCGCTCCTCATCCGCACCATGCCGACTCGCTGACCGCGGAGGTGCAGTTTGGCCTCGCCGAGCGTGAAGGCGAGCGAACAGCGCGGCGGCGTCAGGAGCCGACGACGCAGTCTTCCCGCTCGCACCGAGCGCTGGGTTGGCAACGGTGGAAATTCCACATTCCTATGGAGGGACCAGTCTATGGCTGACTAACCACAGCTGACTGACAACAATGTGATAGTTATTTTGCCCATGGAGATTCAAAAGAATGCATTGTTTGACATGCGAGCAGGTGATGGAAATTCTACATTCATATGGCAGGGGCCAGTCTCTCAATTGAACAGTTACTAATCTTGGTTCTTTTGGTAAAGTCACGTAGAAGGGAAATAATAAAATAAGAACATTTTAAATAAAATAATAAAATTCTCACGACGTTTCGATTGCAACACAAGCAACCATCATCAGGTGTGAAAACCACAGCAAGAAAAACAAATTGATGATTGCTTGTGTTGCAATCGAAACGTCGTGAGAATTTTATTGTTTTAGTTTTATTATTATTTTATTATTTCCCTTCTACGTGATTTTACCAAAAGAACCAAGATTATTAATCCCTGCAGTCACGAAAGCTTTAAATCGAAATTGAACAGTTACTGTTTTGAATTCGCACAGAATCGTACGTAATTTAGTGTCCCTTTGTCTCCCCGGTGCTGATGTTTACACACCACGCCAGGTGGTACTTGTTTAGGGCTGAGTCGACTTAGGGGAGACCCAGGAGCTGTACAGGTATTCATTACCCTCGTATTTAGGGGGTGTAATGTGGACATCATTCACCGGTTTACATGGGTCCTTAGGCTTGCGATACTTGCACGGATTCACGTGCGAAGAAATCAACGTTTTTCAGTTCATATGCTTCTAATGTCATGGGTTTGTGTGGCCTCTGCAGCTGCTATGTTTACTGCAAAGAATAGATTTTTAAATTAAATTGTGATCCTAAAATGTGGCAATTAATTCGGTGGGGGGCGGAGGGCAATTGGTTAAATCTCCGAGACTATATCTTTTTATATATATATATTTTTACAAATATGAGCCATAGCACTGACGCCATTGCGCTTGTTTATCCACCAGAGGCTCACCGAGTCACAAGATTCATTTTCAGGAGGGTCCTGCCAAGTTTTGCGCAGTAACGGGAGATGTCGCTACTCTGTGCAATCCAATATAATAAGTTGCTAGTAAAGTTTGACCGATGGGATCTTTTTGGCCAATCCCACTGACGTTTTATGTTGTTTCGGTTTAGCTATGGGAGGAAACAGGAGAATATCGAAGGAAACCCATGCAGGGCAGGGGATAACTTACAAACTCCGCATGGAAAGTCACCTACATCGGGAATCGAACCTTGTTCCTTTGTTGCTGTGAGTCATGAGTGCTACCATTGCACCAGCACCCTGCCACCCAATGGCGTCATCGAGTCGTGAATGTTCATAGATGTAACAAAGGAAATACGTTTACAAGAAAATTAAAGTACAAATGTGTAATCAAAAAAAGACCCCGTAGTAAACTGACGTTAGGACGCCAAAAAAACATCAGACAATTGCAGGCGGCGTGAATGTCAAATCATTGCAAGTGTAGGACGAAGCACAATTTATTAACATAATTGGCAATAATTTCCGGCTGTATTTGAGTCTCAGCGGACCACAATTAACCTCGAGACACAGCCTACCGGCGAATTAGCGCTCACAATTTGTCTTGCGATGACTCAAGCGCTTGCAACAACACCATTCTGTTGGCTGTGCGCCACAGAGACAGTGCGGGTTCAATAGAGAGAGAGAGAGGAGGAGGGTGGAGGAGGACAGGGGGAGGTAGCCGTGTGGTGAGGCTCCGAGGGGAGGCTGTCAGCGTGTGATTAAAATCTGAGCGCAGAGTCATAAATCTTTTGCTCGGAGAAAGTTGGCTGCGCTAAGTTCTGGCCGAAAAGACACCCCGTAATAAAACGCGTCTGAGCTCGAATAGCCATGATGATTATCGAGACGTCGTTGCTTCTGACAACAATGATTATGTTGGTGTTTCTGCCGCCGATGATAACAATGACGAAGATGCGGACACCGATGGTTGTGGTGATGATGATTACGATGTTGCTTACGACAATGATCATGATGATGGTCGTAATGGTGAGTGATGATGCTGGTGCTGATGCTTACAATGATGATGATGTCCACACTGATGACGATAGCGATGATGATTATACTGCTTCTGCTTGTGACAACAATGATGAATATGATGTTGGTCGAGATGGTGATGATGACACTTACTGTCTATTCATGACAACAATACTGATGATGACGACGATAGTGGTGATGGTGATGTTGCGAGCATGATGGTGATACTACAGCAATGACATCCTGATTTTCCCAGGATCATCGCTCTTGCTGAGGAGGTAGCTGTCCTGGGAAATTTGAAAGTTATCACAAAATATAAAAAGTCTCAGATTTTGTGAGTTGCACAATAACAATAACACAGCGCTCAAGACGACGAATTCACACGAAGCTCTCCCCTCTTCTGGATCTGTGAGATATTATTTGTCCCATGATGTGCCAACTGGAGTTGCCACCTGTCCCGGTGTTCCCAGGAGCATTCCTTTGTTGTTCGGGATTTTTGTACCTCTGAGGTGGCAAGCCCACCCCACTCACCACTCTCCACTCCTCCCCACTCACTACTCCATACTCACCACTCCTCCCCACTCTGCACTCACCACCCCCCACTCACCACGATGTTGTCCTTGAGCAGAAGGACGTCTTGGCACATGTAGAAGTCACTCAGGTCAAAGATGACGGGCAGGCAAACCACGGTGCGGCCCAGAATACGATACGTCTGCGTCGAGAGGGATAAGGGCACAGCGCCGTTGGTGACACAAACACACAGAGGGCACAAAAAATACAAGAGACCCAGGACCTGCTCCAGACAAAGACAAAGATCCCCCGTATAGCCTTTACAGACTTTTGGGGAAAGTGCTGCTAGCGAGCACTGATGAAGTCCGGCACAGCACACGAGGAGGTGGGTGGCCAGCACCACACCCGGCCGCCTTTGTCTCCCCAGTGGCGATGTTTACACACTGCACCAGGTACTCAATTGAGGCCGAGTCGACCTAGGAGAGGCCCAGGACCGGTTCAGACAATCGCCACTGGTGTAGGTGGCAAATCCAGATCTCTGGGTTCATAGCGCAGAGCACTCACCACTCCGCCACCACTTCGCACGTCGTTGGTTACACAAATGCCTGGGGAGGGCATGAGGGCTGATGGGGGATACTAGAAGATGGGGTCCCAAGGTACTTCATGCCACCACTTTTAGTTGCGATCCATTTTTTTATGGAGGTTAAGGATGTGACAAAGCTTCATTCGCGAGTAGTTCAATTGTCGGAAGATGATTCTGTTGGAACGGGACCGGTCCGAGAGGACGTCCGCTGGTGAGATGGAGCGATGAAGCCAGCTCTTCCGCAGGCAATGGGCGGATTGTTCTATCGCGGGACAGATGGTGGCGGCGTGAGGAGGCCTTCATCCAGCAGCAGATTGACCACGGCTGATGATGATTTTTTATCATTTTTTTCTCACCCCACTAAGCTTCGATGCTTTACCAGGTTAGGAAACACATCTGATTTCTGTCGAAAGCACCCAGCAGCAGAGGGCAGAGATCGTATTGTGTCCTCATTGTATTCACCTATTACGCTGCTGCAGGGTAGAGCGGTGGTGCAGCGGTTGACACGTCGCAATATCAACCCGGTGACCCGAGTTTGATTCCTAGCCACGGCTTACATCAGTCGCGAGTGATATCTGAACAGAATCCAGTCGCACACCCCTCACCAACCGCGCGCTGACGGACGCGGTGAAGTTACGTCCAAACAATCCCCACAATCCACACGGGATGGGCAGGCCTTCATCCAGCAGTGTATTGGAAACGGCCGAAAATACGTTTCACTGTCGTGCTACGGCACAGCACTGTACAATAATTTCCCTCCTCGTGTTTGGAAATCTCTCTCGTCGAGTTTCTACAACCCCGCTCGATGCAACAAACGCTGCTCCTCTCTATCTTGCTCATCCACCCATCGCGTGTTAGATATCTTGGGTTGGAATCCAAGATTCAGTCACTTGTGCTTTATCTGAATTCCCAGGGAAAGCCGCACCGAGTCCCATGACTCTTGTCAAGGAGGGCCCTGCCATGTATTCGATGGAGCGTACTGCTAAGTGACAGCCTGCCGCCGTGTGAGTGCGGGGGGCAGGAGGCTTGTGAAGTGCGCCAGGGCGTGTTGGGTGGGCTGGTTGTTGTTGCCCTCACGTGCTGGAGAAGGAGGAATCTGTCACATGGCTCTGTGGCTACGCAGGGACTGACGTCCCATCACGATAACATCGACATGCGCATCTCATTATTTAATGATAAAATTTCCTAGTGTACCTGGTGCACTAACCATGTAAAATCATTCGCTCAGTCAAAAAAAACAGTCATTGATGACGGATTGAATCACTCGCCGCCAATGTTATCCTCGGGGCCTGGGATCAAACTCGGCTTTCCGGATTCAGAGCGCGGCGCTAGCCACTGCTCCAGCCTATTACATGTTAACAGGTACACGCGAGGTACACACGAGGTGTCGATGAGCCACTAAAAACACAGAGGGCAGAAAAGTCCAACCGCTTGGCGAACGGTGCCGTTGGCGAGACTAGCCGTTGAATTAAGCAGCTGCTTTTTTCTTCTTGGGTCTTTCGGTAAAGTCACGTAGATAGGTTAAAAGAAAATAACAAAATAACCTATCTACGTGACTTTACCGAAAGAACCAAGAATATTAATTCCTGCAGTCACGAAAGCTTTAAGTCAAGAGCTGCTTTATTGACGAGAAATTATCAGTCATTAGCATTGGATTAAATCAACAATAAGTGTTGGTGAATGCTAAACGCATCATTACTTCGACAGGGCATTACCTCATGATTAAACAACTAATTTATACACATTGTACTCACTTAAAAGTAAAAGAAAAATTGCAGCAACAGTAAAATGTTTATGGATTACATTTCTACCTCCGTTATTTAATGTCCCCCCCCCCCCAACACCGTGTTAATCTGCGTATGCGAGTGAATTAATAAGCGGATGATGCGTCCACATTACACAGTGGTAAATTATCGGTGGGCAGGACGCACAGGAGACGTTAAAATGTCAGGCAAATGAAATTTATTTTAATGCAGGGGCTGATGGAAAATTACCGTGAGCCAGCGCACAGCGGCTCCACCGGCAATCTGTTGCAATATTTCGAACGGTACGGTGATGCTCGGGCTACTTGTCTGGAAAAGCATCGCTGAGATGTCCCAGGAATATTTTCACAAGGGTCCTGCATTGAAATCGTAGATATGTTATTCCGCTTGTGCCATCAGTGTCACATCACAATATGAAGAATCCATGCGGATCTCATAGCCCATGGAAGTGGATGCCACTGAGATACATCCCACACCCCTCCAAACAAGCTCTGGTCCACAGTGTGGAGGGGCAGCCTTTTCCCACCTGCCCCTGCTGCTACAGTGTAATTAATATTCGTCACATGTCTGGCCGAACCGACGTTTGTAATTCTCAAGATATTGGAATTTAGCCAAATTAAGAGCAGAATCAAATTTCACGTGATGGGGATTTTTTGGTGCGATCATCGGTGATCTGTCTGACACCATCAACTCGATCAACTTGAGAACTCGGTTTCATCACAGGAGGCTGCAGCCTGGATTAGACCCCAGAATCTCGGCGGTGCCAGCAAAGCCCTCGGACCTTTGAGCTACGTGGCCATCGGAGGAAATCATAGAATATGATATACTGCAACAGGCCGCGCTCACAAAACATCAGACAGCACTTCCTCGTCCTCCGTAAAGAGTGCTTCCCCACATATCAATCATCACAGATGTTTAAAGAAAAGTTCAGGACATACATAAAGGAAATTAGAGCCCTTTATAAAACTGCTGCTGTATGAATGCCTCCCAATGCTGTGTCATGGGAGTTGTTTGATCATAGTTCACCTTGCTAATCAGTGTGGGTTGGTGAAGCGAAGCCTTAGGACTGATTTGTATAGCACTCTGCACTGACATTAGCCATGGCCAGCAATCAAACTCGGACGCCAGGTTTGTAGCACAGTCCAAAAACCGCCTCGAGACTGAAGACAGTGAAAGCCATAAAGTATATTATGGATTAAAATTAAATTCTCAGGTCAATGGGTCGAATCAACCCATCATGCTTCCAGCAACAATAACCTATGTACCACTTTGCAGGAAGTTAGCAGTTATTATTTTATGAGAAAGGATGGCTCCTGCCACATTAATGTGGAATTTCCAGCACTAGCTCTGGAACCAGTAGTTCTCGTAAGAGCAGCATTGACCTGTGCATTAACATTCCAATTCGGGGTCGACTCAGTCTATCATCCCTCCTTGGATGATACAATAAGTACGAAGTTATTGGTAGTTGTCCTCTAGAGAGAATGGTGTCTGTCGGAAGAATGTGGAATTGACACCACTGACTTGGGGTCTCCAGTGTAAATGTGTGTCTCCAAAATTCTCGTTGGCGCGGTAAATACTTTTATTTGTTGACTGTAGATAAAAGTGTGATTCGAACTCAGGGTCTCTTGGTGCGAAGGCAAACACTCTGCTCTTCCGTATCCCAACCAACTTGAATAAATCTCAGAAATCTGAAAATCGTACTTATATACAAAATGTGGGATGAATCAAACACATTTGTTTGGGATTGATCCAAAATATTGCGCACAGGAAGTGATGTCAATTCTATGGCATCACTTCCTGTCAATGATGTTTTCAGGGGACATCACTTCGATGATACATGCTTCAATTATAAAGGATAAAACATTAAAATAATGGTTTTATTGATTGAGCTATGTATTAAAATGTGTAATGCAATTATTAATATTTAACACTGAAGATATAATTACACTGAGTGCATGTACAATGAATGTTAACAACATTGAATACAAATCCAGAAATATCGACATTTTTAATTAAATCCCAAATTTGCGGCAACAAGTCTCAAAATCCGATATGATGATTTCATATGCGAACAAAATCTGACCCATACCTCTAAGTATGCAGTAAAAATAATTTGGTAGAACACCACTGCCCTTACCTTGGCGGTGCCCAGGCACCCGATGGGACGTGCCGGCCGGCCCGAGAGGCCGAGCTTTGGGTTGAGACCCAGGTAAGAGTACGCCTGCAGACAACAACAACAACAAGTCAACGTGACTCTACCTTCACAGACTCAAGAGGTGGAATTGGGTGGATCACTCAGAAATGGGGGCCTGTGAGAGAGATGCCCAGATGGTTGGTGGAAGTGGTGGGGTGGGGAGGCTTGGAATGGGCAAGAATCGCTGAGGTAGCAACGCTGGAATTCTTGACTCGGATCTTGGGTTTCAACCACCCCGTGATTAAACTGGCTTGTCAAGTGTAAGGTATTGATAGCCATAGCCTGGTAACCAATCATTGCACAAACCATCATTATAGTAAATGTGGTTATTAATTTAATCCTGCATGTTTGAACTATGAGGCCACAAATAGCTTGTTATGATTGCCTTTTGGGATGTAAGGTTTTGGGATGTAAATTTATGGTCTCAGTATGGTAACCAACGACTAGTAAAAACACACAACGGGTTAGAGTCTATTTTCGACTTAATTCGCATTATTTCGGCTCTAATATTCGTACAAGTTTTTTTGATTGGCATACAGTGAACTCTCTTTTCATGGCATATACGTGTTGTGCCCTTCGTCTGGATAAGAGGCAACTGAGACGATAGTTCAACCTTGATTTGAGGCTTTCGTGACTTCAGGAATCCATATTCTTTGGTTCTTTCGGTAAAGTCACGTAGGTAGAAAACGGCTGAAGCAAGCTTACTTCAGCAGTTTTTCCTTGCTGTGGTTGTCCCACCTGATGACGATTGCTTGTGTTGCGATCGAAACGTCGTGATCTATTATTTTTCTACCTACGTGACTTTTACCGAAAGAACCAAAGAGTATGAGAAGATGGTCCTCATTATGAGTAGTTCTGTGATTTTTCGATTTGAAGCTTCCATGACTGCAGGGATTCATCTTCTTGGTTCTTTCGGTAAAGTCACGTAGAAGGGAAATAATAAAATAATAAAAATAAAACAATAAAATACAATTCTCACGACGTTTCGGCCACAACGCAAGCAGCCGTCCTCAGGTGAAGAACAGGTCTGTCGGACGCTGTCTTTCCGACAGACCTGTTCTTCACCTGAGGACGGCTGCTTGCGTTGTGGCCGAAACGTCGTGAGAATTGTATTTTATAATGTTTTATTTACCAAGAAGATAGTTCCGTGATGTCATGTTCTGTGGGCCTTTCCGACATCAGCTGGTGCACTGCTCCCTGCAAGAGTTCAAATTAGCAATGTCCTCATCCTGTGGCCTGACACAACTCAAGTAGAATTGGAAAGCATTTCTTTGACAACGTCATGCCACGGACCATGTGCAGGTTTCAATGGCGTGCCTTGTGGAAGGCCGTGCAGCAAGTAGGCTGGCAATATAACTCTGCGGGGCTTGAGTATTTGCCTCCCAAATATGTTTTCCATCCAGAAGACAAAGATCCCCCGTATAGCCTTGACAGACTGGTGGGGCAAGTGCTGTTAGCGAGCACCTATGAGAGCCCGCACGGCACACAGGGAGGTGGGAGGCCAGCACCATGCTCGGCCGCCTTTGACTCCCCAGTGGCGATGTTTACGCATCGCACCGGGTAATCATCTGAGGCTGAATCGACCTAGGGGGGGCCCAAGACCGGTTCAGTTAATCGTCACTGTTGTTGGCCACGGGCGGAAATCGAACTCTGCGTGCCAGGTATGCAGCAAAATACGATAATCACTGCGCCACCGCTCCCAAAAAACAAAGATCCCCCGTATAGCCTTAACAGACTGTAGGGGCAAGTGCTGTTAGCAAGCACCTATAAAGGCCGGCACGGCATACGAGGGGGTGGGTGGCCAACACCACGCCCAGCCGCCTTTGTCTCCCTATTGGCGATGTTTACACACCGCACCAGGTACTCATTTCAGGCTGAGTCGACCTAGGGGAGGCCCAGGACCGGTTCAAATAACCGTCACTGGTGTTTGCCATGAGCGGGAATCGAACCCGGGTCGTCAGGTTTGTAGCGCAGCGCGCCAACCGCTTCACTACCGTTCCCTACACACGCATGCGCTCGCATTCGCATGCAAGGACTCCCCGCGGTGGTGAGGCCTGGCGCAGCTTGATGGATGCCATTTAATTTTTTTGTTGTCTCCCCGTGCCAGTAGATTCATGGAGGGTGCGACGTGTCGGGCACGGGAAGTCAAGGCGCCAGCGGGGGCCCCGGTACCCTCCCCCCCCCCGTGAGGTCGAACGCCGGTGAGCCCCGACGCGCTTCGTCACGGCACCGCGAGCGGCTCAGTTCAGCCGCAACGCGGCACCAGGAATTATATCGGCGCGCCACATCCGTCTCGCCTTGTATTACCCTCGTAATTTATATTAAAAGCTCTTCATGGGATTATAGGGATATAGGAGTTAGGGGTAGTTTGGGGGCTCTCACTCTAAATGGGGAAATGCCAAATGGCTCAAAACCTCCCCAGTCTATGACACAGCAGATGGAGATGTTCCAGCTGCTGTTCATAGGAATCAGAATATATAAAGTCATCAAGGATGGCGACATGTTAACTACTTCGCCTGGTATACAGGGGGTCGTGGGTTCGATCCCGACCCTGACGCCTGCTGTATATTAGGAGTTTGCGTGTCTCTCTCCCAACGGTCGCGTGGATTTTTCTCCGGGGCCTCCAGTTTTTCCCTCCACATTTAGAATCAATGTGCGTGAAGATTATTTGGCTGCTGTAAATTGATTAGCCACTTCGTTGAGCTATCAATTGTAGCCAGGTCGCTCAGTGGACCTGACTTGGCAAAATTAAAATAATTCAGTTTAGTTTTAGTTTAATCTGCTGACGAATGTCCAGGGCTTGAATCCAGGATTTCAGTCGAGTTGGATCAGCAATTTGACGCGGACTGCCACCTCCCTAAGCGGACTTTAGTTTACACAACAACAACAAACAATTATAATCACAAAAGCCTTAAGTGTTCTTCGATGCTGTTCATAATAAATGTGAAGTATTGCTCCAACTGCGATGGCGTATTGATGAAAGAGAAAGTGGTTGATTTCTGGGTTAACAATGTGTGTATGTCCTCTACAAGACAAACACAGCGGTGCTTCATTATAGAAATAAAATAAAAACTGGCCATTATATAATTTAATTCCGCTTTCATAATTCATATTTACCACCTCGCTAGACTCTATAGAACCGCAAGTGATCACGGTTGTGAGTTCAATCAGCAATATTCTTCATGCATCTCCATCACTGCTGATATCATCATCATAATAGTGATCATCAGTCCTGAATTCGTCATCGTTGTTACCATCATTATCATCACCATCATCCAATTACAAATAGTGTCAATCTAAACCTTCAGCAGTCATGAATCCATTATCATTGTTATAATGATCAAACTTTCAAAAACATAAAAAGGTGCAGCCCTGCAATTGCTTGCTCACGACACTGCTGCTGGAAGGGGCCTCTACGGGAAGAAGCTTTGGAGTGCCCCTCCAGAGAGGACTCTTGGCCTCCTCTTCCACACTGGCCTGACGTCGTGGAGGAAGTAGGCGTATCCACACTGTACCCCACCGACTGACCATGATGAACCCATGCACTCACATTGCTGAGTGGAGAGGGGCAGTGGAAGGGGAATCTAAGAAACTTGCCCCATCGTTTCAACTGCCGCGCCGGGAGGTGGGATTGAACCTGCGACCATCCGGGTTGCAAGTCCGGTGCGCTAACCGTCGTGCCGCAGCGGCAGCGTCAATGTGGCACGATCCGGAGCACACATGAAGCCAAAAAATACTGCAGAAATGAAGAGGAACACGATGTTTCCGAGATGTGTGCCAAGCCTGCGTCAACGCAATTCAGTAATCGCTCCTTCACAATCTTGTCTTTTGAATATAACAAATATACAGACATTGATCTCCCATTGTATGGCCTTAACAGACTGTTGGGGGAAGTGCCGTTAGCGAGCGCCTATGAAGGCCGGCACGACGCACGAGGGGGTGGGTGGCCAACACCACGCCCGACCGCCTTTGTCTCCATAGTGGCGAAGTTTAAACACAAAATGGCATCAGGTACTCATTTTAGGCTGAGTCGACCTAAGGGAGGCCCAGTACTGGCTTAGATAATTGTTACTGGTGTTGGCAGTGAGCGGGAATCGCACTCAGGTGGCTGGATTCATAGTGCAGTGTATCTCTAACCGGTGCACTAGTAAATAAATATATATACACACGATTTAAATGTAATGTGAATCTATAATGGGTTTAAACTTCGAATATTGAAGTATATGCTCTCCATTTGTCTATGTGACAAAGATGACATTCACCGTGTTAAGAAAGCCAACTTGTGCGTAATCCACATTGACAGGGTACGTCTGCTCACAATCAACTGCTCTGTACGACGTGGCTTCTGGGGGGGGGGGGGGGGGTATAATGGCCATGTCAGATCACTCAGCTAACACCACTGAGATCCTGGGTACAAGTCCAAGTTTCAGTCACCTGCAATTGCATCATGTTCTGAAGCGCCGTGGTGCTGAGATGTTAACTACCTCGCCTGGCATACAGGAGGTTGTGGGTTCGATCTAGACCATGACGCCTGTATATTTGGATTTTGCGTGTTCTCCCTGTGGTCGCGTGGATGTCTCCCCAGGTCCCCCGGGTTTTCCTCCGCATTTAGAAACATGCGTTTGAGTATTTGGCTGCTGCTATCAAGTACCACGCGATAAGCCACCTCAAATAGCTATCATTTGTGGCCAGGTCACATCTAAAAAAGATCGATATAGCTTAGTGGGCCTTACCTGATCAAATAAAACATTGTTTAATATAAAAAAAAATGTTGATGATGATGACGATGGGGTGGCCAGGAAAGAGTGTAGAAACACGGGCGCTGCACATGCCTGATGATTGCGAAACTTGTCCTGCGCTACTTTAGAGAGCGCCAATTCCAATTAAGGTGGAGATCTTGAGTGCATGCGTGTGCACGTATGTGTGTGTGCGTGTGTGCGTGTGCGTGTGTGCGTGTGCGTGTGTGCGTGTGCGTGTGTGCGTGTGTGTGTGTGCGTGTGTGCGTGTGTGTGCGTATGTGTGTGTGTGTGTGCGTGTGTGTGTGTGTGCGTGTGTGCGTGTGTGTGCGTATGTGTGTGTGCGTGTGTGTGTGTGCGTGTGTGTGCGTATGTGTGTGTGCGTGTGTGTGTGTGCGTGTGTGTGTGTGCGTGTGTGTGTGTGCGTGTGTGCGTGTGTGTGCGTATGTGTGTGTGCGTGTGTGTGTGTGCGTGTGTGTGCGTGTGTGTGTGTGCGTGTGTGTGTGTGCGTGTGTGTGCGTGTGTGTGTATGTCCCGCTGTGTTACGAAACTGCCGACCCGAGTTTGATTCCCGATTCACGGCCAGCACCAGAGACCAGTCCTGGGCCTCCACTAGGTCGACTCAGCCTCAAATGAGTACCATGTGCAATGTGTAAACATCGGTATAGGGGAGACAAAGGCTACATAGCTCAGTGAACCTTACCGGGTAAAATAAAAACATAGTTTAGTTTATAGCGTAACGGCATCAGCCTCGGTCACCAATGCCTGCACGAAAGGTTAAAGCGAAGCGCTGCAATTGCTTGGCTCCTGTCACTGCTGGCCCAAGCGGCCTCCACTGGAGGGAGCGCTCTCGAAAGCTCTCCGCTTGTTTTAAATAAAGATCCGTCGGGGAGGGCACATGTGCCTGGGGTTCTACCCCTCCTCAGAGGATGGACAGGAGTTCGTCACTGCCCTGCGGGGCTTTAGCTGCTGATACGCTCGCTCGGCGCGTGTTCGCCATTTTGCTTTGCAGTTTATGTTAAGTGCTCTCCCCCTTCCACATCCCCCTCGATGTCCCTTCTACCCCCTCCCTGTCGTTTGTCGCTCTTCCCTCATCTTCCCTTCCTCACATAAAAAATTAATGCTCCCGCTCGCGGTCCCCACACGGATGGAACAGTGAGGTCCAATTTTTGTCCCCTCCCCTAAACCCAGGAGTGTTGAGTTGAGGTCTTTTGTCCAGGTAATTTCTGCGCCCCCCCCCCCCTCCCTTTGTCACGATTTATGCTCGTGTTCAATTACAACAAAAAATAAAGATCGATCGTGCCAATGTTAAGAGACACGGACGAAGAAAACAGAACAGAAGCTGAAAAGTGCGCAAAAAAGCGTTTCCAGAGATACACGCTTTGCATCGCACTGGGAGACAGAGAGTAGGGACACGGTGATTTGGGAGCAAATGCAAAAAGGAGACGTAGATTTATTTTTGCATGGAAAGTAAAGGAGACTTGGGCCAGACGCGCGGTGGCGTGGTGGGACGATGGACGAGACTGGCGGTGGAACGGCAGCCAATGGAGTAAGCGTGGCCGGGAGGATATGAAGTGTGGAGATGGAGTGACGAAATTGGCTCTCTCGCAGGAGCTGGGTGGATTGATTTAGCCTGTTGTTTGAATGGATTGTAACTATATTGTAGTGTTTATTAATTGTGCGTGCAGAACTTTGAGATGTCGGTTCGAAAGACGCGTTATAAAATAAAGATGACCGTTATTATTATTATGATTGTGGCATCATGTGACCGTGATGGATGGTGACGGCTTGAGAAGACCCTCACACAGCAGCGGATAGATCATGGCTGAATTTAAATTCGAACAATTAAATTCTAAAAGGCTATTGCTCAACAGAAATGGGTCCATCTAGCAGTGGATAGAGAATAGCTGCTGCTGCTGCTGCTGCTGTTGATGATGATGATGATAAACACAAACGCCATATTCTCTGGATTACAAGACACTCCAGAAAGTAAGATGCACTCCAAACGTGTGCCCGGTGTTAACAAAGTGACATAAATCTCATCAGACATGCACACAATACACAGCTACCGTTCTTTGTGACGTACCCCAACCTTCTGATTTGAAATACAGGGGGTAGGAGAGGTATCGTATGGTCTGGAGAATACGGTAACGGAATCTGCCCCCACGTGTAGAGAGAGTGGAACCGCGGGGGCCACACTGGTGGTGCCACGGTAGCAAGACGTTCACTACCTTGCCTGGTATACAGGTCGTGGGTTCGATCCCGACTCTTGACGCTTGTATATTTGGAATTGCATGTCTCTCTCCCTGTGGACGCGTGTTTTTTTTCTGCGAATCCTCCGGTTTTTTAGCTCCACATTTAGAATCAACGTGCGTTTAGAGTATTTATCGGCTATACATTTACACGTGATACGCTTACTTTGTTGACCCTGTAATTTCACAAAGAGATATTTAGCTCAGTGGACCATACCGGGTAAAATAAAAACGTAGTTTTGTAGTTTATAGTTTCAATTTAGAAGGGGATCGTTACCTTTACGAGCTCCGACTGCGGCCACACCTGGATGGGCTCCATCTGCAGGGGAGTCTGGGACTGGATTCCGTAGGTGTTCAGGAACGCCTGCAGGCTGCAGTCAAATATACAAAGATAAATACCCCCCGTGTAGCCTTTTACAAGGGTGTTGGGGCATCATACACTGACTCACTCCCACATCATACGCTGACTCACTCGCACATCATACACTCACTCACACAACCACTGACCCATTCACTCATCATACACTAATTCACTCATCATACACTGACTTACTCACACATCATACGCTGAATCATTCACACATCATACACTCACTCACTCATCATACACACTCACTCATTATACACTCACTCACACAACCACTGACCCATTCACTCATCATACACTAATTCACTCATCATACACTGACTTACTCACACATCATACGCTGACTCATTCACACATCATACACTCACTCACTCATCATACATACTCACTCATTATACACTCACTCACACTACCACTGACTCACTCACACATCAAACAGTGTGAGTGTCATTCTGCCAGCTATGGCTGCAAAGTTTGGTCGTACAAGTTATATATATCGTTTATTGTTCAATTTAAATCACAGTTCCTATGACTACTGTTGTTACATTGTTTTTATAGCGTTATTTTGGTGATATGGGTAATCTAAATTGTATTATGGTTGCTATTGTTTTACTTGCTTCACACTGGGATCTTTGCACTCAGCGTTTTTTTTTGTGTGGAAGATTTGCTGGTTTATCCAGGATGTTTCTATTGCGCGTCGTCGCTTTAAGATGTTCTCCGTTAATATTTTGTTTGTTGCTGTTGCACCCGACTTAAGAGCCGCATGGCTCACAGGGCTATACCTAATAAATGAAACTTGAACCTTGAAAGTGCTGTCAGCGAGCTCCTATTAAGGCTGGCACGGTGCACGAGGGGGGGGGGGGGTTGGTATGGCTAACACCACATCTACCCGTCTTTGCCTAGTTTGTGCACCAGCTACTTGATTAATGCTCAGCTGACTTAGGGGAGGCCCAGCACCGGATATGATCGCAGTTCCCACTGATGTGGCTGGATTCATTGTGCAGTGCGTGAACCACTAGGCTGGTGCAGTGTCAACATCAGCATTCCAAGACAAAGAAAAACTCACTCCGCCACCACTCCCATGCACATCAACCTCATCATCACTTGTAACACCATCATCTGAATATCACCACCACAACCAATGCCATCACCATATCTACCACTACAACCACGATCAAAACCAACATGAGCACCATCACCATTTTCACCTCATGACCATTACCATCATCAACACCACCATCATCATCATTCCAGTTTTGTCATCACAGCCACTACTATTACTACGACCATAAATACCACTTTCATCAACACTAAAATCACAACTTTCGCCACCATCACTACCACCTGCATCACGAGAACACACCAACGCGAGCATTACTACTACCATGACCATCACAACCACCACCAAAATGATAATCACCACCCCTTTTTGTTTGACTCGCCATCGAACAAAGACGGTCACCACATCGCGCCCTTTCAGATGCGCTTCTGTGGCCATCTGGAACGCTCTTCCTTCCCACATTAGGAAGCCACTGGAGCTATGCACTTTTAATTAATCCAGATTAAAAACTCATAAACTAATTTCTTTAGAACTGCTTTTGTGTTTATTTGCTGCCCTTCCCCCGCACATACAATTAGCATGGTTGGCTACTTACAGTGTGAAAGAATTTGAAATTATATGCATAAATTAATAACACATTTAATCTAATAGGGGGGTGGGGGGTTGGTGGTTTGTGCAATGATAGGTGACCAGGCTATGGCTATCAACACCTTACACTTGGAACCCAGAATCCGAGGCTAGGATCTCAGCGTTGCTACGCACGGTGCGAAAACAGTTCTACATACATACAACACGACCACCACCACCGTAATCATAACGGTGTTCTAGGGGGTCATCATCGTCGTCCTGGCAGTGGTGTCCTCAGGAATATCGAGGCCTCCCTCCCACTCACTGTTGGCTCTCGGCGACGATCGTGACGTTGACGGCGACGTTGGTGCCCAGGGGCCCCTGGTTGTTGCGGGCGACACAAAAAAAGAGAATAAACACCGCGAAGACTCCGACGAGGCCGATCAATAACAACAACAACAACACCCGCTCCCTGCACGCTCCCAAAACAAACCCGCAGGCACACAGCTCGCGCACAATGCCAGCGACGCTCAATCTCATCTCCAGGCGCGCTCTCTCGCCAAACCTCTCGCCGTGACCTGTTTGTAAAATAAACCGCCGCGGCATTTATGATAACATCAAGAGCGATTGCCGCCCCGCTCAAATTGTTATGAATTTTAGCAGAACTTACCAACAGACGCTCGTAATGTTCCTTTCGCTGCATTGTTATTTTAAAGTCAGCAAAAGGTTTCTGCTCATTGGGTGAGGACTTGAATGTGGAATTTCCACTCCTCAGTCAGGGTAATTTTGGGAAGCTTCGTTTGAGCAGCGAGATGGCACCTCGACTTCAAGAGTGTCACCAAAATGCGCTTTAGCCAAGATAAAGTTCGTGTGAGGACCCATGATGAATTAGTACGTCGCCGGATCACGAGAGATAAAAGGCGCCTTGGGTAACGCCTTCATCCAGCAGTGGATTAACCACAGCTGATTATGACGATGGTGATTCAACGGGGGTGAGTTGAACACCCGTTAATTTTTCATGGGTAACTCAGTGAGCGGCAGTGGAAAACATCCGCACTGTGGAGGTTGGGGCGAATGGCTCCCGCTCGTTTTTGGATGGATCTGTGATACCACAAATGAGTAGTAGCTGCTCCATGACTGCATTAAGTTCATGCGACGGATGGTGAGTGACTCGGTACTGGGCCCCACTAACCGTGCGCTAAACGTTTGCTCCTCCGTCCCCTCACGAACACAATCATCAATTATGTCACCGTGCCCAACAAAGAGATTCGCAGATTCAAGCAAAAAAAACAAACGCGGATGTTTCTTGCGTTCAAATCTGTAAAGCATGAGAAAAACACCATAGTAACACAATAATAGTGTGGGCTGGAAAATCGTAAGCTTATAAAAGCAACACATAAACGTGTACAACACGAACAGCCACTTTGGCACTTCAGCAGTTAAATTTCGATTTAAAGCTTTCGTGACTGCAGGGATTCATCTTCTTGGTTCTTTCGGTAAAGTCTCGTAGAAGGGAAATAATAAAATAATAAAAATAAAACATAATAAAATTATTCTCACGACGTTTCGGCCACAACGCAAGCAGCCGTCCTCAGGTGAAGAACAGGTCTGTCGGAAAGACAGCTGTCTTTCCAACAGACCTGTTATTATTTCCCCTATACGTGACTTTACCGAAAGAACCAAGAAGACCTTCAGCAGTTGCTGAAGAAGTGCATTGTGGTCCTCTTGTCCTACGTCACCACCAATAAAAATCTTCAACAAATGTGACCACCGACCGACACTTCTTCAGTACAAACACCAATGCTTTATTGCATTTGCACAAAGGCTGTGGTGCTTTTTGACGCATTCTAATTTTTTGTGGCTATTTCTTGGCCGTATCTTTACACCTCTGGGTGGGTGCCCAAAAACCCACAACGGCCACAGTTGTAGCTGCTTGCACCCCTCAACAGGGTGGACAAAACGATTATTTGAGCGGAATAAATTGACGGGTCGACAAAACGACAGGGCATGACGGGGGGGGGGGGGGGCTTCTTGCGAAGTCTTACGTAACCACGATGGCACGGACGCACGCTGCGTGCATGAATGGACGCACGCAGGCAGAAACGGCCGAGGAAAAAAAAAAATTTGGCACGTTCCCTGTTTTCACACGGTCACACAGCACGCCCTCTCCTCGCGACAAGCGGGTGCTTTGAGAACGGCGTTAATTCATGCATTAGGCTTTTCAGTCACGGTTTCCATTGAGTTCTCATCTTTTACACTTTGCAGTTGGAGGATGAATGCCGGCCCCACGCTGCTGCCCATTGCCGTAATCCACCTCTCGGCCATGACGCGATTTCGTCGCTCCATCTCCGTGGCAGTCGTTCTCGCTGGCGCGCATTCCCTCCTTTGGCTGTGGTTCCATCGCCGCCAGTCTCGGCCATCGTCACTTCTAACCACCATGTGTCCAGCCCAAGGCCACGTGTCAATGATGCCTCTGATCTGTGTTTGATCTGCGTTGCGAACCTTTCTGTCTTACAAGCAGGATTCCAAATGTCAATCACTCCTCCATGCTGCTTCCTTGGACACTGGACATTTATCTGAGTGCATTAATGTCTCGGGTTTCACAATCACAAAGTGGCGAGGTGGCGCTGGAGTTTATAAATTATTGACTCGCAATCGGAAGTTTAAATTTCAGTTGGAGCACAGCCCATCATACTTGCAGGGTGTTAAGTCAACAGTGGTTTCCTGCAGAGAAAGCGGTCCCTGCCATGGGATTGAGGAGTTTCCACCACTGGCTCAGGACGTGATGAGTTCCAACTGGAATGCTCAGCTGACCAAGAAAAACACTGCGTTGGCCTCCAGACATTTGGCTGTCCCTCACTCCGGCCGTGTGGCAACACAGTTGGAGCTCGTCGCGGAATTCGCCACCGCTAAAACCCAGCAGCCGCCCCGGTTAACGCTACCAGGGTCGGCAAGGGGGTGGAGTGGCTAACACAACAGAGACAAAGATCCCCCGTGTAGCCTGTAACAGATTGTTGGGGCAAGTGCAAGTTAGCGAGCACCTATGAAGGCCGGCATGGCACATGAGTGGGTGGGTGGCCAGTACCATGCCCTTCCACCTTGGGCTCCCTTGTGGCGATGTTTTACACATCGCATCAAGTACACATATACAGACACGCATCACACGCACACGCGCATCCACCACCGCTCACCAATGTGCGAGATAAGTCAGCAATCTCATTAATGGAACTTTGGTGGCAGGAAGAGGTGGGGTGGGGAGGGACTGCCAGCTGCACATGAATGAGCGTGCAATCAATCACAACTTGTCAATGTGTGTCAATGACTGTGGCCTCGTGAGAGAGGGTGCGTGTGTTTTGCGTGTGTGTACGTGTTCTGAATGTGTGTGCGTGGGTACGTGTAGCGGTTAGCGCTCTGAGCTCCACCCGGTGGCCTCGAATTTTGATTCCCGCTCACGGTCAACATCTGAACCGATCCAGAGCCTCCCCTATGTTGACACGGCCTGAAATGAAAACCTGATGTGGTGTATAAACATCAGTACTGGGGAGACAAAGGCAGCAGGGCGTGCAGCTGGCCATCTACCCCCTCGTTCGTGTACTTTACCGGCCTTCGTAGGTGCTCGCTAACAGCACTTACCCCTACAGTCTCTTAAAGGCTATACGAGAGATCTTTGTTGCATGTGTATATGCATGTGTGTTGTGCGCGCACGTGTGTACGTGTAACGCGTGTAACGAGTATATTTATGCATGCAAATAATATTTATGTACATATATTATCGTATGCGTGTGTACATAAGTCCGTCCACGTGCGTGTGTGTGTGGTGTGTGTTTATTTGACCATGTACATGAGCTTGTTTATTGCCACAGGCAAGGCCAGGGAAGGTAACGTTGCCTCTTAACATAGTGCTGACACAAAGATTAACAGACACATTGAATAATGAAATTAGAAACCACCAAAACACACACACACACGTGCACACACACACACAAAGACAGCGATCTCCCCGTGCAGCTGTGAAGACTCATTTCATATGTAGGTTTTTGCGACCAACATTACGTTTCGGGTCAGTTCGTGCGGGAATAATTTCAGTTAGAACTACGAACCCTCCACCACACAACAAAAGCCAAACCAATCAAGCTGTGACGTGGGGCAAATATGGCCAATTAATTCTAGTTCCTTCAGCAAAACCAGAGGAGGGATGATGAAATGCGAGCAAAGCTCTGACAATCCTATTCGACGTTTTACTGAAGATGACACCAGCGTCGTCAGGCATGAACGCGAGAGCTCAGGTCTCGAGCGAACATCTAACAACATTTTTGTTACAAAAATGTTACTCGATTTTCAAACTAAACCCAGTCTGCTGGATCAGTTGGTGGAGGGTTGTGTGCTACAGCCCTGATAGACAATGTCCCCCACACGATCTCGCCCAATACAAAACAATGTTGATCCCCAAAGGCTGTTGGGCCAAATGGGATGCAGTGGCCAGCGCCACGCCCCGCCACTTTCGACTTCTCGGTGCTCATGTTTGCACACTGCACTTGGTACTAATTTAAGGTTGAGTCACCCTCTGGGAGGCCCATGACCTTACTGTTGAAAACAGGGTCTTACTATGTTCACATATACTAAACATACAAACCGACAATGACAAAGAACTCCCGTATACTCTTTGTTTATTCGGTAACGTCACGTAGGTATAAAATAAAATAAATCACGACATCAGGTGGGAAAGCAATGCTTTGCAATGCCACCTGATGATGGACGCTTGTGTTGCGCCCGAAACGTCGTGATTTATTTTATTTTATACCTACGTGACTTTACCGAAAGAACCAAAGAGTATGGATTCCTGCAGTCAGGAAAGCTTCAAATCAAGAACTCCCATGTAGCTATTTGTGAAGGTCAGCACAGTGTCTGTGGGAGTGGTGTGGCTAGCACCACGCCCGGCCACATTTATTTATCCAGTGCTGATGTTTACACCTGCACTACAGTTACTCATTTAAGGCCGAGTCGACCTAGGGGAGGTTCACGACCGGTTCAGAATTTTGCCACCGACGTGAGGCGTGGACAGGAATCGAACTCAGGACCGCGGGTTTGTAGCTCGGTGCACTAACCGCTGCACCACCGCTCCATCCACACATCCACATCGACACGTGAGACACGCACACTCCAAAAATTCCACAGCCCAAAGACAAGAGACGAGCATGTAAATAATACCAACATTGTAACTCAACACAAAATACGCATTACTCATGCCAGTGAGGATAATTAAATATTCGTGACAATTTTTTTCCCATTCACATTGTTAATACAGTAATAAATAAGACAAAACGATAAATATCCATCGCAGGTGCACTGTAAGCAATTTCCCCCCGAAAGAGACAATGCTGAATTTATTCCTTGATAGGAAAAGTGCCGTCCACGCAAATTAATTTTGCTCAAAAATGTTTCGCGTGGTGTTGGGCCGCGGTAACAATTTGCTTCCAAGATCGTTCGTCATCCTTGACCTGATGAAATATTAAAAACAATTTAATAGGAACGCAAAGTTAAGATCAGGAGTCGTAGCGGTGGCCAGGTGACTCGCTCGGCGCTGAAAGCGCTGAGCCAGCAACAGCTGGGAACCTGAGTTCGAATCGAGGTTACAGCCGCCCACTGTCATCAAACGGGGATCTCACACGCGGCGTGGTTGAGGGCCTCAGCCTGGTCACCGATAATTGCGTGAAATAAAAGCGTGACGTAAAATTTGGTTCTGCACTTAACGTGGATAAGTTTCAGTTCTGAAAAACGAATTTTAAATAGATATTGGTCGCGTGACAAACGTTACTTTCGGTGGTGGCAGAGAAGGAGGGGAAGTGCTGCTCCCCCTGCTGTGTTTGTTTGTCTCACCACAAGTACGTGTGCTGCGTACAGCCTTGATGCCTGTTTGCCGTTTCAACATCCTAGCACCTCCTGTATTGGTGTTAGTTGTGTTTGAGGTGACGCGGTGTGCCTACGATGAGGAGGTCCATGACTGCGAACGTTCATCACTGGTGTTTCTTAAAATATTTAGATTCTTAAAATATTTAATCGCGAAATTTAATATTTAACACAAATCCAAACGACAAGCGCGGTACAGCGACATTCTCGCGGAACGGTTGATCCGACTGTCGTGGACCTGATATCATGCGGTGTAATCCCCCCCACCACCCCCTCTACCCCCCCCCCCCCACCATATCGCGCTGACACCGGCTGCCAGCAGTTGTGACGACGCCACTACCGCCGGCGTCCGCGCCGCACCTGGTTGGAGTAGCGGAGGCTGACGTTGCGTCTGTCTCCCATGGGCACGTAGCGACGCACGGGGTCCAGCTCCTGGGGGGTGATCAGCCCGTCCACTGCAGGGTGACAGCGGCATCATCATCATCATCGTCATCATCGCCATCATCATCGCAATCATCATCGTCATCATCGCCATCATCATCATCATCGCAATCAACATCGTCATCATCCCCATCATCATCATCATCGCCAACGCCATTATCATCATCATCCCCACAATCATCATCATCGCCATCATCATCATCATCGCCACAATCATGATCATCCCCACAATCATCATCATCGCCATCATCATTATCATCATCATCCCCACAATCATTATCATCGCCATCATCATCATCACCATCATCATTGCCATCATCATCATCGCCACAATCATCATCATCATCATCGCCATCATCATTGCCATCATCATCATCGCCATTATCATCATCATCATTGCCATTGTCATCATCACCACCATCGACATCGCCACCGTCATCATCATCGCCATCATCATCGCTACCGTCAACGTCATCACACTTTATTTTGTTTGTCACAGTCGCTGTACTCAGGAAAGCTTCAGTGAGTCTGACGACTCTTCTTTTAGGAGGGTCCTCCGCATTGATGATGTTTTGGCCAATGCCAGCGACACTCTGTCTGTGTTTATGTAGCTACAGGCGGGACATACAAACTCTACACAAAAAGGCTAATGTTGCTGCTGATTATGATGCTGAAGACAATTATACTACTGCTGTTGCTGCTGATGGTGATGATGCTGAAGATGATGATACTACTGCTGATGCTAAAGCCACTGCTACTGATGCTGAATACGATGATTATAATGCTGATGCTAAAGCTGCTGCTGATGATGCTGCTGAAGACGATGATATTACTGCTGATGCTAAAGCTGCTGCTGATAATGATGCTGAAGATGATGATACTATCGCTGATGCTAAAGCTGCTGCTGATGCGAGGGGTCCCTCACCGAGCAGCTTGGCGATGACGTAGAGTGCTTGGCCCCACAGGTAGAGGCGTCCGTCGTGCCCCGTCTCGCTCGGGTATCTGCGCTGGCTGCCCGGCTCCTTCTTCTCGCCCTCCACAAACTCCCCGGGGACGTGATAATACCGTGGTATTATCGTGTGGCCTGTAGACGTCACCAATGTTACCATCATCACCATGACAAACACTACCACAATGACCACCATCGTCAACCTCAGTGTCACGATCACAATCGTCATCATCAAAGCAACAAACTCCCCGGAGACGTGGTAACACCGTGGTATTGTCGTGTGGCCTGTAGACATCACCACTGTTACCATCATCACCATGAAAAACAATACCACATTGACCATCCTCGTGGTGGAACACTGGCACTGTGCACTGCGACCCTGGTGACCAGAGTTCAATCAGCGGTGTGCGACATCCGATAGATCCTGGGTTTCCCCTGTTCACCTTGAACCACGGTCGGAGCAATCCTGATGCCCGCTGCACCTTGGCAAGCGCTATTCCAGCAGAGGCACGGTGTTGGTACGACTCGTCACCGACGTTAGCCGTGGCTCGGAATCGATAGCCGTACAGTATGGTGTGCTTGCCGCTGTGCGGCCACTTAATAAAACACAAACATTGTCATCAAATTTATTTGTTAATAACTGAATTGATGGGCACTATTGGCAAATGCCCTTTTTCACTCGACGTCACCGGCACGATCTGGTTTTGGCCGATTTGCCAAGATGTGAATGCGACTCCGATAGACCCCTTTTCCACAAGCACATCCGGACCACACCAGCAAGCCAGCATGGTGCACGTGTGGTTTTCCATTAGCCGCTTATTTTGCCAAGTCAGAACAGAATCGTGATATGCTGGCCACACAAAGTATCTGAATCTGGCTTGAGGCCAAGCAGGGCCAGCGGCAGAAATACTGAGAAACGTTCATTGAGTGTGACGTCGTCAGTCGGTACACAACTCAAATACGACACCACCGCGTCACCTTGGCACGTGTCTCGACTCGTTCGCTGCACATGACGTCAGCGGCACGGCTCGGCTCGGCTTCGGCAGTGGAAAAAGACCACTTGGCCGCCTCCTGAGCCACGCCGGGCTGAGTCGGCACGGCCTTGGCGCGGCTCAGTTTGTGCCGTGGAAAAGATGCGTCCGAGTCGAAAACGGCCCCTCGTAACTGGACGTGCGTGCATAAATGTTGAGTGCATGGGTTCGTATTAGTTTTTGTTTTCATTTACCTTGAGACGTTTTCAGTATAACCTTTTCCAAAAGAGCCAGGTACTCCTGCGTCTGGTTTTGATTTTCATTGAAAACACCTGCGCATTTCACAGCAGATTCAGCAGTTAGAGTTCCCATGCATTCAAGCACATTTTATAACTGGTAGTAAACATGCCGTGGTCAAGGACCCAGTGATTATCGTGCTTGTTTACCCAACATCGCCTCAATGAGTCTCATGATTTTATTTGTGGAGGGCCCTGACAAGTTTTCGCAGGAGGATTTCAACCGAGTCATTTGTGGTGTCATTTTTTCCGATTCTGCATCTTCGGACCGTGGTGCCAGCAACACAATTCGCCAACTCTTGCGAACGACGTCACTGGATCTTTAACGTCCGTCGCGAAGCAGACGGCAGCGCGTCGTATTTAATAAAAATCCGCAGCATTGATCGGGGCGGGCCGCTGGATTCTAATCGCTGAACCCCTGCAACAAGCGGCGAATTTGCTACCGCTAGACCCCATTACAGCCTGGGTGCCGTGGGCCTCACTGGTGCTGCCCGGGCTGTCCCCGCCGGACGTGGCCTCTCGTCCCATGACTTACGGTACCGTTGTGTTTGCGGGATGTAAGGTAATGAAGTCAGACATATCGTGTGGCTTTGGGTCATCCTGCAATGTATGTATGCTGAACTTCTTTCACGCTGCCGTACGTGCTAATCGGAGGTGAGGTGTGTGCGTGTGTGAATCTGGTATGTGTAGGAACGTATGGCTTCTGCGCTTGTGGTCAAATTACAGGACTGTCCACGAAAATGCACCCCATGTTGTCACATCCTGGGGAGTGCCTGGACGGGCGACCACCACGCACAAGCGGCTGTCCATAGGGCTGCTGCAGGCCTATGTGGTAGGCAGCAGAGGGCAATGCAGAAAAATCCTATGTTGTACTGTACTGTGGTATTTCTATGGTCGAACGTCTATGCTCCCTGCCTTCACCAACCCGCACTGACCTGCGTGGTGAAGCATAGTCGATTAACACCTCACAAATGTCCGTACAAGTTACAACGACAAGTACTTGGGGGATGGAGAGGGGGAATCAAAAGCACGAATGCTCCGTATCTCGCACGACTGTGACATGACGAGTGACATACCGGTTCATAATTATAAGAACAAATAAAGGTCTGAGTAAAGTGTGTGAGGTCACCCACTCACCGTCGATGACCATGAAGAGGTAGAACATGGGGAATTCACACTCGATTCCGTCAAACAGCTGCAACGACACCCGCGGCGGACAGCCTGCGTTCATGCACGTTTAACTTCTTACGCACCGTACGCATTGCACGTTTAACTTCGCTCGCACCGTACGTAGCCAACCGTGCTAATCGCGCTTCAATCGCTCCCCTCGCGTACTCAGAGGTGAGTGCCATCTTCTTAAAAGGGAACAAAATCACTTGGGCGGTGCTGCTGCTGCTGCTGCACTGGCAGTGATGCACAAGCACAGTTAACTAACAACTCAACGCATCAATCAGGAACACTGTGGCCTTCAGAAGAGAAAGCATATGTTAGAAGTACAGTACGGTATATAATGGCCATTGTGGAGAGGTTGAGCGGTCTACCTCTCAGGTCTCCGTATGCGCTGTGAAGTAGGGCCATTGCCCGAAACGTCGCGGAGTCGAGCACGGCTTCATTGCTGGTGAGTGATGCTTAGACTTCACTGTGTTTAATTCGCGGGTCACTATCACTGGTCATCACAATAAATTTCGGCAGTACACCTGAGGTGGTTAATGCTTTCGCCGTTCATCTCGAGTGTTTTATTTCTCCACTCCAATGTTGGACTGTCGCAAAAGAGTAGGTGGGTTTCACTCGGATATATCAAAATCTGAATAATTATGTATAACGGATTTAGATCGCGTTATTTATAAATGTGTCGCCATTCTGGCGAATTGCCCGATGATGCTGGATGCAATTACCAGCGAAACGTCGTACTACTCAAACATTGTAAATGTTGTGGTTTCACGCTTCAACACACCGGTGGGCTAAAGCAGTGAACTATTTGTCTTTTGTCAACGTGACACTTTTTTACTGATTGGTCGTGTCGGGTGGTGGAGGGTTACGACACATTTATAAATAACGCGATCTAAACCCAAAAACGTTGATTATGAATAATATTGGTCGCGAAAGCCTACGTGTTAAATAATACTAAACTAAACTACTTTTATCTTTAGATTTGAAGCTTTCGTGACTGCAGGGATTCATATTCTTGGTTCTTTCGGTAAAGTCACGTAGAAGAGAAATAATAATATAAAATAAATATAAAACAATACAATTCTCACGACGTTTCGACTGCAACACAAGCAATCATCATCAGGTGTAAAATCCACAGCAAGGTAAAGCCCACTGAGCTATTCACTTATTTTTCAGAAGCGACCTGGCCACAAATAATAGCTTACCATGTGGAAATTGATATCAGCATGGCTCATCATGTGAACATTTATAGCAGCAAAATAATCTAAATCGCCTCTTGAGCATAAAAACTAATTACTTGAAAGGACGATAGCCAATGGACTCGGCTTGTGACAAGAGTGGCAGCTAAAGGACGAATCATACACTCGGACATTCACCAGGCACAACTCTGCTCAAATCCTGACGAGACCTTCCGTTTTAAAACTGCCGCCAGAGAACAAATGGCCCAAACACGTGCATTGTAACTGTAACTACGCCTTTACCGCAGTGTGACAAACCAGCCCGGGGGAAACCTAGCAGTATCAGAAGCTTTATATTGGAGGAATCTGATGAGCTATGAAGTTAATTTTTATCATCACAATTGTCCAATACGGGCAGGTCAGCAAGCTATTACTTTACTTTTAACGAGCATATACTGTATACAGTAAAAGCTTGGATTGCGAGTAACTTGGTCTGCGAGTGTTTTGCAAGACGAGCAATTTTTTTAAAGAAATATTAATTTGATAAACGAGCGATGTCTTGCAATACGAGCAGTACGTACAGTATACGCTTTGTCTGCCGAGTGTCACGTGATCACAACTGAGCCGATGGTTCTTCTCTCTCTCTCGCTGCGGGATTGCGGGTAATCGTCTCCCATGCTCGGTCTCAGTCGGCGTGCCTCACTCGTATAGTCAACATCCGTGCGAGCGTATACTGTTTACTATAGTGTTGTGACTACGAGTGTGTGTGCGTAAAGCATTTTATTTATTTTGTGTCCAAGTGTAGCGACTGTTCTTTAGTGACTGTACTGCAAGTGAAAGTCGTACTACACAATAACCCTCCTCGCCTCTCTCTCGTCTCCCTCACACCAACCACGATTACATTTAATTAATACATGTGATTACTTTATATTAAATTTAAATAATACAAATATAAAAAGCTATTTTGTATTAATCATTTTTATATGAATACAGTATTTTTGGGTTGTGGAACGAATAATCTGAGTTTCCATTATTTGTTATGGGGAAATTCGCTTTGATATACGAGTGCTTTGATATACGAGTGCTTTGGATTACGAACACGTTTCCGGAACGAATTATGCTCGCAATCCAAGGTTGTATTGTACACCTCTCACATGATAAAACAAAGACGATCACTGCATCGCGCGCTTTGGATGCACTTCTGTGGCTGTCTGGAACGCTGTTAAGAAGCCACCGGGGTTATGCACTTTTAAATCTTCTAGATTGAAAACTCATCTCTTTAGAACTGCTTTGTGGATTTCGTTTGTTGTCCTTCCACCGCACACTCCGATTAGCACGGTTGGCTACGTACGGTGCAAAATAAGTTGAACATACACATACAACCAAGGATAATAATATAAAAAAGAGTGCTACAATAACCTGGGGTTATAGGAGCCGAGTTTCGCTCGGAGGAGCGTGTGTACGGCGAGTGGCGGCTGAGCGCACCGTTACCGAGTAGCCCCGTTCTTATTTTCACGCTCCATTTGCCGGTGCGGCCACGCGGGCCGTGAAGCCAGCGCCGCGGCTCGCTTCAAATCACCTCTCCCTTTTTAACCAAAACGGAAATCAATGTTAATGTAAGTGGCAGTGCGGGCTGGGGCCCTGCGGCCGATAGAAGTGGGGAGAGGGGGTGGTGGGAAGGGGGCGCGGGGGGGGAATATCCGCACCGCCGCCCCGACGGCGAAGTGATTTAGCACAGCGTGGCGATGCGCTCCATCATCTGTAAATATTCAACGGCGGTTGCCTGAGCAGGGTGGAGCGGGGCGCGCACGGGGGGCTCGCAGGGGGCTCGCGGCGTTTTGGGGGGGCTCGCGAGGTTAATGTTCGCGTCAGAGCCAATGAGCCGACAACCCCCCGGGAACCCTGTGGGTTCAAGCGCCCTCGTGTAGCCGGGCGCGCGTCTCGGCCGATATCTGCATTGTGAAATAGCTGAGCCGGCACCGTTGGGGTGGGGGAATGGTGAGGTCACGCCGTGGAGGTCGAGGGGCAACATGTCAAGAGGATGATGCACGAGTGGTTACACTGAGCCGGGACTGGCGAGGGCAAGGGTTCGAGTCCTGGGGCTGGGTGTGTCTCAGAAGGCCGCTGTGCCTGTAAATCACCGAGCCAGTACCCACCAACATCTGCAATTTAGCCTGGGCGCTGCTTGTCTTGATGAAGTTTTGCAGATTATTACGAAAAATGCAGCGAGCTAAATTTTTACGCAGACGAGAATGGGTGCTGCCGTGGTGCAACGTTGAGCAACGCTGTACTTGCAATCCAGTGGTTGACAGGTCGGTTCCATCAGGGATCAGAGCTGATGTCCTGGGTTTGAATCCAGGTTTTGACCGCCTGCCATTAACCCGTGCTCTCAAGCGTAGCGAGTTGATCCACTCAGCCCGATTAACAATGTATGCACAAAAAAACCCCACCGCATTAATTTGGCTGAGTTTCACCTCCTGTACATTACAAAACATATCGGGGTGACTGTCACGTGATGAAAATTATAGCAGGATGGGTGGACTAAAGTGCACGATTATTCAGAAGTAATTATGGGATATCTGCTTCTGCAGACTAACTTGGGTGATGCACTGCTTATCAAGAGTTGGCAGTGACACGGCGTAGCGGTAACGAGTTCACTGCTTGTTGCAGGGCCTCGCGGTTCGAATCCAGCAGCCGCCCTGACTATGACTGCGGCTGTGATAACCACGTGACGTCACTGCTTCACATCAATGTTCCCGTGATGTCATTCATAAGAGCAGACCATTGCGCGCAGGGCGTCTCGGTACAAATTTGCCAAATTTGAAAAATCACACCGTCAATCACCCATTTGTGATTACACGCAGAGCAATCATTACCCCTCCTACTCTGTGAAGACTTGTTAGGACCCTGCTGAAAAAGGATCCTTTGAGATTCAGTGAGGCTTTCCTGGGTACATTTAAATATTATCACCATCATCGCCATCACGGCCCTGATTAACATAGTCACTGTTATCATTGCCGTGGCCATTACCATAATCACTGGGACCTCCTTTCCCAGTACTAAAATGTGAGAATGGGTTTTCCCCTTTTTTTTGGCAACAAAACAGGTGTTAAGATGTTAAAACACCAAACCGAAACATTTTTCAAGGAATCATGTCTGCATTAACCAGTTTGGTGTTTTAACATCTTAACACCTGTTTTGTTGCCAGAAAAAAGGGGAAAACCTATTCTCACTTTCAACATTATCATCATCATGGACTAATTTATTTTGTGTTTACTTTTTGTTGTTTGTGGTTTTGGCTTTGATGCCATTTATTAATTTGGTTATTTATTTTTTATTGTGCTTGGTAGTAGGATTGTTATTTGCTTGGTGTGTGTGTGTGTTGGACTTCTTTTTTGCCGTGCATAGCCAACCACAGTATATGAGATTTGGTCCTTATATTTCGAATTAATGTACAGCGTTGTGGGATGCTGCTGGCATGAATGACACTGCTATATAAAAGTAAATTATTATCATCGTTGTCACGTAGATATAGATGGCGATGCACGAGCTGGGTTAACCTCTGAGATGTTTAAGTAATCCAGGTGCTGCCCCCCCCCCCCCACCGCTGCCCCCCATGACTTCCATTTGGCAGCGGTCGACATCAGCAGCGCTCCCGAGCCGCTCCCCAGCTCTTGTCCTGCCGGCCTTTGGCCGTTTCATCGACGTTAGAAGCCGGAGCCGATAAGTGGTCAATTGTCAGCATGGCGGTCAATAGACGAATCTATTTATTTAAGAAACCAATTCGCGGCTTAACAGGGGGAGGGGAAATGCTTCTGAGAGTGGGCCGCGCCGTACGCGAGCTCTCACGCCGATTGTTTGCAGTGGCTGAGCAAGAAAAGCTCCGTGGAGATGCACCGAGAACACTTACTAAGTCCTCCCCTCTGTGGAGTCTGTCCACGTTGTGCAGATTGCACACACGCCAACCCCAAACGGTACAACTCAGTGAGACCCCCGACTGAAAAATCCTTGGGGGAAAAAAAAACAATGAATTGATAGGGAAACTCAAGATACAGGGGTGCCACAATGGCGAGATGTTAACTACCTCGCCTGGTACGCAGGAGGTCGGGAGTTTGATCCCGAACCCAACGGCCGCTGTACATTTGGAATTTGCCTGTTTTCCCCGTGGTCACGTGGATTTTAGTCTGGGTCCTCCTGTTATTCCCTCCACATTTAGAAACACACTTTAGAACATTTGGGCTGCTATACATTTCCACGTGATAAGCCACTTCAGTTGAGATATCATTTGTGGCCAGGTCACTTCTGAAAAAAGAGTGCAGTGGACCTTACCTGGTAAAACCCAAGAAACTGAGAAGGAAACTCAAAAAACCGAGAGTGACCCGTCTCGTATTCACGTGCATTGCGGCTCTTGAAATACTGTGGTTTTTTTATCGAATTCGAAACAAATGGCTTTGCTTGATAATTTGGTTGCCGGGCCCCCCGATCTATCCACTGCTGGATGAAGCCGCCGCCACGCCGTTGCGATCCCTCTAGGCTTCTAGCCGCGGCAAGAAACCTCCTCACGTCGTTGCTGTTACTCGTGGCCCTGGCTGCGACACTGTGGGACGTCTTGGAACATAACGGCTGCTGGCAGTGACACCGCGGGAGCTGTCCGCAAAGTCAAGAGTAGGAACCTTCCACTCGGAATGCTGTGCAGCACACACTGGGGACAGGGATGGTTGCATTGCAAGCGGATGAAGGTCATAGCTAGGTTAATCACCAGAAATGTAAACCCTTAATGGCTGCTAACTGAGGAATAATGATTCAATTAAGATAAAAATTGCCATAGCAAAAAATGTACAAAACAACCAAAAAAACTGAACAGCAAAATTAAATAAAAACGTTAAACTTTTTCTGCAACACTTTAGTTGTTGTTTTTTTCATGATTTTATCCCGATTTGTCTATCGGCGTCACATCATGAGACAAATGTTCCATCAGGAGCGCTTGCAGAGCAGTGGAACTGTCTGATAGCAGCCCGTGGAAGCGGATACTACAGAACTAAAAAGAAATGCAACAAAACTCTGCTAAAAGGGAGGAATGTTAGACCATTAAACCCATAACAAAATTTAATTACACTCACAAACAATGCAACTGATGAAGAATTGCACTACATGCGAAAACAGAGTAAAATAAAGCAAAACATGTATTGAGTGGCACCTTACTACTCACCAAACAACACACCTATGCACCTACCCACCTGTTCACAGACAACTCACCTACCACTCACTCACCGACTCACTCAGGATCCCCACCACCACCATTTCTTCTTCTCAGCATCTATGCCCTGTCCACTACAATTCTACGCGTAGACCTGCGGTGCATTTCTCAACTCCAGTGAATAGTAGGGGGGGGGGGGGATTGTCTCGAAGCTCGCGTCAGTGGCTCCGTTTAACAGCCAAACGACGGATGTTGTATGTACGTGTGTTGAACTTCTTTCGTGCAGTGCGTGGCCAACCGTGCTAATCGGAGATGAAAGCCGGACAGCAATGCCCTTGACGAAAACAAGCCCGGCATGTGAGCAGCGGCACCGCCACCACCGCCGCGACTGTGACGAGCTCGTCACCTTGATCTCGGCGGGCCGGTAGTGCCGCCGGTGCTCCTCCTCGAGCGCCGTGCGATATCCGTCGCGCAGGAACCTGCGGAAGCCGTAGCGGCCTCTCAGCTTGCGCACCACCTTGTCCAGTGCCTGGTGCCGCAGGGCATCGTCATCGACGGCGAATGCCGGGTAGCCAAGCACCGGCAGCAGGGCCGCGTCGGTGTTCTGCAACGCAACGGGGGGATGTAACTGTAGAGCAGCGCTAACAGCGGCGCCTCTCTCTGATGAGGAAAGGCGACAACGTGAGGTCTTTCATCGCGACCAGGACCGAGAGGGATGGCAATGGCATGGTGAAGGATTAATCCAGCAGTGGATAAAGCACGGCTGCTGCTGAAGATGAAATTCACAGCTAGATTTGCATTAAAATACATTTTGAGTGGCGAGGTGGTGCAGTGGCAACATTTGTGCCTCAGAGCAAGAAGAATCTGGGTTCAATTCGCAACTCGGGTGACTTTCTGCATGGAGTTTGTATGTTCCCACCCTGTGGCTTTCCTCTGGATTATCTGGTGTGCGCCCATAGCGAAAACAAAACGAATTCCACAGTGGAACTGGTATTGGCCAAAACTTCCCAATGCTGAAAGATTACCAGATAAAATACTAAATTGAGGTTACACACGGCAGAGGCAACATCGCCCTCTACTGTGAAACCTTTGGCAGGACCCTCCTGAAAAAGAGCCTTGAGACTCGGTGAGGCTCTCCTGGGTGAACAGGCAGAGTAACAATAAGGATAATCATAATAAACTGTTCGTGACCGTAACTACACTCAGTCAAAGAAATGCATTGCCACTCCACTCTGACAAATAAATAAATCCTCCAATCATTCGGGAGCATGTGGGTGATTTGTACTTGCTATGGGAAGTGACGGTCTGATTTTCAATTTAATTTTCAATACGGAATTTGTTTTCAATTACATTGGGACATATAGGCTTTAATTACCAGCACGGCAATCTGCAGAGCACACTGTGGAATCGCCACTCAATTTGTAATAAATGCCACGACGCCCTTCAATTAAGCAGCCTGTGTTGACTAAAGCGAAATTGAATGCGTTTTGAGCTAACAAAGCGTGTCCAACTGTCAGCACAGGCTCACGCATGCGCACACGTGTACACACCCTCCAGTGCCAAGTGTGTCTCTGCTAATACGAGCCATGAGGCGGCAGACTTTATCTGTTGGTCAACCTGAAGCGGTGGTGGAAATTCCACATTACCATGGATGACGACCGGGCAGGGCTTATATTCCTCGCTGGAAATTTTCCCATGACCAAATTTAAAGGTCGTGTGATCAATACATTTGTCACGTAGTTTGACAAGATCTCACCTGCAAATTACTCAACTGCGATTATGCACACGGCAGAAACCATTGCCCCATAGTGGCAGACATTTCCCAGGCCACTATTATACTGGTAGGAACCTCCTGGTTACACCAGCCCACATGGGATTATTGTGTCCGTCCGTCCGTCGTGCAGGGAGGGGCTGGGTGGGGAGGGAGGGGCTAGGTGGGAAGGGTGGGGGGAGGGTGGGGAGGGGCTGGGTGGGGAGGGTGGGGCTGGTGGGGGGGCTGGTCACCCCGTGGTGCCCTTATAAAACTCAACGTTTAACCGCCCTCACAGTCGGCCATATTTTCGCAATACACCACGCCGCCGTTGACCCTGGCCATTGACCGAGCAACCCAACGTCCCTACAAGCTCCCTCCGCAGGAATGTGTTATATGACACTCATGCTGGTCTCGTGAGTTCACACCTGGTTAAATAAAATAAATTTTTACTCACTCATACTCTCTTATCGTTTACTCATCCACCATCTCACTCACCCACTCCATCATTCACTCACTCATTCACACACTCGAGAGACTCACCCGGCCTCTTGAGTTCTAACGTTGTTTAACATAATAAACTTGAACCTTGCAACAGACATGCGTCCTCATTGAAGAGAGTTTATCTTAAGGCATAAGGAAGTACATTTTTTAAACTGCCGCGCCGGGAGATCGATTCAAACCGGTGAGCTCTAAATCGCAAACCCCGCGTGCACCCCACTGCACCACTGGGAGTGGTGGTCATAGTAGTGGTAATAAATAAATAATCAAATATAGAAAATGTGCTGCGGGGACGCCGCTCCTGACAGCCGCAGCCCACGGAAGCAAACCTGGCCAGATGTAATTAGAACGAGGAATTTCTGCCGATAAATCTCCTCCCGCTGGGTAGAAGATTCCGGACCTGTAATCCGCTTAGGGCGGTTTCACATTCCCCCTGCCTGCCCACTCCACCACCACGCTTCCAATTCATCTGAAGCCGGGCGCAGACACAATTAGTCCAGTTTAGAAATTAATTATCCTCGCCGCGTCTGTTCTACCGTGCCACAGCGCTCGCTCGGCGGGCTCGGAGCAAAAACTCTCCCTGTGGCCCACGAGCGTGGCACACTCCGGTGTCTGGACTCCTACTTAGTTTTGTGTTGAGTTTGTTGTCCTTCCTGATTCGCACGGTTGGCTACGTATGGTGCGAAATAAGTTAAACATACATACTTGTGTTGTGGTAAGAGCGCACAACCCAAAATTTTGATGCATTTCTATCCTTGTGCATGATGGCAAAACGGTACGTTCAGGAGCTAAATATTGATGTCGAGGTCTTCCAGCCATGAGTTTATTCACTCAAAGATCTCAACCGATCAGTTTCTGGCCTTTAAAAAGCCTTTTTTGTGGAATCTAGCTCCACTGATCAAATCTGGCTTCAAAATAATGACGTCCATTTCGCCGAGATTACAATGTTGTGTTTAAGGTGACTCGAAATCATGTAATCCTGAGAGTTAAACGCCGGTATTTTTTATGGGGAAATTTGGCCAATACCAGCTGTGGGAAGAAACCGGAAAACCTAGAGGAAACCCATGCGGAACAACAGGAGAACAATACAAACTACACACAGGGATGCTCCAGAGTTTGGACTCGAACCCAGGTCCTTCCCATTGATAACGGTGCTTTTTCTGGAAAACTTTGCCGTTTTTTCCTGGATTTTTATGTTTGCGCGTAGTCACTTCAAGATGTTTCTTGTTCATGTTTTTGTTTGTTGCGGTTGCACCCGATTCAAGAGCCGAATGGCTCACAGGGCTATACCAAATAAACGAAACTGAAACTTCTCGCTGCACCATCACCACCCTGCCACCATAACGGATTGGATAGTATCAAGTTCAAATCGTTGTGTCAGTGCCATCGAGTCAATGTTGTACTGTGGTTTTTACGCGATGCTTCCGTGCAACTGTGTCAATGTTGTCTTGTTGATGTGTTGTTATTGCGCTGTTATTTTGCGATTTATTTTTGTTAACGTCTTTGTGCTGTTATTTATGATTGCTGGGCTGCATATATTTTGCATCTATTGTGTCATTGTTGTGTTCTGTTATGTTTAGTTGTGTTCTTGTTGTTGCCAATGTTATTGTTGCTGTTGTCACTGACGTGAGAGCGAGACTCGCGGGGCAGCAGGGAGTGCAGCGTCTGTCGGTTGCGGTTGTGAGCGTCCGTGTCCACGAAGATGACTGACCAGGAGCAGCCCTGCACCACCAACAAGATCAGCATCGCCACCAACAACATCAACATCACTATCACCATCGGAAACATCACCAACAACAACATCAACATATACACACACACGCACAAAGATAAAGATCCCCCTATTGCCTTAACAGACTGTTGTGACAAGTGCTGTTAGCGAGCACCTATGAAGGCCGGGACTGCACACGAGGGGGTGGGTGGCCAGCACCACGCCCGACCGCCTTTGTCTCCCCAGAGGCGAAGTTTACACACTGCACCAGGTACTCATTTGAGGCTGAGTCGATCTAGGGGAGACCCAGGACAGGTTCAGATAATCGTCAATGCTGGTGGCCGTGAGATGGAATCGAACTCGAGTCGCCGGGTTCGTAGCACAGCACGCTAACCACTGTGCCACCGCTCCCCACACACACATATTTACACACACAGCATATGAGTAAAGAAACCGAAACGCGCCAGATATCGTCAGAGCTCGGTAGCAAAGCAGCGGCAAGCCTGGCATAGTACTTGGGATGGGTGACCACCGTGAGCATCATTCAGTGGGGGGCAATTCATACGCCATTAGAAAATAATGTGCACTTCTTACATCGATTCATTTGGGGTGCAACGATAAGCCATTGTACAACAGAGCTATTGTCGACTGTGCGCTTTAATACAACCAGAGATGTACTGCACCGCACCATGGCCCAAGAACCACACCAAAGTCGTTTGTGTACAGGTACTACCCTTAGCCGTAGTTCACCCTCAAGTTTGATTTAACATTTCCCGTCGTTGCTGATGAAATCACAGCTGCCGGTGCAGAGACAGCTTTTGGCCTTTATTGCTTTGTGCTGACGTTTGCAACTCATTTTATTGCAAACGCATCGCGAAATATTGGCTGTCTGTCCATGACAATGTCGCCTCTCTCCTTAATGAAATCGTTCTCTCTCCACGATCAACAGCAACACAAATTCCAGCACTCGCTTTGACTTTTCATTCTGATTGCTATTCAGGGGTAAAAACACAAATGAACAATAACAACAGCAGCAGTAGCAACCTGGGCAGGCAAATCCAAAAGATTATCCTGCGCGTGTTATCATATATCTCCATATATATAAAAGGCAAAGTTGTGATTAGGTGTGTCTGTTCAAAATGTTTAGCTTACTTCCCGACATGCAACAAACTTGAAATTTGCCATGTGAGTAGTTTCCAGAATGTACACCATGCAAACATTTTAAAAATACACTTTTGTTTTTTATGGGGGGGGAGGGAGCTCAATAATGCATATATTTTTTGCACGGCAAGTGAGCTGTGACGTCAAATCTGTGGAAGAGTAACGCATTGTAGTGTAGTGGGTAGCGCGCTGCGCTACGAACCCGCCGACCCGAGTTTGATTCCCGCTCACGGCCACCACCGGTGACGATTATTTTAACCGGTCCTGGGCCTCCCCTAGGTCGACTCAGCCTCAAACGAGTAACTGGTGTGGTGTGTGAACATCGCCACTGGGGAGACAAAGGCGGCCGAGCGTCGTGAATCCAAGTCCTGGGCAAAGCCGGGTAGTTTAGCTAGTATTAATTATTATCCAGAGTAATGCTTACTTTTTATTTCAATAAGTGGGAACCAATTTTAAATGCTTTTGTCCAAGATATTGTCATGTCCTACCATAAACGTCAGAGGAGCACAGAGAGTAAAACAAAATTCAATCGTTAATAAATAATACTTTCTAAATAATCGTTTGTTCGTTTCTCAATCCGCTTGTCCTGGTGAGGGTCGCAGCAGCAGCATGTTGAGTAGGGCGGTCCAGACCTGCCTTTACTTGGCGACATACTCTAGGTCTTCCTAGGGAATTCACAGACGTTCCCAGGCCAGCTGAGCGACAGTCCCGTCAGCGGGTCCTGGGCCGGCTCGGAGGTCTTCGCCCAGTGGGATGTGTCCGGTAGAGTGGCAGGGGGAGTCTACCGGGGGGCATCCTTGCCAGGTGCCTGGACCACCTCAACTGGCTCCTCTCAATCGGGTGGAGCAGCGGCTCGACTTTGAGGCTCTCCCGGATTACCAAGCTCCTCACACAATCACGGAGAGTGAGCCCGGCAACCCTGCGGAGAAATCTCATTTCGGCTCCTTTTACCCGTGATCTCATCCTTTTGGTCATCACCCAAAGCTTATGACCATAGGAGAGGGTGGGAACGTAGATCGACCTGCAAACCGAGGGATTAGTTTGAGAACTCAGGTCCTGCTTCACTAACACGGAACGGTACAGCACCCGCAACAATACAGCGCCAGCACCGATCCGCCGGCCGATCTCCTACTCCCACTTACCATCACTCGCGAAAGAGACCCCCAGGTACTTAACCTCCTCCACTAAGGGCACCTGTTCCCCCTCACCTGGACAGCACAAGGCACCATCTCCCAGGAGTGAGCCATGACCTCAGATTTGAAGGTGCTGATCCTATCCCAGCCGCTTCACACTCGGCATCAAACCGTTTAAGTGCCCGCTGGAGATCACAGACTGACGAGGCAAAGAGGACAACGTCGTCTGTAAAAAGCAGCGACGCCACCTCCATGCTCCCGTGCTGGATACTCTCAATACCTCGGCTGCACCTTGATATCCTGTCCATGAAAATCACAAACAGGAGTGGAGACAAGACGCACCCTTGGTGGAGTCCAACACCCACAGTGAACGACTTTGATTTAACTGAACGAATACGGGCACAGCTCTCACTCCAGGAATTGAGGGACCAGATAGAATGCATACCCCGCAGCACCTCCCACAAGACATGGCGGGGAACATGGTCATATGCCCTCTCCAGGTCTACAAAGCAGAGATAGACTTGAGAAGCATGCTCTCATGACCCCTCAAATATTTTTGAGAGGGAAAAGAGCAGGTCCATTGTTCCATGACTCTGACGGTATCCGCATTGTTCCTGCTGAATCGGAGTCTCGACCACCGGGCGTAGCCTCCTCTCCAGTAGCCTGGCATTGGCTTTACCTGGGACGCTGAGCAGTGTGACCCCTCTGTAGTTGGAGCACACCATTTGGTCCCCTTTCGAAAAAATAGGGACCACAACCCCAGTTTGCCAATCCAGAGGTACTCTAACCCGCCTTCCATGCAACATTGAAGAGGCGTGTTAACCACAGCACTCCTACACTGTCCAGCACTTTTAACAACTCTGGGCGATCTCATCCACCCCAGCAGCGTTGCCGCTATGAAGGCCCTCGACCGCCACAGCGACTTCAGCAGCCGTGGTGGATCCGACCCCCCCCCCCCCTCACAGCTGTTTCCAGGGTTCCTTCTGAGACGAGGGCAAGTCCACCGGGTTGAGGAGCTCCTCAAAGTGTTCCTTCCACCTCTCTCCTATCTCCTTAGTTGAGTTCAATGTTACGCCACCACCCTTACTGAAAATAGCTTGGGCCACGTTCCGTTGACCTCTCCTAAGGAATCAGTTGGTTTGCCAGAACTTCTTTGAGGCTGCCCGGTAGTCCCTCTCCATGGCCTCTCCAAACTCCTCCTACGCCCAGCGGTAGCGACTGCTACCGCTGCCACCCACTTGGCAAACCAGTTCCTCTCAGCTTGACAGCTTCTCTCACAACTGGTGTCCACCAGCGGGTCCTAGGGTTGCCGCCATGACAAGCACCAACTGCATTCAGGCAACATCTATTCGCAGCTGCATCGACGGTCGAGGTCCTGAACATCGTCCACTCGGACTCAATGTCCACGACCTCCCGTGGACCATCGGAGCTTTCCCTGAAGTGGCAGTTGAAATCTTTCTGCACTGGGTCTTCCACCAGACATTCCCAGAAAAGCCGCACTATTCGTTTGGGCCTTTTATGTCGATCTGGTCGGTGGCCCAAGCGTCAGATCCAACTACCACCAGGTAGTGATCAGTTGACAGCTCTGCCCCTATCTTCACCCGAGTGTCCAAAACATACGGCCTTAGGTCCAATGTTAAAACTATAAAGTCAATCATTGAGCTTCGGCCCAAGGTGCTCTGGTACCAAATACACTTATGAGCACCCTTGTGTTCGAACATGGTGGTCGTTATTGACATTCCGTGACTAGCGCCGAATTCCAATAACATTACAGATCAGGGGGGGCATTCTTCCAAATCAGGTCTCTCCAGGTGTCTCCATTGTTTCCCACGTGAGCATTGAAGTCGCCCAGTAAGACTATAGAGTCGGTAGGCGGCACTCTGTCGAGCACTACACCCACTGTGAGACCGACTATATCTAGTCGGTACCTTTCCACCTTCTTCACCAGCGCTCCTTCCCCCCCAGTGACGTCACATTCCACGTCCCAATAGCGAGTGTTCATCGCCAAGGTCCAGTCTGTCTGAGACCATCCCTTTCCCTGCTATACTGGCATAGCAGCCACCCCTCAGCCTTCATCCTGCGGATGGTCTGTCCTGTGGGCCCACCATCGGTCTTGTGGGCCCACCATCCGCAGGACGGTAAAAATAAATATCCACCTCTCTAATACAGTAGAGTGCAGATACAGAGGGTGAGCTGGCTATCTGCTTCTACCATGTTATTCCTTGATTTTAGTCAGTGGCCTTCATTATAACATAAGCGCTTATTAAAAATGTCCAGGGTTCATTGCTTGGTCAGTCAAAACTAAATGTGTTGGCCATGCGTGTACATTTGATATTCTATAGAGCGCTCGGAGACGCCTTATTGATGTGCAGTGGGGCATTATAATAATGATTGACCCATCCATTTATTTTTGTAGCCCATGTAACGTACCTGAAATAATCTCACGTTTAATATTACCTGAAATTTTCTTTTTTTTAAACTGACAACATCCGAAAAAAATCCTGCAGAAATGTTTTAAAATCCAACGGTGCCCCCCACTGCCTTCCGCGTGCCCCCACAGGTAAGGAAGTCCACCCGCAGAGGAGAAGCCGGCATCCTAGCGGCGATGAAGTGGTGTGCGGGTGCATCGAGTAGCGAGACAAAACGTTCTTATGGGTGGCGATTAAACAACTACGACTCCGAACTAAACAGTTTATTTTACCAGGCAAGGCCCTCTGAGTTATATAGCTCTTTTTCAGAAGCTACCTAGTCACAAATTATAGCTCAACAAAGAGGCTTATCATCAAGTGGAAATTTACAGTAGCCAAATACTCTAAACGCATGTTTCTAAATGTGGAGGGAAAAACCGGAGGACAAGAAGAAAAATTCACTCAACCACGGGGAGAACATGGAAACTCCAAATATACAAGCATCAGGGTCGGGCTCTAACCCACAACCCCTGCATATCAGGCGAGGTAGTTAACAACTCGACGCCGTGGGGCAGGTTTTGGGACATTGACGATGACGACGATGATCTCCATGATGATGAAAATGATAATGATGATGATGATGTACCAAGCGGACCACGTGGAGCAATACCGCAACTCCATCTAGGCCACTCATCACTCTCTGTCAGTGCACATACTTTGCACTCGCCCTTGTACATCATACAAACAATTACTGCACACCCTCGCTCACATTTATATAAGTTGTTCACCTCTTTGCACAAGCATGCTGGCTTTTTTACCCTATTTGCTGATCTAATCATTGTTATTACATTTGTAAGCATATCTGTCTCGATCTGTCACTGCAGCATACATCAGCAATTTAGTCTGCCTTGCTTAATGACAACTGGAATAATACTCAATTATTATAATGATGCTGGCAATTAAAGTCATGTTACAAAGCCCATCGCAGCCACACGCGAGTCCAATTACACCGTCATTATTGCAGACTGAATTTTAAAAACCATTAATTCTCCGATAAAAGTCCCTTGGGCTTTACGGACACACGCGCCAACAATTTTATTTAGAAACTATGGTTCTTAAAAACGTGGCATTTTAATGTCACTCTACGATATCAAATGACTTGGATCGTTTTGTTTTGAACTTTTTGGATATTTTTTTCCTCTTGGCCGTCGCGTCAGGTTGACGGATGGCTGCCCTCGATGAGGAAATATCTGCCTCTAATGGCTGCAGGGGTGATGTTGACCCCCATTACATACGACAAATACACATTCAAAAACGTTCTTATGCACGCGATTCGATGCGCGTGTCATGAGATTAAGAATCGATATTAATCAATAAACCCATACATTTCACTGCAATGTTGATCAGCATGCACTTCTGCACGCGTTCCACCATATGAAAGGGGAACTCCCACCACTGGCGCAGAACCTACAATTGAGATAAGCAAGGAGACTCTTGCAGTGTAACTGCTTCGAGGTTTTCGCGGTTTTGTAATATTGCTCTCCAACGTGTATTCGGGCTTATGGCACACACGTTTCGGCATTGTGTCCGACGTTTTAGTTCCTGGAGAAGCCTCCATCATGCGGAGAGAAACGTCGGATATCGCACTTAACAGCAGGCGGTAGTTACAACCCAATATGTAATGCTCATCTCGTGTATTTGAAACGGTGATACGAACGCCTCCTCGTTAGAGCAGAGATACCCCGATGAGATTACGTACGCGACATCCATGCTGGTGAATTTGGAGGGTCAGATTGGGGATTAATCTCGAGAAATGAGCGAATTGGACAGCGAATGAGGGAAGGGCGATTGCTTTGGCAGCAACGCTTAGGATTGCCAACTTTCCTCTTCCCAAATAAACGGACAAAAGCGGCAAGGGGTGGAGGAGGGTGGGGGTGAGATTATCCGCTTGATGAAACATTGCAATTTTACACTGATAAACCTCATTCTGCACCAACATGGAGGATCATGGACAGGGCTTGATTTTAACGGGGTCTGTCCTTGCACACTACACCCAGTGTGGCTCTCGCTCTGGCGGCTAGTCACGTGCCAAGAGAGAGCGGCTGCCAGCTGACCATGTGCAGCCTTAACGAAATTGTGTAGCTTTAATGTTCTTGGCGAGCAATGCTCCGCTCTGTGGGTCGCACTTTGCACCCGTGCAGAAGCGTGGTGTTTTGACGTCAAATCAGAGACATCGAATGAGTATTGTACCGCAAGGTCGATTAACGGACAGTCCGGTTTGAAAACCAAACATTTTGCAACCAAAGTAGAGCTGGACTATCCGACTCTTTTTAAGTAATCGATTACCCCCCCCCCCCCACCCCTTTTTCTCTTGACTTTTGTTCCTCTTCCCTCACCTTCCCTTCACCATATAAAAAGCCTATGCTCCTGCTGCTCACAGTCGCTGTGTGAGTGGGGCAGTGAGCCCAACCTTCTCCCCTTCCCAGAACCCAGGAGCACCGAGTTGGGGTTTCAGTCCACAGAATTTCTGTACTCCTCCACCCCTCCCTTGGTGTGGTTCGTGCTTTGTACCAGGCTCAAATAAATAAAAAACATAAAAAGTACGCGATTATGCTCCTGATTATCGGTTGGATTTACTTAACTAATCGGATCACACAAAAATAGCCGTTCTCTCATGTGGTTGCTGGACGGGAGGTGATGGCCTGGTCTTGAAGACGTCATTGGCATCATCAGGCACGTCATAACTGGGTGTGGCTCGTAGAAGGGTTTCCAGCCTTCAGGAGGCAGGATGTGGAGATGGCTACCATTTTTTCCAGCGGCCACAAAATAAGAATTCAGTGATATTTTTCAGTGGATTAATCAACTAATTGTCTTGGCACGAAACGCAAGCAACACTCACACACAGCCAAACAGCTTCCACTACCACGTGTACAATGTCCGTTGCTCTGCACACATCACCTGAGGCCCAAACAGGTTGAATCCGTTGATGGCTTCCAGCGCGGCCTTGGCAAGGCCCACAGAACTGCAGGGACAACGAGAGGAGTCCACTCAATTAGCAACGTTTTTATTTTCTTTCTTTATGCTATCATGAACAGGCATGTGTGGATCTTCATTTAGCAGTGGATTGATCAATCATGGTTGATGATGATGATGATGACGATGTTGATGTGAAGCATACATTGAGTGTGTGGACTTATATTGTCCGGATCTGGTGAGGTGGTGGCTCTGAGGCAAAGTGGTAAGGTATGAGTTCAAATCCCAAGGGGAACATTCCCCTGAAAAAATTAAAACCACTTCGTGGGAAATCAGGAGCCATTGTGTTGTTGGTAGCCTGGCCCTTGCCAAAGGAATATCCAATATCCACCAGCATTGGTGAGAGCATGGAGAAACTCTTTACATGTATACGTTTAACTTAGAACATTTGAGAAAGCATTGTTTAATTAAAATCTAAGGGGTTCTGCGTCCCTCAACCAGATGAGCTGTATACCAAGTGTGTGAGACTTGAGGGATTTGATCTTGAGACCTCTAAATTAGCCCCTAAGCCAGACCTAAACTAGGCCATGAACCAGTCCCTAAAATAGGCCCGAAATGACCCCCTAAACCAGCCATGAACCAGGCCCTAATGCAGCCATCTACATTAAGCCAAAGCCAGGTCCAAAATCATTAATAATCAAGATCCAAAGCCAACTGATTAAGTAGGCCAATATCAATTATTAATGCTACAAAACTATGTCCTAACCCAGACCTAAAATCAGCCCTAAACCAGGCCCCAAATCAGTGGTTGGTTGCAACTGAACCTTAATCTCAATCCAGTTAAATCGGTGCAAATTAAAGAAGATTTCCACCAAACTTGTTCCATGCAATTGCATTGATAGAGGCAGTGGCAAAACTATAAACTTCCCCAGGGGTTGTGGTCCTGACATGTCCTACACTTCAAGTGGGGTCCTCCATTAGTCAATGTATTCCCCATGGCAACTATCAAAAGAACACCAGTTGTGATGTTCTCAGGAGGGGGGGGATGTAACTGGCCCCATCGCCTCCCAACCTTGGATGCACCACTGGCCACTGGCCATCTGCAAAAAAGAGCTTTACAACTCATCGGATTTCTTCGATATGAATACATATTCTGATTCTGATGACCCAGGCCACTGAGCTGGCCCTGGTGAGCCCGGTCCCACCTGGCATGCAGCTCCGTGCTGCCGTTGTTGTATTTGTTGCCGCGTTCCCACATTCCGAAGTCGGGCACGCGGTACGCACGCTCCACGCAGTACACCAGGTTCTGCACAAACGTCACCTGCACGGGGTGGCGGGGGAGGGGGTTAAATGAGAGGTGTGGGGGGGGGGGGGTGGAGTGGAGGAAGCATTTGGGATGGAGGAGACAGTGAGCAGGGGCTTTCCCTTCATCCGGAGTGCTGCCCGGCAGCGGATAGGTGCATCATCACTGCTGGATGAAGGCCTCCCCCCCAAGCTGTCGCCATCTCTCATGGTCCTGCGATGTAACAAAATACGTGGCTCCTTGACGTAAGCTAATTCCATTGCTACATTTCTGCGGTGAACATCCTCTTTGACGCATGCCGTCCCTTGGCTGCCACTACGTTATTATTTTTGCCCATCGGCCATCGTCACCTTGTAATGACGTTATCATGCCCGAGACCCACGTATTTTTCTTAATCGTATTTTGTTTAATCAGACGAGAACTAAAAGACCAGGATAGTCTTGTTTATAAGAGTGACCTGGGTGCCCTCCTTTGGTCAACGAGAGGTCTCTAAAATGTGGATGTTCTCCTTGCGGATGTTATCCGTGTGGATATTCTCTGTGTGGATGTTCTCTGTGTCGATGTTATCCCATGCATTGTCTGGCAGACATCGTTCAAATAAAACCAGGTGACAATCCTGTGAGAAACCTGCGTCACAGAGGCAATTAAACACATTTATATATAAAAAAACATCAACAATATGATGTATTGTGAGACTATTAAACATTACGTCTATATATAACGTGAATGCTGCTTGGCAGTCTTTGAGTTACTCCACATAAAGTGGATGAGATGTACATTCCTATATTGTCACGTGTGACGGCATGTTTTTTTTTATTAAGCAGCACTGTTCCAAAGCTTGGTCATATTGAACGCTGCTTGCATAAATCTTGCAGACTGCAGGCTCGTGTCAATTAGTGAATCCAAACGGGCCTCAAATAGAGGTAAGGTGGGCAGTCCAAACGATTCACTGTGGCAGCGTTTTTCGCAAACGCCATTACTCGTGACCCACCACCACCCATCTCCTCTATTTACCAGAATCTATCGCTCTTCAAATACAAATGAAGCCATTACACGTTGCTTCAAATTAAAACTGTGTGTGTATGTGTGTCGTGGGGAGAGGTAGAGTAGCAATTAGCGTGCTGAGCTACGAACCTGGCGACCCGGTTTCGATTCCCACTCACGGGCAACACCAGTAATGATTATCTGAACCGGTCCTGGGTCTACCTTAGGTTGACTCAGACTCAAATGAGCATCTGGTGCGGTGTGTAAACATCGCCACTGGGGAGAGAATGGTGGTCGGGCGCGGGGCTGTCTACCCACCCCCTCGAGTGCTGTGCCGGCCTTCATAGATGCTACTCGCGAACAGCACTTGCCCCAAAAGTCTGTGAATGCTATACGGGGGATATTTGTATTTGTTCGAAGTGGTGGTATGGGCACTGGCGGAGCCAGTGGGGGGGGGGGGGGGGGGTGGCACATGATCCGATCGATATCACTAATTTCGATCGGATCATTGGGGTTTATTAGTGATAAATCGGCATTTTGCGACCCCCACTGCCACTGTGTAGCATATTATTACGTGCCAGGGACTCTATGAGATGATAGGACAATAGTCCGAGTCCATAATTGGCAATAAGTAACGGCAAAGCAGTTATAAGTGAACAGAATTGTGCGCAGTTGCGTATACAGTACACGACTTCCCTGAAGGCAAACACCTTCAGCGAGCGCGATGCCGATGACACACGGTTCGAATTCGAACCTCGATCGATGGCTGCGCCATCACAGCACACGCGTCGAATAAAAAGCAAGGGACAAATCCTTACTTACTAACAACTCCGATAATTTTTCATTGCTGGAGGGGTTGCTCCCCTACCTGAAAATCCTGGCTCCGCCATTGGGTATGGTGAGCGGTAGCGTCGTAGTTTGCACGCTGCGCGACAAACCCAATGACCCGAGTTCGATTCCCACTCATGGCAAATAAGTGTAGCGAATATATGAACTGGTCCTGGGCCTCACCTAGGTCGACTCAACCTTAAATAAGTACCTGGTGGGGTGTGTAAACATCAACAATGGGGAGACAAAGGCGGCTGGGTGTGGTTCTGGCCACACAATCTCCTCGTGCATCGTGCCGACCTTCATAGATGCTACTCGCTAACAGCACTTGCCCCGACAAACTGGTGAGGCTAGATGGGGGATTATTTTGTCAACGTGCAAAGAAACAAAGAGAGTTACATGAAACAGTGTTTAGCAACCATCAGGCATGTGCAGTGTGTTTTAACAGTTTATATTTGCTGAGAGGTCAAATGAAAAGCGTGGAAAGAGTCACAGCTGTGATTTGTGATAGATGGGTTTTGGAAAGCCAGCACTATGCCAAAGGACCACTAAAACCTGGGTTTAGCATCCGGACACCAGCCTTCTGTGAGTTGTGTGTACTGTGCTGTGAGTCTGATGGGCTCTGCCCAATCACCAATGAATGAATATACAATAACAATCAGACTATTGTTTTTTTACTTCAGTCAGCCGAGCCCAGGAGTCGACAACCTGCAGCTCCGGAGCCGCGTGTGGCTCTTCAAGGACCGCCTGGTGACATTGCATTGCGGCTCTTGAAAAATAGAGGTTTTTTTTACTGAATTCGAAACAATTGTCTCTTCTTGTTATTTTGATTGCCGACCGCTGGCCTAGCCCAACTCTGAGCACTAGGATTGTAAATATAGAGGATGACTGACACACACGGCCAACTACACTTCACCAAGCAAGCGTGGAAGGAGCTCCGTCAAGAGCTGGATGAGAGGTTCTGTAGCATCATCATCAAGTTGAGTACTCTTACACCTGTGTTTTGATTTATTTTTGAAAGCATTATGGGTGGCCCAGTGTATTGTAGAATGTTTTGTTCGTCACTTGTTTGTGTTTTTGTTTGTTGCGTTACCTCATCGGTGTTGTAGATGATTTGCAGGCCCGAGGACGTCATCTCAACGAGGTAGAGGAGGAAGAGTGACAGGGCATCGATCTGACAAAGACAAAGAACCCACGTATAGCTTTAATAGACTGTTGGGGCAGGTGCTGTTAGCGAGCACCTATGAAGGCCGGCACGGTACACGGCGAGGTGGGGTGGCCAGTACCACGCCCGACCGCCTTTCTCTCCCAGTGGCGATGTTTACACACCGCACCAGGTACTCATGTGAGGCCGAGTCGACCTAGGGGAGGAGGCCCAAGACGGGTTCAGATAATCGTCACCGGTGTTGGCCTTGAATGCGAATCGAACTCGGGTCACTGGGTTCATCGGGCAGCATGCCAACCACAACGCCACCACTCCCACAATTAATTCACAAATACACACACATACATACAGGCATACACAGAAACACAAACATTTACACCCATACCGACACATGCAAGCAAATGCACATATGTATAAAAACACAGACACACAAACATAAACACCCATTGATATACACACACATTAACAACATCAACAAAATCTGCCTTCGTCACGTCGTGACCAAGGCGCTTGTGCCAGGCTAGGTACACTTTGAGGCCACATGAAGTGATGAAGGCTCGCTAGCAGGCGGTCACGGAACAGATCCAGGTGTTACAGGTTAACTCAGCGAGGTGACTTGAGCATGTACAAACACACACATACAATATGCAACCATCATTGTACGACTAGGAGAGTGATGGCATTACTACAGTCGTGCTGGTGGCATTCTATGTGCACTTTGAGAATGGCCAAAGCTCGCTGGCAAAGGTTAACAATACGCAGTTGATTAACACACACACAATCCAATCAAGAGACGTCTATCGACATTCGGCCGTACAGAGTTCAGAGATAAGTGCTGTTGGGGAGACATCAATTAAGGGCAGCATGGTGCATGGGAGGGCAATGTGGGTCAGCACTCTCTCCCAGCCACCTTTGTCTCCCCATTGCTAATGACCACTTGCCACGTGAAGAGGGTACTAACTCCAACTGAGACACAATCAGAATATGTATTTATACTGGAGGAATCCGATGAGCTTTTTAAAGGATGTTCAGTAGGGTTTAGAGCGTTGCAGCAACACACAATACAATAACATGATAGGAGTGCAAAGCATAAGAAAGGTAAACGAATCACTTAAAAACATGTACAATTAAAACTAAACATTTTTTTAATATTACCATGTAAAGCCCACTGAGCTATAACCATCTTTTACAGAAGCGACCTGGCCACAAATGATAGCTTATCGAAGTGGTTTGTTGTATGGAAATTTATAGCAGCAAAATAATATAAATAATCTAAACGCATGTTTCTAAATGTGGAGGGAAAAACCGGAGGTCCCGGAGTGAAGCTAGGCTGAGATGTGTCTCCCCAATGCTGATGTTTTACACACCGCACTAGTTACCTATTTAGGGCTGAATCGACCTTGGGCAGAGGCCCAGGACCCAATCAGATATTCATCACCGTTATCAGTTGTGAATGGGAATCGAACTCGGGTCGTCGCGGGATTCGCAACGCACCGCGCTGATCACTACACTGCCGCTCCCCTCCCCCCCACAATGATAACACAAACACACACATTCACTCTATTTCACTGGCATGGATCGCCGTGACCTTCTACCAATCATCAAGACGCTGCTTAAGCGGGGAACGAATAGAGATTTCCGAGGCGGGATGAGTTCTGGACATTGGGAATGCGAATATGACTCAGGCTCAGAATGTGTGTGTGAGTGTTTGGACTTCATATGATAGGACAATAGATTAGGTCAGGCGGTTTTCTCCAGAGCCACTCTTTAAGGATCGCTTCGTGACATTTTTCGTTAAGGACCACTATCTCGTATTCACCACAAAGTGCATTGCAGCTCTTAAAATATTGAGGTTTTTTTCTCCCTCCAAATTAGAAAAAAATGGCTCTTCTTGTTATTGTGGTTGCCGACCCCTGGGCTAGGCGATCAGCCACGAGAGGGGGATGATGGGCTCCCATTTAAATGAAAACAAACAGGTTCTCTTTCCAAAATTGCAAGCAAAAGACACATTATTATTCATATAATTTTTTATCTAGAGTGGTGGTTGAACACAGTCTGGTAGTAGACCGAGTCCTCAACACGGGTGGAGGAATCAACGAGTGAAGTTCACACGAACAGTATCCATCGCAGGAGCGTTAGAAGAGTGATAAGGAGGTGACGGACTGCCGATAAGTGAGTGACCGTATATATATGGAGGAGTGGTAATGTAGAGACTAGCACGCTGCGCTACGAACCCGGGCAACCTGAGTTCGATTCCTGCTCTCGGCCAACACCAGTGACGATTATCTGAATCGGTCCGGGGCCTCCCCTAGGTCGACTCAGCCTCAAATGAGTACCAGGTGTGGTGTGTAAAAACATCGCCACGAGAGAAGGATGGCTGGGCGTTGTGCTGGCCACCCACACTCTCGTGTGCCATTCCGGCCTTCATAGGTGCTCGCTAAGGGCACTTGCCCCAACAGTCTGTTAAGGCTACATGGGGGGATCTTTGTCTTTGTATGTATATGTAAATTAATACAATGTATACACAAATCATATAATATGCACACGTGTACATAGAGCCGCCTACCACGCAATGTTCATTGTTGGGCAAGTGCTGCAAGTTGGCGAGCACGGTTGGCTACGCACGATGCTAAATAACTTCTACATATATATTAAGGAAGTGATCATATAAGTCTGAGTCGACCTGGGGGAGCCCCAGAAACAATTCAGATATTCATCACTGATGGGAATCGAACTCAGGTCACCAGGTTCGTAGCGCAGTGTGCAAACTACTACGCGACCGCTCCCACAAGTACACACAAATGCACTAACACACATATACATACACACAATGCACAGTGAATTTCTCAGACGTATTGGTCTCCACAGTGGTGATGTTTTCACAGCGCACAGGGTATACTAATTAAAGGATAAGTCAACCTAGAGGAGAGGCCAGGACAGGCTCAGATAAGACAGTGCCAATGATGTTATCCCTGGCCGGGAATCGAATCCTGGTCACTGGGTTCAAATGTGCAGTGTGGAAACCTCTGTACCACCATTCTCCAAATATACACAACGAGACAAAGACTCGCCTCGTAGCTTTAACAGGCTTTGGCGGCAATTGCTGTTTGAAAACACCTTTTAAGGCTGGTATCGTGCGCCTTGAGAACGATTGTTTAAGGGCGCTTCATACATTTCAATTATTATTACAATGGCGTGGGTGTTGCCAGCACCACGCCAAAAAAACCCCTTTGTCTCCCCAGTGGCAATGTTTACACACCGCACAAGGTACTCTTTTAAGGCTGAGTCGACCTGGGGGAGAGGCCCCTAACCGGTTCAGACATTGATCGAGCAATACGCATGCACACACACACGTATGCACGTAAGCACGTACACATGTATGCATGCACACACACACGTAAACACGTACACACGTACGCACGTATGCACGTACACACGTACACACGTATGCATGCTCGCATTCCCATGCACCTGCAGGTGCCCGTAGAGGCTGTTGTCCAGCAGCTCGTCCCCCGTGTGCACGTGGAACACGGAGTGCAGGCATGTGCTGGGAGAGGGGTCCTGCTTGTACCGCTCCAGCTGCACCCACACAGACACGGCACGACCTTGACACGGGATACACGTGGCTGGGATAGGTCAGCACTTGGATGTGTGACCCCCCCCCCATCCCACTCTGCGTGTCTCAGTAGAGACTCTCTCCACTGTCAGTAGAGACACTCTCCCCTCTGTGTGTCTCATAAGTGACACTCTCCCCTCTGAATTCCGGACCGTAATTTCCTCTCTATCCTGAGCCTGTTCCTTTTCTCAATTAACATTTTAATAATTACAATTTTTATTCTAATTGTTTCATCAATGTCATGTTATGAGACGAAATAAAGTCCAGAGGGAATGTGCACTGGATGTAGAACATCTTGTCTGTTGAGGGAACTGACTGGAACATGAGGAGAGGAATCTATATCGTATCATATTGCACTTTCATTATTATAATTTTCATCACGAACATCATCACTATACCACCATTAACACTATCGATATCAACAATAATACGCATACCATCATCATTATTTGTCACGTTCATTACAACCATTATTATCATTTGTAATTTCATCATCATCATCAAAGTTCGTCATCAGAATGCCATCAACAACACCATCAATATCATAACGATCTGAACTATGAGTCACTCCCACCAGCAGTTTTGTCAAACTAATTTCTTTGGCTATGTTGGGTGGTGTAGGGACCCAACACAAAAAAATCAATTAAGAATACAATTACATGAGCAGCAAAAATCAACAACCATATGTCCACCATCAAAAGTCGCATTCAATAGATTCATCCGCATTATTGACAGCAAATGTTATCAACATCATCATCGCGATCCAAAGTAACAGCAACAAAATATGATAATTAAATAACGACGTAAGCTGTGCATGAACTTTGAGTTTTAAATCGTAAACGATACCAGGTGCGGCTGGCTCGAAGCCGCATCAAATGTCAGCGAAATCACCTCAAGCTCGAATTTAATCTCCATCCGTCGACTTTTTTCATTTTCAATTAAAATACGATCGCACGTCGGTGGCATTTCTGAGCGTCGCGTTTTTAATCCTCAACGATGGCACCGCTCGCCCCACATCGCGAGGCCCTCTGTCACTCCGGGTTCCGTGCTGAATGACAATGCTGGTTTGTGTCACTCGCCCACGGCCAGGGGAGTAATTATCTCCGTGGTTTCAGCAGCAGAGCTTCTCGCCGCGAGGTTATTGGGTTCGAATCCGTGCCAAGAGTTGAATCAGCCACACTAATATATGACCATACTCTACTGTATATGGTAAGTCCTTCTTTAACGCCGTAGAAGCGTTCCTGAAAAGTGCTGCGTTAAGGTAAAAAGCGGTAAGCGGAAACTATTTCCCTGTAGGTAATGCAACGATATCGTTTGGCGAGATACGATGGATGCACACATGTGGTAAGACCTGAGTTCGCTTCCCGCTCAAGACCAATAACAGTGGCGAATATTTAATCTGGTCCTGGGTCACCCCTAGGTTAACTCAGCCTTAAACGAGTACCTGTTGCGCTGTATAGGACACCAGCACGGGGGAGACAAAGGCGGTGCTCGCGATCATAACTTAGTGATAGTGGTGGTGGTTGCGGTGATGATGGTAGCAGTGGAGGTGGTGATGGCAGTAGAGGTGATGGAGATAGTGTTGGTGGTGGTTGTGATGATCGTGGCGGTGGAGGTGGTGATAGTGGTGGTGACAGTGGAATTGATGGTGACATTGGCGGTGGCGGTGACAGTGGAGGTGATGTTGGTGGCTGTGGAGCTGATTGTTGGGAACAGTGTCGGAGCGCACCCTCTCATCCAAACTCAACAAACTCCGCTTGGACAAACAAAATTACAATTCCTCCTTGCCACTTTGCGGCAGAGTCAACCTCAGTTTTCCCATTCAACCGGCAACACCCACCCCCACCCCCGTGCAAATCACTCAGTCCGATCACCTTAAACGCTGGTGCACTGGGTGAAGAACCGAATATTCTTCACTCTGCGTCTTGCGCTGCTCCCCCGCCACCGCCCACGCGGCAGATAAATACACGTTACAATTCCATTAAGGATTGACTTTAGCGTTGGCCGACGGCCAAGCAAATGTACTTAGCAGCGACGGGGGCCGGATTGCGTCGCGGGATTCAGTCGCAATCCGGCCTCCGTTTGGATTTGACTGCCCGTAGATTATCATTTGGGCGAGCGACGGGCAACGGGGCCACGACGGGAGGGAGACGCCAGGGGAGAAGGCTCTGCCGCCGAGAGGTCGACTTGACAGGGAGGAGTCGTGTTGGTGCAGGGGTCGGCAACCTTCGGCTCCGGATCTGCACATGCAGCTCTTTAAGAACTGCTTCGTCACGTTATTCACGTGCATTGCGGCTCTTAAAATATTTTTTTTACCGAATTCGAAAAAGATTGCTCTTCTTGTTATTTTGGGGTTGCCAACCCCTGTGTTGGTGATGGTCACAAGGTGGGGAGAGTGCATCGCGACGTCCAGTACTTCAGTCGTACTGCCGAGGGCAAATGTATTCTAATGTGGTCCCGATGGGATGTGCTCATGATTGAGAGGTGGTCATGATATAACATTGAGAGGGTAGGTACATTGAGAGGCAATCACATGGAAGAACAGCAGTCAGGCTATGGGGAGGTAGTGACATTCAGAGATTAGGTCACGTTGAATGGTAGACACATTTGAAAGCGTAGACAAATAGAGAGGTATGTATGTATATTGAACTTTTTTCATACCATACATAGCCAACTGTGCTAATCAGAGGTGTGGCAGGTAGACATGGAAAGAGGTTGCCCCAGCAAGGGGTAGTCACACGAGGGTCTGTTCAGTGAGGTGGTTGAGAGGCGTCGTCACGAGAAAGCTGTCATTGTGACGAAGGAAGGTGGTCGCAACAGGGGTGGTCATGCGGTCAGATTGGCTGCGAGCGTGGAGTAGCTGTCAGGGTAGGGGGTTTCTCTTGATGCGGTGTTCAAGCTGTAATCACACTGCTGTGATACTCTCCGTGTTGAACTTGAGCAGCAGCTCTCATCATTGCCACTATTATCACAGATGCAGCGCAGCGTGGGCTCGTGGTGGCACACCCCTGTGTTGCGGTGATTTGGAAGCAAGGGTTGGTCGATCAAGTAGAAATGTGTGGAACCCCCAAACCCGCCGGGCTGCAAAAAGGCCAGAAGGCGGCGGCAGTAGTACATAGAGCGGGTTTGTGGACCCATCTGTGTGGACTTAAGTCGGTCACCTCCTTGCATGCGTGGATTTCCCCGGCGAACTCCACTTTCCTCCCATCGATGATGGGATTGGCCAAACATTTCCACTGTAGAGCCCTCTCGAATACAGAGCATTGAGACTCAGTGAGACTTCTCTGGATAAGTAAAGGGCTTCATCAGAATATTTGTTTTCTCGGAATCAGAATATGTATTTTTCCTGAAGGAATCTGATAAGCTATAAGCTCTTTTTCTCAGATGTACTGTAGGGACGGGTCATAGCGTTACAACAAACAATACACTAACACAATAGGAGTGCAAAGTATAGAAAGGGTAAACAAAACACTTAAAAAGTATACAAATAAAGCTGAACTATTTTTTATCTTACCAGATAAAGCCTACTAAGCTATTAGCTTCTTTTCAAAAGCAACATGGCCACAAATGATAGCTCAACGAAGTGGCACACATCACAGAGTGACTCAAGAGAATATTTATACAGGGAGCAGCGGTGGTGGTGTTGTTCGTGTTATGAACCCGGCGGACCTGGATTTGATTCCGGGCCACAGCCAACATGAGTGGCGAGTGATGTCTGAGCCAGTCCTGGGCCACCCCTTCTTACGTGGGGTGATTGTTAAAAACACAAGTGTTGGATCTGAAATGTCAAGCTTCACTATGATAGTGGTCGAGACATTATTTACAGTCATGTAGCTGTGTACATATGAAGGGCCGAGCTGCGATGCAGTAGTTCATGCTTTGCACTTGAACAGCGATTCCCGGCCACAGATAACACTGGTGGAGAGCATTATCTGAATTAGAACCCTTCACCAACCTGCACTTAGCAGCAGTGAAGTATTGCCAAACAACCCCTACAACTGATCGGGCATTGGGAGGCCTTCAATCAGCAGTGGATTTACAAACGGCTGCAAACTATTATTATTGTTCTTCTTCTTGGTTCTTTCGGTAAAGTCACGTAGAATGGAAATAATAAAATAATAAAAATAAAACATAATAAAATAATTCTCACGACGTTTCGGCTACAACGTAAGCAGCCGTCGTTAGGTGGAGAGCAGGTCTGTGGAGAGCAGGTCTATCGAGGACACAGAGTCTGTCTCCTCGACAGACCCGCTCTCCACCTGAGGATGGCTGCTTGCGTTGTGGCCGAAACGTCGTGAGAATTATTTTATTATGTTTTATTTTTATTATTTTATTATTTCCATTCTACTTGACTTTACCGAAAGAACCAAGAAGATGAATCCCTGCAGTCACGAAAGCTTTAAATCGAAAAATATTATTATTGTTGTTATTTACATGAGTAGATGGCTGTACATGTATGCATGTTGAACTTCTTTCACACCGTACGTAGCCAACCATGCAATGTACAAACTCCACCGTCACGCGGACAGCAACCATTCACAATGGCTGCGACCAAACATTTTCAACAATCACGAAGGAATGAATGCGCAGAGAATTTGTGTAAATAACATCACAAAGGGAACCCATTTGAACCGATCAACCATGCTTGATCACCGGTGTCATGGGACTCAGCCAGATTAAATTCCCCGACGAGGAAGTCAAAATGAAAAATGTGATTATTTACAGGGCTCGAGTCACGTCTTGGAGGGGCCGATCGCCATCCTCCTTCCTCCTCGCCCGAGTAGTGACCTCACCAAAGTGAACGACAGCGAAACTGCTTTAGCCTTATTGATGTGTACACACACGCACGCACACGCACGCACACGCACGCACGCACGTACGCACACTCACACATGTAAAAGATAAAGATCCCCCACATAACCTTAACAGACTGGAGGGGAAAATGCTGTTAGTGAGCACTTATGAAGGCCGGAACGGTACACGAGGGGGTGGGTGGCCAGCACCACGCCCAACTGCCTTTGTCTCCCCAGTAGCGACGTTTACACACCGCACCAGGTACTCACTTGAGGCTGAGTCGACCTAGGGGAGGCCCAGGACCGGTTCAGATAATCGTCACCGGTGTTGGCCGTGAGCGGGAATTGAACCCGGGTCGCCAGGTTCATAGCACAGCACGCTAACCGCTACACTACCGCACCCCACAACGCATCCATACGCACGCACGCATTCCACCAACAAGCTTCTTTATGAATTAAAACTGAAGCCTAAGAGTGAAGTCTGAAGCCTAAATATGTAAGAAGAGTGAATCTACTGCCATTCCAACGAGTACATTCATGAGCAGTTAAAATGAATGGAGCCTATAATCTTCCACACTGGCACAATATAAATTTGAATAAATTCGAACAAATTAATTCGTAATGGTTACCATCTTATGTAAATCTTATTGGTCGTTCCTGTAATGGCATGGCACCTGTTGAAAAAGCTGGGCCAGGTGACACGGTTATCCTGACTTTCTAGATTTTATCCCGACTTCCTGGATTTCCCCGAAAAGATAATTGGCAAAGTTTAAAGTGGAACATCCCGTACAAATTGATACAAGTGCCTGTGAGGATTGTTCCAAACGCACACACACGCACCCACACGCACATACATGGTGCACACGCATTCCTCACAGCCACATAGAAAGACGGTCACCGCATCGCGCGCTTTCAGATGCACTTCTGCGGCCATCTGGAACACTCTTCTTTTCGATATTAGGAAGTCACTGGAGCAATGCACTTTTCAAATCTGGATTGAAATCTCTTTTTTTTAAGAACTGATTTTTCTGTTTAGTTTCTTGTCCTTCCTCCGCACCTCCAATTAGCGTGGTTGGCTACGTACGGTGCAAAAGAAGTTCAACATATTTACATACAAACGCTAATTACACGTGACGGTTTCAATTTGTTTGGCCACGTCGGGTGGCGAAGGGATTTCGACGCTGATTTGGCGAGATCGTTTCGTGACCCTCAACCCAAAACCAATTACGACTCAATCCAGGTCGGGGCTGTCTTCTTCTTCTTTCGTATGGCTGATGATGTAGATGGAGAGTAACAACTGCAATTCCACATTCAGGTGGTCAAGCCAGATAACCGCGTCAGGAACAGCGGAGTAATGTAGTGCCGTTATGTCTACTTCGTATTTGTGGATCGGGCGTTCCATCGTTTTACGGTGTACAGTCTGTTCTGGATGACCACAGTTTCACGCCGTCGATGTATCGCTGTCGATGCATCGTTGACAATGCATCGTAGGATACCCCCCTGTGCTGACTTGCTCTCCACATGATCGGCTTCTCCATCACGCTATGAGCACGTCCTCTTGGAGGAGCTGGGCACGCGTGGAGGGCCTCGCCAGGGCTACGCGACGGGCCACATCCTCACGTGCCGTGGTCTATCCACTGCTGGCCACGAGCACATCAGGAGAAAACCCACGCGTGTGAGGGGGCAGCAGACTATTCTGTGAAAAAGAGCTTTTAGCTCATCGGATTCCTCCAGGATAAATACATATTCTGATTTTGATAGGAAAGGGAGAGATGGTATCAGTCCACACTCTGCGGCACCGCCATCACCTGGCAAACCAGGGTACGGCACCTCCTCAAAGCACCTGGGAAGGGAGCATCGCAATATTTTTGCGGTGATTCATCAAACCTCGCTGCTGCCTCTTCAGCGCTGAATCACAGGCGTGTACCACCACCATAATACCAAATTAATTATCTTCAGTGGCGTAGTATTATTATTATGCAACTGAGAGAATACTTACAAACTTCCCAGGACAGCTACCGCTCTGTAAAAAAAAGTCAAAAGCAGGACAAGGTTGCCACTCTAATTCCAATTCCTGATTTTTGTGACGTCGTGCGTCACAACAATGCAATAGCAGAAGCAGCGGAGAGCCGACAGCCCTGGGAAGCCACGGATCAAATTGCTCGATGACTGAGACGAACCCTGAAATGAGAAAATGTCGTGCGGCGCGCTGTTCGCCGACTGTCATCTTCAATGGGTCTCACGGTCTTTGATTGACGGCGGCACGAGCCAGCACGTTGGGAGGCGCCGCCCTCTAATGAGATCATGCAACTTGCCCCGCCTGCGTCCTGAAAGTCAGGACACAAGTAGAGACAGAGTCGTGGGGTCTTCCTGCTCAAACGAGCAGGAGGGTGGCACTCATCCCCATTGGTGGACATGGACTCGGAGAGGAAATTCCACATTCCCATGACGAGAGACAGTATCTCCATATCACATCCAATGTCGGATTCCCTACAATCATTACATTTTTTTCTATATTGAAAACTAATTTTTTGAAAACTGCGTTTTGTGTTGAGTTTGTTGACCTTCCTCCGTACATCCAATTAGCACGGTTGTCTACGTAAAAAAGTTCAACATACATACATACGAACCGATGTTTAATCAAGTCGGCTATATCCAGGACAGCGTCAGGGCTCCTTTGCAGCATTAAGATGATTGGCCAATTGCACTTTTCATCTTTTGTGGGTGGTAGGGGGCCAAATGGCTCAGAGATCAGAGCGCTGAGCTGGAACCGCTAAATCCTAGGTTCGAATCTAGGCAGTGGCCCACGATTAAACCGGGTTCTCAAGCACGGCGAGTTAATGGTTTCAGGCCAGTTAACGATGACTGTGCAAAAACACAATCACGCCAAATTTGTTCCTGCACTTCACCTGGCTATATTCCAGAATAAAAAAAAACATTTGTTTTATTCTGTAATCATGCAAACATTACTCTCAGCGGCAGAGCAGGTGGAAAAGCGTTGACTCTTAGTGTGTGATCAGAGGTCGTTTGGAGGTGTTTCACCAATAGCCATTCTCCGACACAACCTACTTGGTGTACCTCCACATGCGTGGCAAGTGTGATTTGCATATTTAGTTGCCTCGTGCAACTAATTATCTCTGTGTGATCCACTAACCCTGCTCCGAAGTGCTGGATCACAGGCATTTGCCACCGCACCAAGATTCTCTGACAAGAAGTAATTCCACACGCCCCCCCCCCCACATCATAATTACCATTCCTATCATTTGTGGCGAGCGACCTCGCCACGAATGATAGCCAAATGACGGGGCTTATCATGTGGAAATTTATACCAACCAAATTCTCCAAACGCATGTTTCTAAATATCGAGGGAGACCCCCACGGGGAGAACAAACTAAAAATATACAGGTGTCAGGGTCGGGATCGGGATCGAACCCACAACCTCTTGTATACCAAGCGAAGCAGTTAACATCTCGCCACCGTGGCGCCCACCGCCTCCTGATTACATCACCTCCACTTTCCTGCCACATTCTGCACTGAACTTCCAAGTTGCTTACCCTATCCTGCCATGAAATTCCTGGCATCCTCTGCATCATGGGCCCATGCAAAGCACTATTAATAGTCATTTTTGCACACAGCGTTGGTGTACGGTGTTTTTTCTGCAATATTTTTGCTGTCTTTTCTTGGATTTTCTGTTTGCACTTAGTCACATATTCACTTTAAGATGTTTTTTGTTCATGTTTTTGTTTTTTGTTTGTTGCGGTTGCACCCGATTCAAGAGCTGAATGGCTCACAGGGCCATACCTAATAAATGAACTTGAACTTGAATTTCCTTCTCACAACCCCCCTGTAATTTAGACAACAAAAGCATATCCTAAAGTTTCGACCTTTGACACCACAGGCAAATCTCACACAAAATGGAATCCTCTCTCAGGCCAGATGTCTCACCGTAGTCCTTGCAAAGTCACACCTAAGACTTAATATCCGCCATGTTTGTCCGGGTCAGTGTCCTGGTAAATTCTTCTGTACCCCGCACACCACATCCACTGTACCCCTCACTGTGGTCGTGGCTACTGGTCCATGCACCTACTCTGGTCTACCAGCGACCAGGACATTTTGCAGTGAGAAATTAAGCCCCTGGCAATACCTTACGAACGTTAGGAACATTACAATCTATTGGATGTTACACGTCTGAAGGTCGGGTTTGGGAGACCTATGACACCACATTAGCTTCCAACCCTCCCTATCTGGACACTGCTCAATCAACTCTCATGCAGCTATGAGCCAATCTCATGGTGCCCCACTAAGGCAGTGGTCATGCATTCTCCTTTCCTGGCTTGAGAGATCTGTTAACCCGTTCCCGTTCCATTTTTCTTCCGATTTCATTCTGATGATGTACCTGTACGTCTTAGAACGGAACCGGAAGAAAAACTTAAATAAAATAACTTTGTCGGTACCGAGGCTCCCACAAAGCCATGCGGGAGGATGTGTGGCACAATTTGGCGCCAGCTATCACAGAATGTGGTCTTGTCGCTTCCATTCTCTGTGGTGAGTTCAATGACTTTAAAAACAGTGGTGCTACTACGCCTTTCCAAATAAAATTAACGCTGACCGCTTGCGCGTTCCGAGATTCAGCGGTGTACGGGACATCCACCCTGCAACTTGCAGCCGTCTCGGAACGGGAAAGGGTTAATACACAGAGTCCTGCATCACCACCATCACCGCCACCACCGCCACCACCACCAGTAGCAACACGATCTCGCTTGGAGATGGAACAACTTGAATAATGTGCGCAAGGCGAAGGCACTGACCTTGAGCGACTGGCGCATGTAGCAGTAGAGAATGCCACGGAGACACTTGACGGCACTGTGCTCCAGCTCGTGAATCCTCCCCTTGTCATCATCGCTGCGTCTGAAAGGAGAGGCACGGACCACGTTCCATTGTCAGCACTCGTCTCATCGTTGCCGTCGTGTCATCACCCTGTCATCGTCGTCGTGTTATCTTCGTCGTGTCAATCGTCATCGTGTTATCGTTGTGTCATTATCATGTCATCTCTGTTGTGTCATCGTCGTCATGTCATCGCGAATCACACCACTGTGGTGCTCTTGTGAGTCTTGGCCAGAGATGGAAGCGGTTTGTCCTTCCTGCTAGAGCCGCGTGTGACCGAATCACCAAGAACGCAATCCACCCGATCCGGTGAGATCTCTGAACGCTAAGCAGGGGTTGAGCCTGGACAGTCCTTAGACGGATCAGTGAGTAACGTGCACGCCTTGCTGCTATAGGCTGTAGGGCTAAGTGGGGGGCAGCAGATGGCAGCGCAGTAAAATCAATTGTTGTAGTGTACTTCTGTGCTCCCATATCTATGCTTCCCACCTTCATTAAGCTCCACTTACCGGCATGGTAAAGTACGTTGAGATATCCCTGGCGACTCACACGGTGTGTGAGCAACCTCATCCAGCAGTGGATTAGGAATCAGAATCTTTATTTAGACTGGAGGAATCCAACGAGGAATCCTATCAGTATGTTACAACAGCAAACAATACAATGATAATATATTGATTATATGTCTAATTTATCAATGAATGAAGCCTATAATGTTCTACACTGGAACAATATAAATTATATAAATTAAAATAAATTTGAACAAATTAATTCGTAATGGTTACCATCGTATGTAAATCTATTGGTCGTTCTTGAACAGGTGCCATGTCATGGCACCTGTTCAAGAAGCTGGACCAGGTGACACGGTTATCCTGACTTCCTAGATTTTATCCCGACTTCCTGGGATTCCCCGAAAAGATAATTGGTGCAGTTTAAAGTGGAACATCCCGTACAAATTGGGACAAGTGGCTGTGAGGATTGTTCCATACGTACACACACACACGCACACACACGCATGCATGCATGGGCGCACACGCGTTCCTCACAGCCACACCACACAGCAGTAGTCCCTCACTCAATACAATGGCACATTAACATTGAACTATCGATAATACACAGGTAATTGATAAAAGTTGCGAATCACATTTGCAACTGTGACTGTATCTAGCACTAACCTTCTGTGCCATGAACATGGCAACTTACGATTGATTTCAGGCCATGGCTAAGACGAACGGCAAGTGAAATCCGAACTTGGCCTAAACTACACCAATCCGCACTGACCGGCGTGGTGAAGTATGGTCAAATATGCCCCATGGCCCGCACGGCGTGGGTATGCCTTCATCCAAGGGCAGTAAATTATAATTCATCTTCTTGGTTCTTTCGGTAAAGTCACGTAGAAGGGAAGTAATAAAATAATAAAAATAAAACATAATAAAACAATTCTCACGACGTTTCGGCCACAACGCAAGCAGCCGTCCTCAGGTGAAAACCAGGTCCGTCGAGGCGACAGAGTCTGAATGAAACAGCACACGAGCTTGGAGCATATATATAAGCTGGGCGCATTGACAAAGGAATTTGCATATCAAAAAAAATTTAGCATATTTATGGGAAATGCAGGAATGTGATTAGTACTGCATATGCATGTGCATTATGCAGAATTAACAGCATCAAAGGGAGCTGCAGTTACTGCTGCTGCTGCAGTTGCTGCTGCTGCTGCAGTTGCTGCTGCTGCTGCAGTTGTTGCTGCTGCTGCAGTTGCTGCTGCTGCTGCAGTTGCTGCTGCTGCTGCAGTTGCTGCACTTGCTGCTGCTGCAGTTGCTGCCTTATCCATTTTAATATAACACTATGTATTATTCTACCCACCCTAATGTGTATCACACTGCTATATGTTTACTATACAATTACGACACCATACATTACTCTGCACACTGCACTATGCCAGTGAGTGGAACGCGGTCTGAAAGTCACCGTAAACGTGAACACAATCAGTTAAGATCCGAAATGGTTTATTACGTCCTTCCAATGATTGCTAAGCCAGAATCCATCTTCTCGGTTGAAATTGTCTCTGTGTTTGTATATGTGGATCGCCTCATTAACGAATCTCTCATGATAGCCAGATGGCTTGCAGAGAACCTCTGTCTTGGAGAAGTCAATGTCATGTGAGCCCACTGAATTGTAACAGTGATCTGCCACGGCTGAGGTGTTTGTCCTACCGTGTTTCAGGTCTGCCTTATGTTCACGGATGCGGTCCGAGACATGTCGTTTGGTTTCTCCAATGTAACTGCTACCACAGAGGTAACTTAGTTTGTAGACGCCAGGGTACTGTATGTCTGGAACCACATCTTTTACAGACGGGACCAGATCACGGATTTTATGTACTGTGTTGAATCGGACTTGGATCTTGTGTTTAATCAGGATTTTGGAGATCTTTTTTGTGACCCCAGCAATGTAGGGTAAGGTGATCTCCAAAATCCTGATTAAACACTGTTACAATTCAGTGGGCTCACATGACATTGACTTCTCCAAGACAGAGGTTCTCTGCAAGCCATCTGGCTATCATGAGAGATTCGTTCATGAGGCGATCCACATATACAAACACAGAGACAATTTCAACCGAGAAGATGGATTCTGGCTTAGCAATCATTGGAAGGACGTAATAAACCATTTCGGATCTTAACTGATTGTGTTCACGTTTACGGTGACTTTCAGACCGCGTTCCACTCACTGGCATGGTGCAGTGTGCAGAGTAATGTATGGTGTCGTAATTGTATAGTAAACATATAGCAGTGTGATACACATTAGGGTGGGTAGAATAATACATAGTGTTATATTAAAATGGATAAGGCAGCAACTGCAGCAGCAGCAAGTGCAGCAGCAGCAGCAACTGCAGCAGCAGCAGCAACTGCAGCAGCAGCAGAAACTGCAGCAGCAGCAACTGCAGCAGCAGCAGTAACTGCAGCTCCCTTTGATGCTGTTAATCCTGCATAATGCACATGCATATGCAGTACTAATCACATTCCTGCATTTCCCATAAATATGCTAAATTCCTCTTGATATGCAAATTCCTTTGTCAATGCGCCCAGCTTATATATATGCTCCAAGCTCGTGTGCTGTTTCATTCAGACTCTGTCGCCTCGACGGACCTGGTTTTCACCTGAGGACGGCTGCTTGCGTTGTGGCCGAAACGTCGTGAGAATTGTTTTATTATGTTTCATTTTTATTATTTTATTACTTCCCTTCTACGTGACTTTACCGAAAGAACCAAGAAGATGAATCCCTGCAGTCACGAAAGCTTTAAATCGAAATTTAAATTATAATTATCAAGCGTTTATTCATTTACATCCAAGATTGCTCGTCAATTAAATATTCATGCATTTGTATCTGTAAGAGCTTGCAGGCTAAAATAAATTAATGTTTTAACGTCTATGATGAGTTGTTTGGTGTGTGTGCAGTCATTGGTGACAAATGAGACCATAACCTTCATCACATCCTGAAAAACCTGGCCTAATCATGGTGGGTACTTGTAAATCTGCCCAATGCTGAAACATTCGTCACAGTGATTTGACACGCCTCTTGATGCATTTGCTGGAATTTTGTTTGCATACAAAAGCGGCCTTGCAGCATTGCTCCGCCGAAAAGAACTGTCCAGGGACCCCGTGCCACCCAGTCTTCGACTCGGCAAAAAGCACTCACTTTGTGTCAAACGACATATGTAAAAAACATCAGAAGTTTCTGCAGAAGTACATTGTGGTCCCCTTTGTTTCCACGAGCACTCCAAACTACACTTTACAGGTGTGTAATGATGAATTGGTTTAGGGAGGCCTTCATCCAGCAGTGGAAAGATCAGGGCTGCTGCTGCTGATGATGATATATTGCGTGTAATAGGTTTCATGTAGACCCCAAAGCCTCTATACAGTCACCACAATGTCCAACAATAGATGTGATGTTTGAACAAAATCTTGACCCCAAGAATTGAGACAATTCATCGACACTGCAAGAGAGGCAAATTGCTACCCACCCAGTAAAAGGTACAGGTGCAGCCCTGCAATTGTCTGATCACGTCACTGCTGACAGAAGGGCCTCCACTAGGGGGAGCTCTACAGAGCCCTCTCGAGAGGGTATTTTGGTCTACTCTTTCAGCACAGGCCAGACGTCTTGGAGAAGGTGGGAGTACCCACATTTTACCCCGACCACACGCAAACCTGTCGACGATTCACTGTGCTGGGTGGACAAAGGTGGCCAGGGGGGGCTAAGTAACCTGCCCGTTGAATCCAACTGCTGTGCCGGGAGATGGAACCGGCGACGTTTGGGTTGCAAGCCCATCATTTAAAACCACTCTCGGCCCATTCCCGTGCTGTTATAAGATCACCAACATTCTAAACAGCCTCACGAGCAATATACTGTACTGTCGTCCAATTTGGATGTATATATTGTATAAATGCAACTGCATCTCAATATGATCTACAAAACACTGAGACATGAGCGTCAGAGGGAAAAAAGCTAGCGTGGTGGTGGCTACGCTGCACGTGGTGGTGGTGGCTACGCTGCACGTGGTGGTGGTGGCTACGCTGCACGTGGTGGTGGTGGCTACGCTGCGCGTGGTGGTGGTGGCTACGCTGCACGTGGCTGCCTGTGAACCAGCGCTGTGGAGGCAGCAGCGAGGGTTGGTGGATCACCGCTGCACTAATGTCGCGAAACTCCCTTCCCATGGGCATCGAGGCTCACCCAGGAAAAGATGGTACAACAAAGCGTGGACTAATCTCCATTTGTCCCTTCTGTAAGGGTGAGAGAGCGTTGCCCCCGTTGCATGCATTGGTCTTCTCCGGGTGCTAAAGGTCAACTTATTGTGGAAATGGCCCTTCATTACAGCAGTGCAGATGCACAGCTCGCAAACTCGACAAGCAGACCGCCGTGCGCCTCACCTGTAAGCCAGATGCACAGCCCGCACACTTGACAAGCACGCCGCAGTGCATCTCACCTGTAGGCCAGGTGCACGGCCCGCACATTCGACAAGCACGCCGCCGTGCGCCTCACCTGTAGGCCAGGTGCACAGCCCGCACACTCGACAAGCACGCCGCCGTGCGCCTCACCTGTAGGCCAGGTTCACAGCCCGCACACTCGACAAGCACGCCGCCGTGCGCCTCACCTGTAGGCCAGGTGCACAGCCCGCACACTCGACAAGCACGCCGCCGTGCGCCTCACCTGTAGGCCAGGTGCACAGCCCGCACACTCGACAAGCACGCCGCCGTGCGCCTCACCTGTAGGCCAGGTGCACAGCCCGCACACTCGACAAGCACGCCGCTGTGCGTCTCACCTGTAGGCCAGGCTCAGGGCCCAGACGGCAGCGGCGCAGTAGAGGCTGTCGCGGACCTTGGCGGCGTTGCTCACGCTTTGAGATTTGGCAGGAAAGAGGCCCGTGGTTGGGCTCTGGTGATCCAGGAGGGTGAATCTCACTGTGGAGAAAAATAACATGGATGAGCTGATGAATTAACCCAAAAACAAGTCATGCTGATGAAAACCCAGAAAGTCAAAAACGATCCAGAATATTCTTGCTTAAACAAATTGTCATCAGCATCATTATCCCCTTAAAGCCTGGGTACATGGCTTGTTAGCAATCACTCTCCAATTCTCGTTGCAATATATATGCTGCTGACTACCTGCCCACAAATAAATTCTGCCTGAAAACATTGGACTGCAAAGCCAAGAAGTCATTGGACCAGGACCCATCCCCAAACAAGGACTAGAGGAGTATATTGCAGGTGTTATTGTACGTGTTATATGCAAATGGGGGTAATCGATGATCGATGCCCGGGTGCGGTCAAGGGATGGCTCCCTGTTGCTCAACCATGTCATGTATACCGATGATCTGGTAATCGCTGCTCACTCAGAGCAGGAGTTGGAGGCGCTGCTGCTAAACTTGGAGCTTGCCACTAAGAGATGGGGCCTTACCATCAGCACTACCAAAACTAAGCACTTGCCAGGGTATTTTGTACCATCGGACACTCCACCCCCACAACTCCCAATTGGTGATGGGGCAGTTGTGGAGAGAGTGGACAGTTTCCCATAGCTGTGCAGTGTGCTTATGACCGGCTCCAGTTTGACAGTAGAGGTCTCAGTCCGAATTAGTCGAGCGGCATTATATTTTCTTCGTTTGCGTAATGCTGTGTGGAAGCTACCTGGCCTATCGCTCCGCACGAAGCTTCAGGTCGTCTCGGCCACAGTCATTCCCTCCCTTCTCTATGCTTGAAAAACGTGGACTCCCCTAATGGAACATCTTCGCCGGTGAGAAACATTTAGGCTGGCCTGCCTACGATCCATCCTGGGTTTAACCAGGCTGGATTGTGTGAGGAGCTCACAAATCCTTGAAAGATCTGGGCAAAGTCCCATCGGTGAGCTCCTCCGGCAGGCAAGGCTGCGTTGGCTGGGTCATGTAGCCCGCAAGCCCAGCCACCGCATGCCTAATCAGCTTTTGTTCGGCCGGATCGAGGGGGCTAAACGGGCGCAGCACGGGCTAGAGAAGCGATGGAGTGATGTGGTACAGGAGGATATGGACTTGCCGATTACTGGTAGCAGCGGTGTCAAGATCGGCCTCTGTGGAGAAGGCTCGTGAAGGACGCTACTGGGCAGTTGGAGACAGTCACCCTCCAACAACAACGGAGGGGGGAAGAGCGACGCTCATAACAACGAGCGGAGCGCCGGGTGGCTAAAGCACAGCAAGTTGGCACAGTTGGTGGCACAGGTGGTGAATCAGCCAGTCATCTCAGTCAGTCGACCCGTGGTACCTGGGTCTGCCCCGTGACCTCCTGCCAGGGGGCGTTCGACACTTCACGTGGCCTCAAGGTGCACATAGCCTGGCACAAGCGTCGTGGTGACATCACCGCCACTTAGTGGCAAATGGCGGTTGTTGTTGCTATATGCAATGATTACAAACTTTATTCTTTAGGCATATTGGGACGTTCACTTCCATTACTAAGTTCGGTTTTACAAAATAATTCCAACCCACTCTCATCCACATTTTTAGTTATTCATTTCATTCTTAGTGCCACCTTCAATAATTGTCCTCATTATGCGACACTCAACTTGGTTAAACAACCCCCAAGACCAAAATATCATTGGTAAATCTGCATCCGATGTTGTTGTGATGAGGGGATGTAAACAGGGCCAGATTAAGATTATGAGGCACCTAAGGCTAACTGGAGGGAAAGGCCTAAGTATGTACTGTATTACATATTTCAAAACAAATTATGGAGTCATCAAACCCGTTTATTTACCAATGTAAAATGAACGAATGGATTCAACCCAAGGCAAAGTCATCAAACAGAAATTACTTACTAGACTAATTTCTTCAAACCAATAACAATTGTTGTTCCTCAATTTATTTGTGGCAAAGTACACGAATGACATCATCATAATTCAAAGACAAAAACAATTCCTATGGGCGCGCTACTGTTGCTCAGCTGTTACTCTGACGTGGCACGGAGGGCCAAAAGGAAAGCCTACAAAATATTTGCCTCATTCGCTTGGGGGTAAATCGGGCCCTGAGTGTGAGCACACACTCCCATTGGAGTTTTTTTCAGTTGTGCCCCTCGTCCGGATAATCTCCAATCATTTGGCGAACTTTCCGTGCAAGACTTTTGATTTGCTCGTATTGATCTTGAGCCCCACTCTGCAGCCTCCTTTATTAACTTCTCCCATCACTTCCTACCATTCATTTCCATTGCCATGTGTTACAACGACTACGTCTTGGGCAAATCCGATGTGGTTCGCATTTCCTCAATTTGTATTTATGCCTTCATATCCACAATTCAAGCGTTCGAGAAACGTCTTCTAATTCTACTAATAACATTTGCAGTGACATAAATGATGTCACTACTATGTTGCGACAGTACCAAGCGATGACGGGTACTGTATGTGGGGTGCCTCTCTATGGCACCAGCCTGAGCATGGCACGGCATGACTCACTAGCGGGCAGGGTCCGGGTGTCACTGAGGTCGCGTCAGGGCGTGATACCCTGGGTGAACCCGAGAAGGCACGTGACTGGACGAGGGGGGCCAGGGGACCCCCAGATGGGGGTGCGAGGGTCACGTGATGAGAGACCTGGGCCTTCCTGAAGGATCTGGAAGGGGGCGTGGGTAAGGGCGAAGCCGGCCACGCCGCAGCAGTTATAAGCCACGACCCGCGAGGGATCTGGGCTGTTCGACTTCTGGGAATGAAGCCGCAGTCCACGGTCCTCGGTCTCCAGTCTCCGGTCTCCGCTCGTGGACCAGGCAGCGTGTTGAGCTGTCCTGGTCCGGTAATATAGTATCCCCCGTGTGTTAGCTAAGTTAGGAGCGGTGGTCACCACCCTATGTAGCTATCCTGTTGATGTTAAGAGTTGTATTAGTTAATTACCGAAAGAACCAAGAATATTAATAAACCGTGTTGCCTCCAGTTCCAGTGTGCGCCTCAATTGAACCCATTACACATTGAAGCACAAATTACTTACAAGAAATTAGACAAAAGTATATTGTGCCGTATGAAACGGTCAGAGCAAGAAGACTTAGGCTCTTCGGACACATTGCCCGGCCAGACGCATCAACAGATCATGCCAGAGCCCTGCGCACGATCGTCGATGGCCCACCGCGGGACTGGAGGTGCCCCCGGGGCAGACCACGGCTGACGTGGACACACACGATTGAGGCCGATCTTCAACACCATGGCCTTGGCTGGCATTCAGCGTGGCAGCGAGCGCAGGATAGGATTGCCTGGTGGCGGCTCATAGGGACCGCTATGACCTGAGGGGCATGAGCGTGATGATGATGCCATTTTACAAGAGCTAAAGGTGCTGCCCTGCAATTCCTTGCTCATGCAGGCAGTGCAATTGCAATGGGGGCCACAGACCAGATGGGCCCAGGCCCCAGGCCCTACGCTAATGTAATCACGTCTTGACACACTTCTCTTGAGATGGCACTTTATTGAAAACACGTTCACTTGACATCGGCGGAGACTCCACTGCAACAGCCCCGAGTCTCCCGCGCATCTCCCTGATTTTGCCAACCGAGGCCACGCCCCCCTTCTCGATCATTCTCGCTGACTCTGGACGCTCGCTCCACCGGCAGACTCAACCATCCTCTTCCGTCACCTAATCACGCTCCCTTCTCAATTATTCCCGTAGCCACCAGTCCCTTCGCACTCACAACTGATACCCCTGTCATTACCTCCCGTAGCCACCAGTCCCTTCACACTCACAACTGATAGCCCTGTCATTACCTCCCGTGGCCACTAGTGGATTCGCACTGTAGGCTGACTCCCCTGTCATTACCTCCCGTAGCCACTAGTGCTCACAGCACATGCAGGCTCTACTGTCATTACATTAAGAATAAGGGGGGACATTATGCAGTAGGCCCATTAGATTCCTCGCACAAGTGGTTAATTTCAGCCACAATAGTCCACAACACTGTTCCGGGAATTATCTTGGCAAGGCACATCCACCTCACCTCGTTGTATCCTCTGTGGTGGTGCGTGCGTTGGTGTGTACGGTGGTGTGTGTGGTGGTTCGTGTGGTGGTGCGTGACTGCGGTGGTGTGTGTGCATGTGGGTGCGGTGGTGGGACAGTACCGTGCTGGCCTTCATAGGTGCTCGCTAACAGCACTTGCCCCAAGTCTGTTTAGGCTATCGGGGGTCTTTGTCTTTGTGGTAGTATGCAAAATATGTGTAATGATGCTTCAAATTGCCAGATGCCCTTAAGGACAGTACATAAACAGAGGCTACTTAAATACAGGATATGTATTGCTATGGATAGGTATACCTTCTACTCTAGTAGCAGTGCCTTAATTCTGATGACCACCAGTGCAAGCCATCCGAGCAGCGTTCCAGAAAATGATCAAGAGAAATGAAGCCCCGGCGATCATGCAGATGTATGTGTGTGCGTTTAACTTCTTTCGCACCGTATGCAGCCAACCATGCTAATCGGAGGTGCGGATGTGCAAAGGCAAACATTGCAGTGTTCTCATGGTGCAGCGGGAGGAAAGAAGCCTCCGCTGGTGACGGAAGGAACGATGAGAAGAATGATCAGAGCGGGCAGCCTTGTCAGGCACACATGCTTGAGTTATGGCCGCATTTTAAGCGCATGAGACAACCATCGATTTGTCTATTTCCCCCCCCCCCTTCATTTCTCCCTCTCTCTCTGAACCCCCAGCAACTCGGTCATTCAGAGATCACGGAGGAGGATGCGGAGGGGTGAGTAGTTTACCCAGATTTCTGCCGGGGGCTCGTTGTCAAGGCTCCCTGCGCGAGTCTCCCGCTGGACACAGTACCAGTGATTCTAAACTAAAACAAAACTTTTTATTTGACCAGGTAAGGCCCACTGAGCTATGTAGCTCTTTTCAGAAACGACCTGGCCACAAATTATAGCTCAATGCATTAACTTATCACGTGGAAATTTAGGGAAGCCAAATACTTTAAACGTCCGTTTCTAAATGTGGAGGGAAAAACTGGAGGACCCGGAGAAAAATCTACCCGACCACAGGGAGAACATGCAAACTCCAAATATACAGCAGGTGTAAGGTTCGGGATCGAACCCACGACCTCCTGTATACTTGGCGAGGTAGCTAACATTTCGCTGCCGTGGTGCCTTAAAAAAAGTACGATGCAGACACTGTGTGTGGATGCCGTGCTATAAAAGTAAAGGTGCATCCTTGCAGTTACCCGCTTGGCTTGACTCTGTATGATGAAAAGTAAGTGCTGTAGCTGATCGGCTGACTCCCAGATGGGATTTTTTTGTACTGTGTAGCTATAGCTGATCTTTATAATTTGGTTAAGCCAGTGCATATTATCTTCTATGACATATTGACTGCAAACATTTTGTGAAATGTACACTGACAAATAAAATGGAACAAAAGTTAAAATATGCACAGAGATGCGTGGAGAGATGCATGCTGGGAATAACAGTGAGAGATGGAAAGGGGAACGCACGGATCAGAGAGCACAGGGAAGATAGCGAAATTGTATCGACCAGAATGGAAAGTAAGGCTTGGGCAGGACACATCATTATAGGGAATGATAGTCAGGACATATGACGGAGTAGTAGCCAAAGGATGGAATGCATCTGGGATGCCGTCCTTCGTGGAAATGGAGTAATGAAATCAGCTTGTGTACGGAAGCCAGATAGATTATGGCATCGCAATACCATGAGCGGTGGCGATGATGTGGACAGGCCTTAGATCATGGTCAATGGGGATGATGATGATAGCACATTTAACAAGCAAGTGCAGAAGGACAAACATTACCCGGGTTCTATCACATTTTGGAATGGCATACAAGTGAGGCGCATCTGAAGGGATCAATGAGAAATGAGAATCAATACAGAACATATATACTGCAATAGAGAAGGACCCAAGTGTGGATTCATGAAAACGGAACAAGTAATCAGGTAGAGGGCCCTTTGTCAATCCGTAGCCAGATGAAGGCCTCCCTCCCATGCCGCGTCACCCATGGGAGTTGTTTGACCATACTTCACTACAATAGTGAGTGCGGGCTGGTGAAGGGAGGAGAAGGACCGGTACAGACATCATTCACCAATGATGTTAACCGGGTGCCACCGCTCTCCATACCGTGTGTCATTTGTGCAACAATATAATTATAATTGGCGCAGAAGTATGGAGCAATTAAACAATTATGAAATGCTACTAAGATAATCCAGAATGTGCATATTAATCCATTCTCAATGTGCCAAGAATGTGCGTGGGGGGCGGGGGTGGGTGATGGGGTGGTAGTGGCAGGACTACTCGCCACTCACGTTAACTGTGGCCGCGAATGAAACTTAGGCCCTGGGCCTAAACCCGGCGACCTGGGTTAGATTCCCGCTCACAGTCAACACGAGTGATGACTATCTGAACCGGTCCTGGGCCTCGCCCCCCCCCCCCCCTCCCAAGTTCGACTCAGACTCAAATGAGTACCTGGTGTCTGGTGTAGTGTGTAATAAATACCGCCACTCGGGAGATAGAGGCAGCCGGGCGAGGTGCTGGCCACCCATCCCCTCGTTTGCCGTGCCAGCCTTCATAGGTGCTCGCTCATGGCACTTGCCATAACAGTATGTTAAGGCTATACGGGGGATATTTGTCTCTTTTTTGTTTGGTAGGGTGTGTGTGTGTGTGTTTCACCGTTGTGTGCGTGCGTGTGCCGTACCTTCCCAGTAGTATTTGTCCAGGGACTCCCACAGACTCTTCTCATGTTTCTCCTCCCGGTCCGTGGCTCTGACGGCGTCGTACACCGACTCTGGGACAAACACATGCGGAGGAGCACGCGTCAACATCCCACGTGCGTGCGTGCGTGGCCGGGATGCTCAACCCATTAATTCAGTTCAATGTAATTTATCTAACCCTGCGAGTGCCCTTTGTTGTTGTTGTCAGCCTGTAGCGTCTGGGTCTGTGGATCTCAATGTGATTTTATCGGCTTCTATGTCAGTCTATGGGTCTCTACGGGTCTCTATGTGAGTCTACGGGTCTCCCTGGGTGTCTATGGGTCTCTGTGAGTCTATGGGTCTGTGTAAGAATCTATTGTTGTCAGTATGGCAACTTCCGAATGCTGGACAATGGCCTCCCCCCATTATCACTCCATTCCTTCCTTTCCTCAACTCAACCTTATGGTGGGATACTGGAGTCCCGAATAAACGGAAGTCAGAATCGTAATTAACTTATTTATTTTTGGCGACTCCGTCCCACCGCGCACATAAACGCCGCGACCCACCTGGCGCGGATCATTCTGTTGTCATGTCGTCCAAGCGCAACGAGGACGAATGCCATAGTCATAAACATAACTTTGATAACACTGGTCAACCAAAAAAAAATTCTGGCCTGGACTTTTGCAGCTGTTTTAAACTAATTTCAGATTTGCTCTATCACATCTCATTTTTATGCTATCGGCATACCCCATTTTCATTGATTTTACCCGAAATTAACTCTGTTACTTATGATTGCAAGTTGTTGCGAGTCAGTGACTGCTTTAGTGTTAAAATATGGTGCTGTATTTTTAGGATAGTGTGTTTATAATATCATTTTATGTAGATATCCACATTTATTTAATATTTTTCTTCTGCAGTTTTTATTGAAAATGCAATATTTGATATCTCAAATACCTGATGTGATAGACAAAAACTGATACCAGATTTGGAATCAGCACCCCAAAATTACATTACAACCGTTGGAATACCTTATGCCAGAAAAAGTGTGTTGACCAGTGTTATCACATCGTGTAGAGCTCGTCGAGAGGATTAGATTGCCATATCGTTGGCCTTCAACAGACGTAAAATTACGTCGCAACGCATTTTATACGAGAGCCTGGGGCTTCTGGGACCCCGGGGTCCCGCCATGAGGTTCAACAGCTCCTGGCCCAGTCAGGGCCTCCAAACTCTGCGGTCCCGTTTCACTGCTACCATGTCTTCTGCTGTCTTCCTCTGCCTCCCGTCCCTTCCCTCCATCTCCACTCGGTAGTTAGCTTCGTCTCTGATCTCTCACCAGTTGTTATCATCAGTGTGTTCACACAGCGCACCCGGAATTCATGTCAGACCGAGTGCATTCCGAGAGTGGCAGTCGATCACTACTGTACCATGTTTAAGGCAGTTTGTGAAAATTGTAACTGTCATTTTCTATAGACGTTCACATATCTGACCTTGTAAGAAATCCACCTACATCTCTGCTCCCAGCCTGTGGTTATGCGACGTTGAAACTGCAACAATATATTCGTAGGTACAACAAGACAAAGATCCCCCGTATAACCTTAACAGACTGTTGGAGCAAGTGCTGAAGGCCGGCATGGAATACAAGGGGGTGGGTGGCCAGCACCACGCTCGACCGCCTTTTTTCGTCCCTAAGTTCCGATGCTTACACACCACACCAGGTACTAATTTGAGGTTGAGTCGACCTAGGGGAGGCCCAAGACTGGTTCAGATAATCATCACTGGTCTTGACCGTGAGCGGGAATCGAAATCGGGTCGGGGGTTCGTACCGCAACGCGCTAACCACTACACTACCGAATAAGCAGCACACACACACGGGCACGTGTATATTGAGCCATGTGCACATTTTACGAGCTCGTGAATGTATTCTGCACCAAACTGCCGCAAGGCAATGATCGGCGTGCAGACGGGTAATGTTGGGGGTCATTTGAGATTTGTAAAAAACAGCAAACAAAAAATATTGCTGAGGTTAAAGGCAAACATAGTTGTCCTGCAGATGTCAGTGACTTCACTGTCACTGCACATTTTGTTGAGCAACCCAGATGTGAAATCACAAGAAATGCAGATTAATTCCTTCTCTGTAATATAGCGAGATGGATATAGAGACATACACACACAGAGTATGGTCCACTAGATATACATATCACATTATTTTGTGAAATCTAACTTTAGACGTGTGAGTTTATAGACACAGTGCAGCATAATGTAATTTTACCAGGTATGGTCCATTGAGCTATATAGCTCTATTTTAGAAGCAACCTCCCCACAAATTATAGCTCAACAAAGTGGCTTATAATGTTGAAATTTATAGCAGCCAAATGCTCTCAACGCATAATTCTAAATGTGGAGGAAAAACTGGAGGAGAAATATCCACATGACCACGGAGAAAACATGTGAACTCCATATATACAGGCGTCAGGGTATGAATTAAATCTACGACCTCATATATACCAGGAGAGGGAGGTTACATCTCGCCACCATGGCGTCCCTAATAATAGGGACAGAGTGGTGGCAGAGCGATTAGCGCACTCCACTGTGAACCCATAACAATCTGAGTTTGATTTCCAGCAAACAGTGCCGATTGATACCTGAACCGCTCCCATATGCCGATTCCCCTTCACCCAACCCGTGCCGAGAAAACGTAGTGAACTATGGTCAAAGAGCTCCCATGAACAACACAGCATGGGGAGGCCTTGAAGCAGTAGTGGACTGAGAAAAGAGCTGTCATTATTATTTAATTATTTTCAGAACCATAAACTCACTATGCTGTGAAGCCAGGCACCTGAGTTTGATTCCCAGTCTTGGCTTAAATTCATCATTCACTGTCTCTCTGGCCTCTCTATTCAATTGGAGTCCTGTGGTGGCGAGATGTTAACTCACTTACCTCGTATACAGGAGGTCGTGGGTTCTATCCCAACCCTAATGCGTGTATTTTAGGCGTTTGCACGTCTCTCCCAGTGGTCACGTACATTTTTCTCTGGGTCCTCCGGTTTTTACCTCCACATTTGAGAACATGCGGTTAGAGTATTTGGCTGCTATGAATTTCTCCATGATAAGCCACTTCATTGGGCTATCATTTGTGGCCAGGTCACTTTGGAAATGATGCTATATAGACTTACCTGGTAAAATAAAAATAGTGTGGTTTAATAGTTTAAATTGGTGGCAGCTGAGGTAACACTTGTACCTTAAAACAAGAAGCATCTGGGTTCAATTCTCGACTTGAGCACCATTCTATATGTCGTTAGAATGTTCTTCCCCTGTTTTGAATTGGATTCCTCTGAGATCTCCAGTTTTATCGAAAAGCTAAGAAAACCCAAACAACGTAACTGGTATTGGCCAAAACATCCCAAAAGAAAAATGATCTGAAAATTACTTAAATTGAGTTTACACAGCAGCAGCAGCAGCAGCAGCAACATCACCCGCAACTGTGAAAAACCTGGCAGGATCCTCCTGAAAAGGAGTCCTGAGACTCAGTGGGCATTGTTATGCCTGTTCTGGCCAAATAGGCGTAATAATGAAATAAATACAATCCGTGATACCTGTAAGATATGTTAGTGTACGATACTTATTTAGCCCAGATCTCATTTGAAAATTAGACCGTGCGTTCGGTTTACGTCTCAATTGCTCGACTAAATCCGTTGATGAAAAACTTTTGTTGAATAATGTATTTACCAAATCATTGAAAACTATCGCGTTGAGGTCAGAAACGGCCGCGTTAAATCAACGCCCATGATGCGATCTCGTGTTTTAAAGAGCTGGGCATTCAGGGAGGTGCAAGATAACGCACCTACATATACACGCTGGTTCACAGTTCTGCATTAAGTACGCGGCATTCACATGTGGGTGGACTACTCATCAAGCAATACAAGAAAATACAAAGATCCCCCCCTATAGCCTTAACAGACTATTAGGGCAAGTGCTGTTCGCAAGTATCACCTATAAAGGCCAGGACAGCACACCATAAGGGAGCGGGTGGCCAGCACCACGCCCGACCGCCTTTGTCTCCCTAAGTGCCGATGTTTTACATATCGCACCAGCTACTCATTTGATGCTGAGTCGACCTAGGGAGGCCCAGGACCGGCTCAAATAATTGTCACTGGTGTGTTGGCCGTGAGCGGCAATCGAACTCGGGTCGCCGGGTTCACAGCGTGGCACGCTAACCGCTACACTACCGCTTCCCCTAGCAAGCAAGACACAAACACTCCCCGAGCCACACCACCCTGGCAGAAATTCATTGAGCATTCTCCAGAGCTCCTTCGGTGGTTTACAGTGGTCATCTCTAGAGGGCATACAGCCTTGTGAAATGGGGGGGAGGCAGATCGATACACGAAAGCAGGTCCTTCTATAAGACGAGGATTTAGGGCTTCCGCGCTGATATATTATCGGAAGAGAAAAATAATGCTCTACGCTTAATTGAAAGCGAATTCAATTCAATCACTCGTAATAAAAAATAATGGCTTAAAAAAGTTTGTAGCTCCAAGTGTAGTGATCTCTGGCCACCAATGACTACACCTAAAAATATAATCATTCAAATTGATTTTGCACTTAATTTGGATGTATTACAGGGCTAAGAATGAAAAATATCGGGTTGACTGTCATGCAATGAAGATTTCTCTCCATGCCACGTAGGATTTCGCGCATTTCCTCTCCAGCTCTCCCATGTGCTTTCCGGTCGTACCCCCAATGTCCGGCGTTTTGTCTCCACGTGCGTGGGAGCTTCTTTAGGAACTACGTTGACTAGTGAAGAAAATTCCACATTCCCATGGCAGGCGTCAAGGATAAAGTAATGCATTCATTGTAATACATTTCTATTCAGCTTGAACATTTACAGCCTTTTTGCCAATCCATTTCTGCCAGAGCAAATCGCACACTGTGTTCCATCACGGGGTTGACCATACTTCAGTGTGGGCTCGTTCCAGTGACGAGTATAGTGCAGTGGGTGTAATACAGCGGGGAAATGTTAACTACCTCGCATGGTATAAAGGAGGTCGATCCAGACCCTGACCATGCCTGTATATTTGGAGTTTGCATGTCTCTCTCC